CCCCTCTAGGTGGTCACAAAGCACCAAGCTGATCTCCCTGTGCTATGCGGCTGCTTCCCACTAGCTATCTGTTTTACATTTGGTAGTGTATATATGTCCATGCCACTCTCTCACTTTATGCCAGCTTACCCTTCCCCCTCCCCACATCCTCAAGTCCATTCTCTAGTAGGTCTGCGTCTTTATTCCCATCTTGTCCCTAGGTTCTTTATGACCATTTTTTTGGTCTTTTTAGATTCCATATATATGTGTTAGCATACAGTATTTGTTTTTCTCTTTCTGACTTACTTCACTCTGTATGTACAGACTCTAAGAGGGCCATCCACCTCACTACAAATAACTCAATTTCGTTTTTTTTATGGCTGAGTAATATTCCATTGTATATATGTATCACATCTTCTTTATCCATTCATCTGTTGATGGACACTTAGGTTGCTTCCATGTCCTGGCTATTGTAAATAGAGCTGCCGTGAACATTGTGGTACATGATAAAGCAGAAACTAACACACCATTGTAAAGCAATTATACTCCAATAAAGATGTTAAAAAAAAAAAGAAGAACCTAGGGGCAGGACAGGAATAAAGACGGTGATGTAGAGAATGGACTTGTGGATACGGGGCAGGGGAAAGGTAAGCTGGGACGAAGTGAGAGAGTGGCATGGACATATATACACTACCAAATGTAAAATAGATAGCTAGTGGGAAGCAGCCACATAGCACAGGGAGATCAGCTTGGTGCTTTGTGACCACCTAGAGGGGTGGGATAGGGAGGGTGGGAGGGAGACGCAAGAGGGAGGGGATATGGGGATATACGTATACATATAGCTGATTCACTTTGTCATACAGCAGAAACTAACACAACATTGTAAAGCAATTATACTCCAATAAAGACATTAAAAAAATAAATAAAAAGCTCCCAACAACTTGAAAAAAAAAAGACAAGAAATAAAAAATGTTGATAAAAAAAAAGAGTTTATTTCTGGATTCTCAGTTCTGTTTCATTGATCTGTTTGTCCATGTGCTAGAACCACACTGTCTTTATTATTGTAATTTTGTAGTAGATTCTGAAATTGCAAAGCGTGAAATCTCCAACTTTGTTCTTCTTTTTCAAGATTGTTTCATCTATTCTGGGTTCCTTGCATTTCCTTATGAGGTTAAGGATCAGCTTGTCATTTTCTGCAAAAAAGGCAGCGGGGATTTTGATAGAGATGGTGTTGAATTTGTATATCAATTTGAGGAGTATTGCCATATTAACAATATTGTGATCTGATCCATGAAAATGGAGTGTGTTTTCACTTATTCGTCTTTAATTTCTTTCAAATTTTGTTTTGTAATATTCAGAGTATAAATTTTACACCTCTTTTGTTAAGCTTATCCCTAAGTATTTTGTCCTCTGTTCATTATAAATGAAATTGCTTTCTTAGTTTCATTTCTTGATTGTTCAGCTCACTAAAATTTGGCCTCTGCCCTGTACAGTACACCAGTATTTCTCCCACTGTAGTAACCATTGGCCTCCCTCTCCTAATTTTCTTTTTTCTGACCTCTCAATCTGGCAAACCTGTTTATTATAGCTAGTGTGCTAAACATCATTGCAGTGTAATCGGACCCGCTTTTTCATTTTCTTATAAGTACTCATGTAATGCTTTCCTGGTATTCATGATTTTAGGCAGTTTGACAAAGTGGTTTGTATGCATTGTGTGGCTGTTCTCGGAATCTGATATCTGCGGTGCAGATTAAAGTAATTTTGGAGGGACACGTTGCTTCTTGCATCACCACCATTTGTAAACATTTGGTAGTTCATTACCAGCAAGCTGAGCTCAAATTCCATTTCAAAAACATTCGTCTTTTCTTCCTAATATTAGGTGCATATAAATGTTTTACTTTTTTGGCTATTTACTTGTCAGCTTTTTTTGGCTGGACGTTTGCTGGACAACATAATCCAAAATCACTGATAACTTTGTAACCATGATTTTGCCTTCCTTAAAATTTCACAGTGGGGGCTTCCCTGGTGGCACAGTGGTTAAGAATCCGCCTGCCAATGCAGGGGACACGGGTTCGAGCCCTGGTCCGGGAAGATCCCACAGGCCGTGGAGCAACTAAGCCTGTGCGCCACAACTGCTGAGTCTGCACTCTAGAGCCTGCGAAACACAACTACTGAGCCCGCGTGCTGTAACTACTGAAGCCTGCGCGCCTAGAGCCTGTGCTTCTCAACAAGAGAAGCCACCACAATGAGAAGCCCTTGCACCACAGCGAAGAGTAGCCCCCGCTCGCAGCAACTAGAGAAAGCCTGCGTGAAGCAACGAAGACCCAACATAGCCAAAAAACACCCCACATTAAAAAAAAGAAAAATTTATAATGAGGGAAGTATTTGAGAGAGTCAGTCATTTTTTAGTTTCTTTGGATGTAACAATTTTATTTAAATAAATAATAAATATTTCCATATTTTATCCAGGCTTCTTTCCTGTGTGTCTAGTTTGTGTGTTAATGCCAGAGATACTTCATTAAAAAACCATAATTTATTTTATCTTATTTTTTAAATGGTTAACTGTTTTTTGTTTTTTTTGGAATTAATTTTGGATTTAATAAGTTGCAGATATAATACAGAGAGTTCCATATGCCTTTCATCCAGCATCTTCTTGTGTTATGTAACTGTAAATTCTATGTTGTAGAACATTTATCACAACCAACAAATTAACATTGGTACAATGTTATTAACTAAAATATAGAACTTTTTTGAATTTCACCAGTTTTCTTGCTAATGTCCTTTTTCTGTTCCAGTGTCCAATCCAGGATCCTACATTGCATTCAGTTATCATGTCTCTAATAGTTTTCTCCAGTCTTTTGATAGTTCCTCAGTCTTGTCTTTTCTTTGATGATCATAACACTTCAGTTATTTTGTAGACTTTCCCTTAATTTTGGTTTTCGTCTGGTGTTTTCTCATGCTTAGATTGAGGTTATACATTATTAGAAAGGGTACTGAAGAGGGGATAAGCCTTCTCAGAACATCGTATGGGGATGTATTACTGGTTATAGTAACCCTGATCACTTGGTTAAGGTGTTGACTGCCAGGATTCTCCACTGAGACTTAACGATTTTTCCCTTTGTAATTACTAAATATTTAGGGGATACTTTGAGACTATACAATATTCTGCTTCTGCTTAAATTTTCACTCACTTTCATTACTTAGTAGATCTTGCCTCTTGCCTGTGGCAGTTATTACCATGGTGTTCTAATCGTGATTTTCTGTTTTTCTCATTCCATCTACATTTATTAATTGGACTTTTGTAAGGAAGAGTGCCACTTCTTGTCCATTAAGGAAAGAAAGATACATATAACATATATATATGTTTATCTCTTTGGTTATGTGAGTATGGACTCATGGATGTTGATTTTATTCTGAGGTTATAATCCAGTACTATAGTTATTTCATTGCTCAAGTTGTCCTGACTTTTTCTGCCGGAAATTTGAATAGATATGTTTGTCAGGATGCAAACCTGTTGAAGCCTAAGATACTTGGAGACTGTTCTCTCTTACTTAACCTCTAGCAGAATGGAGAACAGCCTAATTAAGACTTTCCTTCTCCATTCTTGAATCATAATTTGTTGCTTATTCTCATGTCTTCCTCTGTAGGGATTAGACTAGTGAATCTCCCAAATTCAGCATTCTCAAAATTGAATAATATGAAATATGGAACACACTACTTATGAAGTGAACTTAGATTTTTTATACAATTTAAAAATTCCTCATGTTGAAAGCATCAGTTATTGTTATATTATAAATTATTTCACATTATAAATCTTGTTTTTAGGAAAAGAAGAAATATGAAACCCTTCAGAGGGAAGAGTCTGATGAAGTCTCCCTTCCAAAAACCTCCAGAGAGCTGGAAATCCCTACCCCACCTTGTGAATTCCAAGGAGACCATCTAAAGGAGTTAACCGATTCCCAGCCCCAGAATGATGCTAGTCGACAAAACGAGAGTGAAATGTTTGATGTACCACTCACTTCCTTAACTCTAAGCAATGAAGAGTCCCTGACATGTAAAACAGAGAGTCTGAAGGAGGGAGAGGAGATCAGAGCCTGTGCTGGGGATGATGCAGTCAAGCCGAAGGTCGATCCTGGAGGCAATGTCGGAACCAAAGTAGAACCCCCCGAGAACACTACAGAAATGGAGGAAGATAAACTGGTACAATGTGGACCTTTGGAAAGCACACTGCAATCTAATGTTTCTTATATTCAGCAGGAAGTGGAAAATTTGAAGGTCAGAGATACTCAGAATAGGAGAGAAGACCAAGAAGCCTTGGGTCTTTCTTCAGAGGTGCTACAGAATGTTGGCTTGCAGAGTTCTTGTGAAGCCAAAGACATTTTCCAGCCACCTAGAGTGAAAAAACTGTATCCCCAGTTGCCAGCTGAAACTGCTGGGGATATACCGGCTTTGGTGGCAGTGAAACCCTTGCTTCGTAATGAGCGGCTCTACCCGGAGCTCCCATCTCAACCAGAAATAGTACCATTTACTGAAGAACAGCTAAAAGTCTTTGAGCCTGGTTCATGGCTGGAAAATGTTGAGTCATATTTGGAAGAATTTGACAGCATGGCTCATCAGGACAGGCATGAATTTTGTGAGTTGCTTTCGAACTACTCGCGCTGTAGGAAGCAGCTGCTGCTGGCTGAAGCTGAGCTCCGTGCTCTGACGTCTGATTGCCAAAATGCCAGAAGTCGCCTGTGGCACTTCAGGGAGGAGCAGCTGTCTGTACAGGTATATTGACTAGTGTATCGTAAAGCTTGCAGGAGCCTGGGGAGTTTTCAGTGGAGCTGCTATTCCTGTGATGCCATTGAGGTCTGGAGTCTGCTCCTTTTACCCACCCTGACCCTGTCTTAGCCCATAGTAATTGAGTGCAGGAGTCACAGTGTCATATGCCCACAGGGGCCAGGCAGGTAACCTGGAGAAGTGAAACAGGTTGAGTGGGACGGTGATCACTGGGTAAGCTCATGCCTGGTCCAGCATGGGGAGCTGCTCTTGTGTTATAGTTGATTGTTGCTGTGAGGTTATATTGGTTCAGCATTGCCACATCTTATGTTTTTCTAAGAGAAGCTAGAAATCTGGATTTTTATGTGAGGGATCCTGATTTGTAAATGTTGGCAACTAAATACACACACACACACACACACACACACTCTCTCTCTCTCACTCTCTCACTCTCTCACTGACTCACTCACTCATGCACAGTAGAGGCCAAAGCAAGTCATGTCTCCAGGTCCGATTCAGCCTGTGGGCCATTTAGCTTGTGACCTTGGGCATAATGCCAGGAACATCTAATGGGTAGAGAGTGTCAAGGGGAGGATGATCCATGGAACGAGGTCAAGAGGAAATGAGAAAATAGGGAAGGCAATAAGATGTGACCCTATGGAGGCCAAGGTGCCATCAGGAAAGCCATTGCATAGTGGCCTGGGAGGGATGGCAAGGAAGGGAAGGCTACTCTTGACAAGTTTAGCAGTGAAGGGAAGATGGAGGAGATGTCAGGGAGAAACATGTGATTTCCCCCAACCCTAATCGTCATTCCTTGGAGACCTGTGTATCTCTTTGTAGATAGGAAGGATCCTGTGGAGAGGGAAACTTGAAAATACTGAAAAAGAGAGAATAGAATCAAGAAAACAGTTGGAGGGTTAATATTGGGAAGGAGGGGTTTGTTTTGAGCAGAATCACAAAGAATGGTGAGGGTAAGTACAGAGATATTTTGAGGTCTCTCGAAGTTGAGGGGATATCACACTGACCTCAGTGTTTATAAAGTAGAAGGTAAGGTCATCAATCATGAGGGTCTTAGAGACAAGCTCTATTGTTTTCTTGCACCTTTCCCCACCTACTGCATTTTAGGATTTCTCTTCTCGTCTCTGAACTTGTGATGCCTTTGTGATTGGCACCTGGTTGTATAGTAGCTTCATTGTTTTCTACGTAGTAGTATTGTTCCCTCACTGCGATTTGTAAGCTCTTTGAAGATGGTACTGAAGCCTGTGTATTGTATACAGGCTTCAAGAGCAAAGAGTAACTGGCTTCATATCTTACCCTTTTGCCCACTGCTAGGGTATCTGTGCTGATCAAGTGAAAGTTTCAGGCCATCATCGCTACCAGAGAGTGGAGATGAATGAAAATGCACTGGGAGAGCTAAAAAAACTGTTTGATGCCAAATCTGAGCACCTCCACCAGACCTTGGCGCTGCATTCTTACACTTCTGTGCTCTCACGGTTGCAAGTGGAGTCTTACATCTACACATTACTCAATAGTTCGGCTGTTCTGAGATCTTTAGCAATTCATCAGGAAGGCCAAGGTGTGTAAGTAATGAAAGTCTCACTCTTTCTTGTGGTCTAAAATATAAAAAGAATTGAGGGATACAATCTGGTTGATTCTATTGTGTGCAGATATTATAAGGGATAATTTGTGCTTGCTGTTTTACCTTACCTCCCCCAATACAGGACTGAGATCTGCCTTAATAACATTTCTTGGGAGCAGTGCCAGGTCTCCCTACCCCGTGGGCTGTCATTCTCTCCTTCTCTAGGAAGCCAAAAGTTTGCTTTTTATCATTAATGTCTCTTACTGTCCTAATTTATGTGTTCATTACCAATTCAAGTCCAAATATAGTTTTTGATTCTAAAACTAATAATCACAATACTTTTTCATTCTGTCTGTTGCACTTTATTTTTGCTTGTCCATTTTGTTGGGGTGTTTAATTTTCATCAGGGCATTTATAATCTGAATTTTTCATCTTATTTTGGGTTTTAATAAATTAGCCTTGGGCTTTCTTGGTGGTTCAGTGGTTAAGAATTCTCCTGCCAACGCAGGAGACACAGGTTCTAGCCCTGATCCTGGAAGATCCCACATGCCACAGAGCAGCTAAGCCCGTGCGCCACAACTACTGAGCCTGCTCTCTAGAGCCCATGAGCCACAACTACTGAGGCCCGCATGCCACAACTACTGAAGCCCATGCGTCTAGAGCCCGTGCTCCGCAACAAGAGAAGCCACCGCAATGAGAAGCCCGCGCACCGCAATGAGAAGCCTGCGCACCACAATTAAGAGTAGCCCCTGCTTGTCGCAACTAGAGAAAGCCCGTGCACAGCAACGAAGACCCAACGCGGCCAAAAATAAATAAATAAATACATTTATTTAAAAAAAAAGAAAAAGAAATTACTATATGATAAGTATTATGTATGCAATTTTTATTTCTTGGAGAGATACTAGGATCATTTAAAATAAAAAACTTCTTCCCCCTTATCGTTTTCATAACTAATCAGAGAGCTGGGGCTAGGCCAGAGATTTGCTGATTTTTAAATAAAAAATTTTGATGAAGTTAATTTTTTCTTGCTTTGAAATACTTCACGAAGTTAAATACTTTTTTCAGTTTGCATATTTAGTAGAAACTCAGATATTTTGATGTAACTTTTCTCCTTGGATTTTCATCTGAATTAAATATTTTAAATAGTTTATTTATTTATTTATTTTAAGTAGAGACACTAAAAATTCTCCCACAAATACCATTTATATGGGACTCATTTAATCCTCTTTTTAATTTATAGCTTCTAAACAGGTAGAAAGCATTCCCTCTGATCTGTGTCAGCTAAAGGAGTGCATTAGTGTCTTATTCATGTTCACCAGGAGAGTTAATGAAGATACTCAGTTCCATGATGATATTCTTCTCTGGCTGCAGAAATTGGTAAGGAAATAGACATAGTATACTGTCCTTTATTTCCCTGATAATTTAAGAATTATCTCCTGTTTCCTTATAGGTTTTTCTTTAATAGCTTCTTCAGCTAATTTGTTTAATATATTAGTGACGTTTTCTTTGCTCATGACATGTGGAAATAACTTATCCTTATCTAGTGCATTATTAAGCACACAGTGCTTTTCTCTCTGGTAAAGTTTATGTTAAATTATCTTTGGCCTTCGACTTAGAAGGAAATGGAAATGTGGGAAGCATGCTAAATTTAAGACTAGATGTATATTCAGAATATAGGTATGTGAGCTAAAAGTTGTTCATATCACTTTTTTATCATCTTGTGTTTAATGCTGTAATTATACTTTAAAAAAATTTTTAAGGGAAAAAAAAGAAAGGAATCAGGATTTGGGAACTTTAGGAAAGATATCAGGTGTGTTACGTGGGGAGAGGTTGTTCGTTTACTGGTTATGTTTCTCAATGGAGCTCCCTTGGGTGCTTTTTTTAGGTTCATGCTAGCATTCTTAGATATGGGCTGAGGTTCTAAGCATACTTACTTGTATCTGAGAAACTATTACAAACTGGGAATAGATTAAACTACTTGACTTATATCTATTCACGTGTGGCCAGGAACATTAGTGATTTGTAATTTGCCAGATAATAAAAATTGGGTTTGCAGAGAAACTGCTTACGATATTTTTATCAGAGTGCTCTTAGGTTCATAGGCCTCTGTGTACCTCTGTGGTAGAAACTCAACCAGTCAGTGGTATATCTTATGACTGATTACTCTTTTGAAAGATCACATGTATTTAAATATCGGATAAGTGATTTCATTAGACCCTTAAAAACATTCGTCTTTGTAAATAGTAAAACTATACATCCTTTATTGTTTAGGTATCAGTGTTACAAAGAGTTGGCTGTCCTGGAGATCACCTCTTCCTTCTAAACCATATTCTTCGATGCCCGGCTGGTGTTAGTAAATGGGCTGTTCCTTTCATCCAGGTATGATGAATGGCCTTCTAATGTTGAAGAGAATGGGAGGCGATTTTGTTAGACATTTTTCCTGAAGAAGTTGCTTTAAAAAATAAGCCTACTTTAAAAATATTGATATTTAAAATAAAATTATTGGGATATATCTAGTCTGTATTCGTAGGAGTTATTATGCTGCAACTTCTTGGACCACCCAAAACTGATGAAATTAAGATGGAATTGCAAAAGTTCAGTTGTAGTCTGGCTTGGAGGTTTAGTAGTATTTAATTCTGTAAAATTTCTGTGCAGTAAGGCTTGCTAGGACTTTTTTCTGTAATATTCAACACAACGTCCTAAATTAATCCATCTCACACTACAGTTGGTACAGATAAAAAAGCAGCCACAAGCATCTCAAAGTTCTTTAATACTGGCAGAGATCTCAGGTCTGTGCGATCGATTTAGGCATCTCTGCTGCTTGCCTTTGGGTTGTGTTGTTAACTCATAGCAACCCCTCAGATGGGTGGGGCCAGATGTATTCCCGGTCATTCTCCAGGTCATTCTCCATGTTACCTTTTCTTTAGTATTTCTGGTGGCAAGAAATTTGAATCTTTTTAGGTAGAAGGAAGATTTTTTGTTTTTATTTATCTTTGGATTAAGATAGCAGTATACTCCTCCCACCCATATTGTTTCAGGTAATTGATGTAAATGGCTCAGCTACCTCTGTTCTCTGAGTACAGCCCAGTCAGTACTGCCAGGTAACCCACAGGTGTTCACTCTTGTGGATGAGGTGCCAGTTCCATCTTTGCTTCCTTAACAGCTCCCTTTGTCAAAATTCTGGTGAACTAAGATTATGGATACTTGGGTTTTTGGTTTTCTACAGTATGCCTTTTCCTTTTCTGATTTCAGATCAAAGTGTTGAATAACCCATCAGGGGTCTTTCATTTTATGCAGTCCCTTGCCCTGCTAATGTCTCCTGTCAAGTAAGTGTGGAAGAGCTTTGTGAAGTAGAAATGAAAATGTTCTATCAAACAATTGGCTTCCTAAACTGTCCAGATCCAAACAATTGCTAAGAGAAGAGTCAGCATTCCAAAATTTAACATTGCAGGTTTTCTTTGGGTTTAATACCCTTTGTCCCAAAGTGACCCTTTTAACTGCCTTTTTTTTTTTTTAACTGATTAACTTTTTTGGGTCCTCCTTTTTAGTGGATTTGCGACTCCTGTCATATATGTCATTGTGGTGCTGTGGGGAGAAAAAAAGGATGATATCTTCCTTAGAAGGAGAGGTTTAGTGGCAGAGGAAAAAAAAAGCACAGTCAAAGAGATTCAAGTGCTAAATTGTGTGAAGCCATGATTGATGCAGTAGAAATGAAGAGAGTAAAGAGAGTAGAGTGGAGTAGTCAGAGGGTTCCAGGTGGATGAGCTGGGTTTGAAGAATGGAACTGACTTCAGCAGGAGAGAAGTAGGGAGGGCACTGTAGGTGGGAGAACAGTGAGCAGTGGCCCACAGTACAGGGAAGGATAGCTGTGCAGGGGGCAGTTCGGAGAGCAGCTTGGCTGGAGTGAAGGGGTGTGGGGGGGTGATAATAAAGATGAACAACTAGGGTGAGTCTGATTATAGAAGACCTTGAAATTAAGACAGATATTTGAGATGGTCTGGCCTTTGTAGCAATTGAAGGTTTTTGAAAAAGGGTAAAAGTTGTATTTAAGGAAGATTAGGATGGACTGGAGGCAGAAGGAGATGTGCTTTTGCCTCATTTCTTGCATTGAATTGTCTACGGTTGCAGACATCTGGCTCCCCTGGCTCTGGAACTGAATCCAGCATCAAGAGGGCACATCCTTAAGTGGGGGGAGAAGGCAGAGATGTATATAGGTGACCTTGAACTGTGTTACTCCCACTGGCTCTTGATCCAGGAAAGCCTATCTGCCCGCAGCCTGAATTGGTGCTGGTCTTGGGAAGGAGAAAGTGGGGAACGGGAAGGTCATCTTCCCAGGAAAGGATTAAGTAGCTGATTAAATAAGAAAATGTGGGCAAGGGTGGCTCAGACCTAACTCTGTAGACTCTGAGTCTGAGTGACTGAGAGGGTGTTGGCAGCCCCAACAGACCGAAAAGACAGAAAGGAGAGCCGTTGGGTAAGGAGGAGAATTTGAGGTCATTGGGGCTTGCAAGTGGACACATATGAGTGGCAACTATCAGTGGACATGTGGAGCTGCAGGACTGGAGCCCCTCAGGTTGGAAACAGGAAGTCTTGGAGGAGAGCTCCTGGTGAAAGGAGGGAATGGATGAATTTTCGGGGTTAGGCCAGAGAGGAAGGAGCAGAGAGCTGAGAACTGGGTGATGGTCTGAGAGAAGAAACTTCTCTGGTTACACTGACTCGCCAGGTCCAGCCAGCACCTTGTGAAAGCCTGGCTGGCAGGAATTCCCCCAGATTCCTCCCTCTCACCGCCTGGATATAGGGGCTGCTCCTACCTGTGGTGTTTAGGTGTACCTTTCCCCCTAAACCAGCTTCTCCATTACCTGCAGATTATCCTTTTTTATTCAGTAAAGCATGTTTCCTGAACGCTTTGTGAGCCAGTTAGAGTTCAGGTACTGTGTGGTCCTGGGTGTACTGAGGCCCCGCTGTGGGCGGGCACTGTGCTGGCATAACTGCTTCTCTGCGGTTCCTCATCATTATTGACCCAGAATGGCTGTGGTCTCTACACCACGATTAGCGAAGCTTTGGTCTCCTTGAGTTTTAGCCAGTTATTATTTCTTATTTACTAATTCAAACCATTTGAAGATTGAGTGGATGTCTGACTCTTCTTCAGGGCGAGTAGATGATCCAGAATGCACGCAGTGGGCTTTCTGTGTTTATGTTTAGGTGATTGGAGTGATTTCCCTTGTCCTTTAGAAATCGAGCTGAGTTCCTGTGCCACATGAAGCCCAGTGAGCGGAATCCATCCTCCTCGGGGCCTGCATCCGGGACGTGGACACTAGTAGATGAGGGAGGAGAAGAGGTTAGTCGTCATGTCGACAGCATTTTGATAAGCATTTCTGAGCTCTTCTTTTTACGTGCCAAGTATCGTTCTAAGCACTTCTCACGTATTAGCCCATTTAATTCTCCCAACAGCCCCACGAGGCAAATACTGTTTTCATCCCCCTTTTAGAGGTGAGGAAACATGTGCGGGTGGGGTTGAGGGAATTTGTCCCAAATCACACGTCATTAAATGCAGAGCCTGTGCTCTGAGCCAGTGTCTCTGCTGCCACCCTTTCTAGACCATCTCCCTGTGCAGCTGGGAGAGTCTGGAACCTGGAAGTGTTTACATATTATGTACACTTTCTATTAGGATTTTATTTTATGCAGCAACAGTTTTCTGGGCTTGAGGTGTCACCTACAGATACTCCGAGTCTGTATAACAAAGAGCTGTATCTTGCCAAGGTTCTGCCTTAACGCTTACAAACTTCTTATCTAGATCTTCTCATTTGGAAGATGGAAGATAATTTTCTGTTTTTGGTGAGAATTTAATGATCAAAACCCAGTTTCTTGGGAATTCCCTGGCAGTCCAGTGGTTGGGACTCTGCGCTTCCACTGCAGGGGGCCCGGGTTCGATCCCTGGTCAGGGAGCTAAGATCCCACATGCTGCACAACATTGGCCAAAACAAACAAAACCCCACAAAACAAACAAAAAAATCCCCAGTTTCTCAAGATAACAGTTATTGACTTTTCTTTCTACTATATACGTGGTTAGTGTATTGGTGAGGCTTTTTTTTTTTTTTTCCAGCTAGTTATCGGCCCTATCTAATGCGTTTTATGGTCCAAATCCTGATTTGGTGTGTTTGTTCAAGGTTGGCCAGGGACTAAATTTACTGAAACCCCTTCTCTTCAAAAGGAGTTGAAAGTTTGCAGTGGACACTCCTTAGAATGACAGCATGGCAGCTGTGGGATCATGTCTGTGTATTTACCCAGGTGTTCATTCAGAAGCAGGAGCCCCTTCACACTCATTGTGCTCTTCCTGGGACTTGTAGGAGGTGGTGAGATGATGGTAAATGATGTGGCCATGCAGACTTCTTTGCTAGAGATTGAACAGTCATCTGGAGACAGCTTCTCAGGAGCTGGTACAAATTGTTTTTTTTTTTTGGCCTTGCCACACGGCATGTGGGATCTTAGTTCCCCGACCAAGGATTGAACCTGTGTCCTCTGCATCACTGCATTGGAAATGCCAAGTCTTAACCCCTGGACTGCCAGGGAAGTCCCAAATTGCTCTTTTAAAGATTGTGATGGAGCAGGTTTTTTTTTTTCTTCCAAGACTGGTTTCTCCTAAGAGAGGAGTCTTTTTTTCTGGTAGGTTTCCTGCATTTAATCCTAAAGACAGGTAATCATTAAGGACTCTGGAATTGTGTCTGGCTCCTGGTTAGCATTCACTGGATGTTGAGTGGATTCAGGAGCCTGGGGAGGGAATGCTGGGAGTGCTGTTGACTCAGAAAAGGCCATGGGCGGAAGGCACTTTGAATTGTCCATGTCAGTGGTTTCTTGACACCGGCTGTATATTAGAACCACCTGGGCAACTTAAAATCGTTGCCCCGGCCCACACCCAGACATCCAAATGTTTAAAAGCCTCCATGGTTGATTCTGATGTATAGCCAGAGCTGAGGACTGCTCAAGGTAGAATTTCTGAGGCTCTTGTTTGCTAGCCATTTAGGACATGTAAGAGAGTAAAAATGAGTGGCTTCAGGAAATTATGAATGAATTGCATTAGTCCCTTGTTGAAACTGAGGTGATAATTCTTTAGAATCTCTGCGTCTTTTTACAGTATTCCCTTTTGAATGTAACACATCTTAGGACACAAATCAATTTGGTTTCTAAGGAGACTTTAGTGCTCTGTATCAAACAAAAAACTCCAGCTATTTCCCCTATGTGATCCCTGTGTATGACCACTGTTATTTTTATCCTGTTTTCAGCAACACTAATTGACAACAGAACTTTGGTTATCCATAGCAAATGCTAATTGCTTCTTGGTAAGTCAGTTGAGTACGGCAGTAGACCTTAATTTTGGGGCAAGAAGAGGCTTCTGGATAAAATAACTTGGACTCTTAGTGAATGGTTCTTTAATTGATGTTGTCAAATCACTGAGATTTATAGTAAGATCCCTATTCTAGAGGAATTATTTTTCATCTTCTTTGGGATGGAAATTTAATTGAGAGCGGTTTCAGCCACTGAAGAATGGATATGACTCAGATACACATAAAATTATGCTTGCAATTTTAAGGGATTTACAGGTCATCTAATAGAACTGACAGTATAAATCTCTGTCCTGGAGGAGAAGTCCACGAGGACTCATGAGAATACCACGTGTGTACCACTGAGACCTGTGGTAATTCAACTCCTGTAACTCTAGACCATGGTGTCATCTGGTCAAATCAGCTGACATGATTCTGCATCTTCTCCCTTAGGATGAAGACCCTGAGACTAGTTGGATTCTCCTTAATGAAGATGACTTGGTTATCCTTCTATCACAGTTCCCATTTCATGAACTCTTCCAGCATCTCCTTGGGTTTAAAGCAAAAGGTAGACTAATTCGTTTTGTCATATGTAAAATGTGGTAGGGACAAGCTCAAACACAGGAACTTAGCATCAAGTCCTGTCTCGTGCAGGCTCCTGATTCGGGTTCCCCGTGCCTGGCTGTACTATACAGAGATGATTACATCGCCGTGGCGAGGCTTCCTTCCTTTCTCTTGTGATTGTAGTTTCCTCCCTGGTGCTTACATGCATAAGGTTGACCAGCTTGCACATAGCCCAGCTTTAATAAATGGTTTTAATTTTGCACTTTGTCTCAAGTTTCCCATTTTATATTGACATAGGAGCCAGAGCAATGGGGATTCTCTATCTTGGCTTTCTTTCCTCATTAATATACTGTCATCCACATCTTTCAGTGTTTTTCCATAGTAATTATAATTTTTTTTCCTTTTCTTTGATTAATTTCTAGGTGATTATTTACCTGAAACAACAATACCTCAAGAGATGATGAAAATTTTTGCCTTTGCTAACTCCTTAGTGGAACTTCTGGCTGTGGGGTTAGAAACCTTCAATAGAGCACGCTATAGGCAGTTTGTCAAGCGAATTGGTTATATGATCAGGTAATACTGCTCTTGGTTCATCTGTTTCTGTTAACTTTCACCCTGGTCAGTCACAGACACTGTATAATTGGGATGATGGGCATTTGTAGTGGTATAGTTCAGGTCTTATTTCTCATAAAAGTAAGAATTTTTTTTCTTCACCGTCTACCTCTTGGGAATTTTAAATAAATACTTCCAGTCAGAATATTTGGTTAATTATCTCAAATCTCAAACTGGTTTGCTAGACAGTTGTTCTTGGAGTCAAGATCCTCAGAGCAGCTGCTGGGTTGAACTTGGCCAGAGAGAAGGGGTCAAGGAGAGGTCAAAGAAAATACAGGGTCTTTCCCCTTCCTTTACTCTCTTCTATCTCCTAGCTTTTGCCTGGGAATTGTCGTGTAGCTGTGGAAAATTGGCAGTAGCTCTTTTGCATTATTATTTCTCTGTTTTCTCTCTTATTTACTGTAATTGTAATTTCTATAAAATACCATTTAAAGAAAATTGCAAAGATTTCATCAGTGGCCACTGTATTTGAATTGGGAAAGCATTATCATTTATTTGCATGAAAGGTAGGTTTATGTTTTTACTATCAAATATGAGTAAATTCTGAGAAATGCACTGCTTTTCATTGAATTAATTTTGTATCCTCTTTTCTGTATCATCAATTTTTCTGTCTTTACAGTGCATATAAATACACTGCTATTTCTTCCAACCTCCCTTACCTTGAAAGAAAACTTCCAGAAAACTGTAAAACTTCTCCCACTCCCATACTTTTGTTTCCAAAACATAATTGACTTTAATTATTTTAGATACGTATCCTTCAGCTTCATAAAGCCAGGTAAATGATATAGGATGCCCTGAAGTTCTTGAAGTCTCCACAGTCAGGCATTCGCCCCCAACACTACCCAAATAGCTCTGAAGAATGAAGGTTGCTAATGAACTTTGTGCTACTAACTAATCCAATGGCCACCTCTCAGTCTTCATCTTGCTTTACCTCTTACACAGTTCACACAGCAGCCTTTGTCATGACTGGTCACTTTTCCTTAAAGCATTTTCTTTGCTTGACTTCCAGGATACCATGTTCTCCTGGTTTCTCCTCGGTTTCACTGGCTGTTCATTTTCTGCCTCCTTGGTTGTTTCATTCTCACCTCCCAGACTTCTTAATGTTGGATGCCTCAGGGCTTCATCCCTGGACCTCTTTATCCAAACTTGTTTCTTGGGATTCCATCTATTCTAATGTCTTTAAATATCATCTAAATACAGTTAAAATTCCTAGTTCTATTTCCAGCCTATACCTTTCTTGTAAGCTTGTATATCCAGCTGCCCACTCGGCACCTCCACTTGGATGACTCATGATCATCATTATAGTTTAATAATCCCCAACTGGGCCCTCTTTCCCCACCTCTCAAACTGCTCCTCTCACAGTCTTGTCAGTCTCAGTAAGTGGCAACTTTATCCTTCCAGTTGCTCGGGCCGGAGCATTGGTATCATCCCTGGCTTTTCTTTTTACACCCCTCACCCAACCTGATGGTCAATTCTGTCATCTCTACCTTCAAAACACCATCTTTCATCAAACCTAAGGTATATTTTGTGCACCACTAAGAAGGAAAAACTGCTGCCAAATAATGGCATGTCATCAATTTTAATGACATTCCAGTTGTAGAGATTAAAGCATGAAAGGTGTGCATCCTTTGAGTCAATGAAACCTGCTATTTCTAGAATCCAGCCTCTTCTCACCATGTTCACTGCTACCACCATAGTTCATCTTTAGTTATTTCTCACTGATTAGCACAACAGCCACCTGACTTGTTTTCCTGCTTTTGCCCTTGCTCCCTTGCGCACCCCACCCCCAGCTTATTCTCAGAACAGCTGCCAGTGTTTCTTGTAAATCACTCCTCTGCTCACACCCTGCTGCTCCCAGGCTCATTCCGAGTAGAAGCCAGAGTGTTCACAGTGGCGTACAGGACCCTTCATGGTCTGCTTTCCTGTCACGTTTTCGATTTCCTCTCCAGCCATTCTCTCCCTCACTTACTTTGCGTTAGCACGTAGGCTGCCTTGCTGTTCCTCCAACATACCGACCACCCCTTGGAGCCTTCGCACTGGTTGCTTCTTCTGCCTGGATGCTCTTCCCTTAGGTAGTCCTGAGACTGCGTCCAGTCTTTACTCACGTGTCCCTCTTCAGTGAGGCCCCTCCTCCCCCACACTCCAGAGAAACTTCATTTCCCTCTCCTACTGATTTTTCTCAGTGTCATTTATAACCATGTGACAGACTGCATATTTTACTTTATTTGGTTTATTGTCTGTTTGCCCTCCGCTAAGTGTAAGCTCCATGAGGGTAGGGTTTTTTCCCTCCATTGCATCCCCTTTAGAGCCTAGAAGATGGTGAGTGCTCAATAAATATGTGTTGAATAAAGTAATGCTGCAAATGTAATGTAAAGATGCTGCTGTTGAGTGCCTTCATGCAAAGTGCTGCATTGTCTTTCCTCACGCTCAGGATGATCCTTGGTTATGTGAGTGACCACTGGGCCCAGTATGTGAGCCACAACCAAGGCTCGGGATTGGCCCTACAGCCCTACTCCGTGGAGAAACTACAGGTTGAGTTTGATGAGCTCTTTTTGAGAGCTGTACTACATGTGCTGAAAGCCAAAAGGTAAGAAGTATGATGATAATTGTTGAGAAATAGCTCCCTGGCTAGTAAGAAAGATTGGAGTGAAAGTCATTGACTGAAGTAGAACTCTTACAATAGTGTCAATGTATTTCATCTATTTCTTATCTTGGCTTAATTCTTGGGCTTTAGTTTCCTTTTGTGTAGTATTGCCTGAAATGATCTCTCTTTCAGGTTTCTTTCAGTTTCTCCTGAACTTTTGAGGTAACTTTGACCAGGGGATGAATTGTATTTCATGCCCAACTCTAGTGCCCCCAGTGAGGCAGAGTAGGCACTCAGTACATTGTGCAAGCTGTCTTACTCTGTGGGTATTAAGGTCTAGGACTGTCTTGGGTCCGGGTCCCCTGTCTTGGCTGTGTTCTGATCATGCCGTCTTTGCTGCTGCTTACAGCCTAGGATACATTTGAGGCAGAGGTGGGGGCATGGCAGCTCATCCTGCACTATCTTCCCTGAGCTCCTGGCCAAGTGTGGGAGCAGGTTCTGCTGCAGCACTGTGCCCTCTGAGAGGAGATGAGTGGCCTCCCGCCCCACCCGGCTCCACCCATGAACTGCTGCCCACCCCCCACCCCCCACTTCTGCTGCCTTCTGAGCTGTTGACACTCTTGCCATGGGCCTCATAGTCTCAGCCCCTTATTTTTATTTATTTTTTTTGCATCTTTAATAGATCTTTATCGGAGTATGATTGCTTCACAGTACTGTGTTAGTTTCTGTTGTACACCAGAGTGAATCAGCCATATGCATACACATGTCCCCATATCCCCTCCCTTTTGAGCCTCCCTCCCATCCTCCCTATCCACCCCTCTAGGTCATCGCAAAGCACCGAGCCAATCTCCCTGTGCTATGCGGCTGCTTCCCACCAGCCAACTATTTTACATTTAGTAGTGTATATATGTCGATGCTACTCTCACTTCGCCCCAGCTTCGCCCTCCCACCCCATGTCCTCAAGTCCATTCTCTATGTCCACCTCTTTATTCCTGCCCTGCCACTAGGTTCATCAGTACCATTTTTTTTTTTTTTTAGAGTCCATATATATGCGTTAGCATATGGTATTTGTTTTTCTCTTTCTGACTTACTGCACTCTATGACAGTCTCTAGGTCCATCCACCTCACTACAAATAACTCAATTTCATTTCTTTTTATGGCTGAGTAATATTCCATTGTATATATGTGCCACATCTTCTTTATCCATTCATCTGTTGATGGACACTTAGGTTGCTTCCATGTCCTGGCTATTGTAAATAGAGCTGCAATGAACACTGTGGTACATGTCTTTTGAATTATGGTTTTCTCAGGATATATGCCCAGTAGTGGGATTGCTGGGTCATATGGTAGTTCTATTTTTAGTTTTTTAAGGAACCTCCATACTGTTCTCCATAGTGGCTGTATCAATTTACATTCCCACCCACAGTGCAGGAGGGTTCCCTTTTCACCACACCCTTTCCAGCATTTATTGTTTCTAGATTTTTTGATACTGGCCATTTTGACTGGCGTGAGCTGATACCTCATTGTAGTTTTGATTTGCATTTCTCTAATAATCAGTGATGTTGAGCATGTTTTCATGTGCCTCTTGGCCATCTGTATATCTTCTTTGGTGAAATGTCTATTTAGGTCTTCCGCCCATTTTTTAACTGGATTGTTTGTTTTTTGATATTGAGCTCCATGAGCTGTTGGTATATTTTGGAGATTAACCCTTTGTTGTTTCACTTGCAGATATTTTCTCCCACTCTGAGGGTTGTCTTTTTGTCTTGTTTATGGTTTCCTTTGCTGTGCAAAAGCTTTTAAGTTTCATTAAGTCCCATTTGTTTATTTTTGTTTTTATTTCCGTTACTCTAGGAGGTGGGTCAAAAAGGATGTTGCTGTGGTTTATGTCAAAGAGTGTTTTTCCTATGTTTTCCCCTAAGAGTTTGATAGTTTCTGGTCTTACATTTAGGTCTTTCATCCATTTGAAGTTTATTTTTGTGTATGGTGTTAGGTAGTATTCTAATTTCATTCTTTTACATGTAGCTGTCCAGTTTTCCCAGCACCACTTATTGAAGAGGCTGTCTTTTTTCCATTGTATGTTCTTGCCTCCTTTGTCATAAATTAGGTGACCATATGTGCGTGGGTTTATCTCTGAGCTTTCTATCCTGTACCATTGATCTATATTTCTGTTTTTGTGCCAGTACCATATTGTCTTGATTACGGTAGCTTTGTGGTATAGTTTGAAGTCCTCCAGCTCTGTTTTTCGTTCTCAAGATTACTTTGGCTATTTGGGATCTTTTGTGTTTCCATACGAATTGTAAAAGTTTTAGTTTTAATCCTGTGAAGAATGCCATTGGTAGTTTGATAGAGATTGCATTGAATCTGTAGATTGCTTTAGGTAGTATAGTCATTTTCACACAGAAGACTTGTACTCAGAAAACTATAAAACACTGATGAAAGAAATCAAAGATGACCTAAACAGATGGAAAAATATACCATGTTCTTGGATTGGAAGAATCAGCCCCTTATTTATGTGTGTTATGTAGTGGGTTTGAGTACCGGTCTGCCAAGACTGTTACTTTGGGCAAGTCACTTAATATTTGTGGTCTCACTTTGTTCATCTATAAAGTGGAGATGATGATGGCGATCCTACCCATAGACCTCATGGGTATAAGGATGAAATGCAATCATATGTGGAAAGACTTTTTAAACCATAAAGGATTTCTCAAATGTAGGTGGTGGTTGTTTTTGTGTAGTTTCAGATGAGGAACAGAAAAACTGCTGATTTAGAGAAAGGTCAGGACTCTAAGTCTTAAAACTATTCTTAGGCACTCAGAAGGTGTGGGTCTAAGATAAAGAGAACTTGGGCTTAGAAATTTATCTTTAGATTATTCTTGTCCAAAATTTGGTGATCTCACAAGGTGTACCAAATCCTGTGCTGGGGGTCAACGCAGTAGCACCTGCTCACTGAAGCTTGCCTGGTGCTTGGGAAAAGTCTTGCATCTCTGATCTCCTGTCACCCAATCTTGTGTTTGTTTAGCTGAGAGGCAAAGCTTTTGTAGAGGAAATTCTCTGGTTCCTTACTAGGTCCTATACGCTGAGTTGTGAGCCCCTCCTGTAATATTATATATGTAATTCACACAAATAATTGTTTTAAATTTGAAAATGCTGAGAGCTATTGTTTTTGAGTATAGTTTATTTTAGAAATACATCATATGAGAACCAGGTATTTAAAGCCATGAAATTTAAATTTATTTGGCACTCCAGTGGAAATTTCTGACAGTAGCTATACCCCCAAGCTAAAGCAAAACAAACCCAAACCAAAAGATAGGCAACAAAGACCTAAGCCAGACTTACTTCATGTCTGCCATATAGAAAATTTTGTAGCTGGAAATATTTACTGTCTTATGACATTACTTTTAAGGCCTCATTATTTTGGGATCCTTTATACAAGAACATCAAGTCCCATGTGAGGTGTTGGGATAATTATTTAATAAGACAGAAGCCTGACCCACTTGAACTTAGAGAAGTTTCTTTAACTCTGGCTCAGTTATCTAGCTGTTGCTTTTCAGAGTCGAGGTCAGTGGTGGTTCGGACCACTAGTGGCCTGGTGGGCCGCAGACATGGGTTAAGCATGCACTATTTAATTTCTTTTTTTCTTAATAAACATTATTTATAATTGGTTAAATTATAGTTTTGCCCAAAATACAGCAACAGTTTTGAATACCTCCCTGTTTTTCTTTTTTATATTTTTTTACTGAGATAAAATTCATATAACAAAATATTATTAAGCATTTATTGAGTATTGATTGTTTTTGAGATACTGGTTTAGGTACTGGATAATGAAAAAAAAGATTCAGGGTTACACACTGGTTTATGCAAAGACTTGGTTTCTGCTGTCAAATTGCTGTACACTAGTATGTGTACATAAATTACACATTTATGTTTCTTAATGTGTGGTTTAAGGACGACTTGAGTCTGAGTCATCTGGGGTGACTAAAAAAGTACAGATTCTTGGGCCCCAGCGGTGACCTGCAAACTCAGAATCTCTTAGGTGGGCCTTAGGATTCTGCATTTTCTACAAAGTCTCAGGGGATTTTTCTGCCCACTGTGGTGTGAGAAACACTGATAAAAGGGTAATGCCATAGTCAGGTATGGTTAGAATTTCATAATAGTGCTGAGGAGGACATCATGGGAGGTCTTCACAAATGGAGGGTGGCAGCTTGGAGTTGGGGAGTTCTCTCCAGGCTTGTCCAGGAGTGGTCTATATGAATGCAGAGAGGGCTGTGGTTGGGAATGTGAGTCTGAGCTATTTTGTGGAAGCCTTTGAACTTGGAGCTTGAAGGAGTTTGAACTTCATTTGGTGATGAGTGAGGAGTCATGGAGGGCTTTTGATTCCCCTTCTCCCCCCAGCCCCCAACTGCACGTGTCTCTGTGTGTACACATATACCTCTGCGCATGCTCAGACACATACATACATCCAGTCTAAGCAGGCTCTCTGTTGCCCGGATGTTAAAAGGCTCTTTGGTTCAACACCCAATTCTGCCTCTTATTATCCTCTGTGTTCTAGTAGCCTCAAGTGTAAATTGGGGATAATGTCAATAATAGTGCTTGCCTTGGTTATAGTGAAGATGGAATGAGCTGATAAATAGATGATGTGGTGATAGAACAGTGCCTGGCATAGACTAAGCGCTTTATGTGTATTTGCTGTTATTGTTATCCATTCTCTAGGTGTTTATGACTGAAGCATGGTAGAAAAATTGCTGTAGTGTGATTTAAGAATTTAAGAATTTTTTTGTCTACGTTCTCAGTATGGTTAAGTTGACTGATACATAAAATTATTCCTGCTTTTCTGAAAACATGCAGACTTGGCATTTGGCTGTTTATGTCGGAAATGCCCTTCGGGACACTGTCTGTTCAGATGCTCTGGAAGCTCTTCTACCTCATGCACCAGGTGGGGAGCGGGAATCTGGAAAAGCTCTGTACTGCCCTCCTGCCTGCCGAGTGTAAGAAGCGCCTCCAAGGTACAGCCAAAATATGCAGCATCCACCTTTCCTACCTTGTGTGCCTTTCCTCTTCATGGCTTTATTCTTTTTGCTTTTAGAAGGACTGAGAGAGAATGTTTTACTCTGTACTCATGTGTAATCATTTTGAAATTTAAGACTGCTCTGTCGTTTGACTTACTAGAATGGTGGTTCCAATTTCCATTATTCTTCAAATGCTCTGGATAGTAAATTCTATTATAAACCCAATTTGGGGATAGGAAATGAAAATTGGGTTGGTAAATGCCCCATGGAGTTATTTTGAAAATACTGGAAATTTGATGAACTACCTTTGATTTCTTGAATGTGTAAACATATGAAAGGAATCGTTGGCTTGTTGCCTTCTTTCTGTGAAAAGTTCCATTGGGAATATATTTTTTAAACAGACTATTTTCTTCCCTCTACACAACTTTGCCTTTGCAGCATTTAGTTTTCTGTCACATATGGCAAAGCTGATAATCAAGCCTGCCCTCTAGTGACAAAATGTAGTATTGCTTACAGAGCACTCTGAGGAATAGGCAAAACATAGATATTGTTAATCATATTCATCAGTATTTCAGTCATGATTATAGCTAATATCTTGCCCCGAATTTCCATTTATAAGCAAATATTTTTTGTGTGGAATGCCATGTTGGTACTGAGTAGTTTGCTAGTCTTTGCAGTTTTCATTAATAGGGCTGTCATTCATTTGGCTGACAGTTACCAAGTAGTTTTAAGTGTGCTGTTGAGGATGTCTTGCCTAGTGATAGTAGCAGTGCTTTGCAGTTGACAAAGCACTTCACCAGTCACATAGCACCTGATAAATAAACTTTTGAGACAGATGAAGAAACAGAAGCTTGTTAAATATTCCTGAGGCAACATTATATTAGAGTTGGAATGTCATCTGGCCCAGCCTTCTTCCTGATGCCTATAGAAATCCATTCTGGAACAAAGATGTTTGGTATCTTTAAATATTTCTTAATGTCTTTTAATTTTATATCTTCTTTCTCTCTGGAGGAGTAATTAAAGTGATATATGTTTATTCTCTCCCCACTTTAATTTTCTTGAACTTATAGACCCAGAACATTTTGTGAACTTTGAGAAGTGTCTTTCTTCCATGAATAGCTCAGAAGAGATTTGCCTTCTAACTACTTTTGCTCAGATGGCTCAGGCCAGAAGAACCAATGTGGATGAAGACTTCATAAAAATTATTGTTCTGGAGATATATGAGGTTAGAATATTAAGTTTTAGAAATCAGCTAAAAACATTTTCTTTTGGATTGTCCATCCATTGATTCTTTTGTGATTGCTTTAAAAAAAAAAGTGACAATCTTGTATTGTCTGCACTTGTGGAAGGAGATCGTCTCTAAGGAGTACCGAAAATATGAATCACACCCATTCCATTTCCCCCTGCTATCTCTTGTCATTTGATGTATGAGTTTTGGTAAGGAACAGACAGCCTGGCACTGCCTGACATTTGTAGTTTCTATACTTTTCTCTCCCCCTGCCCCGGACCTGCCCCCCTCATTTCTACTCCTCTGACCCTGCGAGGAACATGGAAACCTGGCTTCCCAGCCAATTTAAATGAGATGGTGGAAATAGTACTGAACCTAGAGTTAAACGATCTGGCTTTGTTTTAGCTCTGCTGCTCATTGTCTATCTCACATCATGAAAGACGCCTTACCTCTCTGGGCTTCAGTTTCTTCATCTGTAAAATGATAGGCTGGGATGAGATCCTTGCTTTCTTCACTTTTTCGCTGAGCCATCCCTAACGGTGGAAGAGAGTGAGCTTTGGACCCCATGAGTTGAGGGACATAACTCACATGGTTACCAAAACATTATTTGGAGTTTTATATATATATATTTTTTTAAATACACATTTTCACTGTAGGCTGTCATTTATCTGTTTATCTTCGTAAAAAAATTTCCTCCAAATTTAAGTAAAATTATGTTTGAAGATTTATTATCATCCCCCTCAATACTCCAGTTTGAGAATGACAGAACTGGGTAATCTAAAGTTCTTTACCAGGATCAGATATCCTATTAAGCTGTTCCTATTCTTGTACTTTGTAACCATGCGTGAGAGTAAGGCCTAGATGGATCTGGAATTCCAGACTATCTTCATTGTCTGTAAAAATTGAGAGGAGGATGTATATTTTCACGTATGTTGAATGGCGTTCTCAAGATCCATTGCTAAAGTAATATTTATGCTCTTGAATGATATTTCAAGTGTCTTGACCAGTCCTCACAATAAAAACTACATTCTGATCCTCTGTGTGTGTGTGTACACACATGTGTGAAATTGAAGCAATACTTAATCTTACTGTGATGCACTCTCATATTTTTCTGTTCTATTTTATTCTACTCTCTTATTTTTCTGTTCCATTCCCTTTTATTAAAAACAAAAACTGCTGGCCATTGGCATGATTGGATTGTAACCTGTAGTTTCGAACCCATTGTTTAAGAAGAGTTTGTAAACATTGATATTTTAGAAGCTCTTGTAATTGAGGATCTCACTTTTTTTTTTTAGAGAGAGTAGATATTTCCATGAAATGCATTCTGATTTTCATCATGTTATTGGTTTCCTCAAATTTAGAAAAGTTTTAGTATGGAGGGATTACTTAATTGCTCTGAGGACTCTGGGAGTGCTTTCTGAATCCAGCACTTAAAGTCATTGTCGAACAGTTGCTTTTCCCCTCCATGCCCTCTTCCCCCACCTTCCACACAGTCTGCTCTCTGAAGTTGTGCTCTCTGAAGTTTTGACATCTTTTTGTACATGGTGTGAGCCAAGGCTTCATCTGAGATTCTTTCTACTTTACTTGAAAACCTCCTAAATAAAGTATGGAAAGGTTTTTTTATTGATAAATTGGTATTAAAAATGCCATCTTCACCCCCCTCCTACTTTAGGTATCTTATGTCACCCTGTCCACCAGAGAAACTTTTTCGAAGGTTGGTCGAGAGCTTTTAGGGGCCATCACAGCTGTTCACCCTGAGATAATTTCTGTCCTTCTGGATAGAGTTCAAGACACCATTGACCAGGTTGGAATGGTAAGAACACTGATTTTGTTTGTTTTGTTTCCGTTTTTTCTGTTGTTTGTTTGTTCATTTAAACCCTAGAGTATTGGAGCAGTGGGAAAAATAGTAAGGTCATTGGGATGACTGAGTCACACGGGCACAATAGGGTGAAGAAAACATTTATTGTGTCTCAGGTTCACTGTGCCTGCTTGGGGTTGGCCGCTGCTTATAAAAAACTGTGGGTTGTTTCTCTTAATCTCCTCAAAGTGACTTTCCCACCTCCTTCAGTAACAGGTTTGTACTTTAATTATAGCTTATAGTTAATTCATAGTTTTTATTTCATAATTTTGTTTTGCCTTCATAATTCTTACGTTTTTTTCTTGGAAGAAACAACTCTGATTTAGAAAGAAGCCTTGCTTTAAATCAATCAAAAACAAAATTAGAAGTGATTTAAGTTGAGCTGGATGTATATCGTTTAGTTCTGTCATTTGTCACAATCCCTTTTGTAATCTTTGTGTAGTTTTTAAAAACAGCTTTTTGTGATATAATTCACATACCATACAATTCATCTCTTTAAAGTATACAAGTCAGTGGTTTTTAGTATGTTCACATATATGTGTAACTATCACCACAGTTATTTTTAGAACATTTTCATCACCTTAGAAAGAAACCACATACCATTTAGCTGTCAGACTTCCATCCCTTCCAGCCCTGAGCAACCACAGTCTACTTTGTCTCTATAGATTTACCTATTCTGGACATTTTATATAAATGGAATCACAAAATATGTGGTCATTTGTGACTGGCTTCTTTCACTTAGCATAGTGTTTTCCAGGTTCATCCATGGCCAAATAGTACTGTATGAGTGTATCATTTTTAAAAACATACATTTACTGAAGATTTTCTTCATCATCTATAATAAGGCTGTAATGAATGAATTTTTCTGACGGCAGGTGGTCATGTGTCATAACTTCAGGAGGAAAGTTTGAAGTTATAGTGTCTTTCTCTGGGCTTATGTTTGCACAGGGCCTTTCCATTCTTATAGTCACTGCATCATCCCTGTAGGATAGATGACTGATAACTACTAATACTTCATCACATTCATGAGTGAGCAGATTCAGTGACAGATTGGTTTATGAGACATATTTTTTTCTAAATGAAGAATACATGATATATAATGCTTTACTTGGCAAAGTATATATATATTTTTACATTAAAAGAAATTTAATTGTGGTAAATTATACATAACATGAAACACACGGTATTAACCATTTTTCAGTTAAATGGCATTAAGTACACTCACATTGTTTTGTTACCTACCATCACCACCATCCATCCACAGAACTCTTTCATCTTGTAAAACTGAAGCTCTGTACCCATTAAAAACTAACTCCCCATTCCCTCCCAGCTCCTGGCAGCCAGTACTCTACTTTCTGTCTCTTTGAGTTTGACTACTCTAGGTACCTCATAGAAGTGGAATCATGCAGTATTTGTTCCTTTCTGTGTGGCTTATTTCACTTAGTATTATGACCTCAAGGTTCATGCATGTTATAACATGTGTCAGAATTTCTTCCCTTTTTAAGCCTGAATAATATTCTATTGTATGTATATACCACATTTTGTTTATCCATTCATCTGCTGATGGAACTTGGGTTGCTTCTATCTTTTCGCTATTTGAATTATGCTGCAATGAACATGAGTGTACAAATGTCTCTTTGAGACTCTGCTTTAAATTCTTTTGGGTATGTACTCAGAAGTAGAATTGCTGGTTCATATGTTAATTCTATTTTTAATTTTTTGAGGAAACACCATACTGTTTTCCATAGCAGCGGTACATGGTACTTTTTCTATTTAAGTAAACATTGTATCCCACTGGGGTACAATTATATTGAGGTGAAGGGGTTTTCATTTGCAAACAGCAAGTTTTTGGTTGCTCCTTTTTTAGTGATCATCTAATGGAATGATTTCCAAAGAAGTCTACAGTGGGTCATATGATTCTTTCAGTTTGATTGAGTTCATGACCTTTTTCTGACAAGTGTTTTTCTGGGTTTGGCCACACTTACATTTTTAATTAGGTCATAATACTTTTAGTAATAAATTGTGCCCAGAAATATTCTTAACAGTGAGTGTACAGATTAGAACCATAATGTTTTTTAGAGCACATCTTTTAAAAGATGCCCCCACTCTCTGTTTAGATATATGGTTCCTTTGTGTTCTGTGAACTTGCTGACATTTTTGGAGGAACTTATTCAAGCCCCCTTGCCTTCAGATGAACAAGATGGCTTTGAATATTTTTGCTTTGACCTTGGGCTAGTCTGAAATCAGCTCCTAGCTCCAGAGACTGGGAATGAGCTGTGGCTGTGGACCTAAATATTCATTGACACACCTGGGGTGTGTCTGAAGGTAACTTTTTCTGGAGGCCCAGCAGGAGAGGAACAATCCTTTGTGCTATATGTAGATGTGTGGGTATTGCTCTGGGTTAGGAATAGTTGTTGATAAGGACCAAGCCTTTGGGGACATCTCAAAGGAAAGAACTCAGATAAGTTTTGATGACAACCTGCAAATGGATAACATATTTTCCTATTGGTCTTTTTTATAATTTGAAACATGGGTTCACTTCAGAGGACATTCTACTTTTGTTAGTGAAATTCATGCATCTTCCTAACATCCTCTTCAGGTAAAATTAGTGATCTTCTGACTTTCAGTGAAAGCATAAATATATTTTAAAATACACTCTTTAAATTCTGTTTTGTTGGGAATTCTTATTAGGATTCTTTCTTTTTAATCATTTCTTTTTTTGCCTTATTGAATGCACTAGGCTTTTCATTACAATATGGGATAGAGTTAGTAAAAGTGGACATCCTTGTCTTGTTCTTTATCATAGTAGAAAGGGTTCCAAAGTTCACCATTAAGTATAATGCTAGCTGTAGGTTTTTCACTTATACTCTCTGGTAGGCTGAGAAATTTCTACTTCCAGTTTGCTGAATTTTTTTTTTTTTTTCATGAATGGGTATTTACTTGTTTTTTCTTCATCCATTGAGGTGGTCATATGATTTTTATCCTTTTTTCTGTTAATGTGGTGAATTACATTGACTGGTTTTCACATGTTGAACCATCATTGTTTCCTGAAATAAAAACCACTTGATCATGATATATTATTCTTTTTATGTATTGTTAGGTTCAATTTGATAATATTTTTTCTTGCGGGTTTTTGCATATATATTCATGACAGATATTGATCTGTAATTTTATTTTCTTGTTATATCTTTGTTAGGTTTTGGATTTAGGGTCATGTTGGCCTTGTAACATGAGTTGGGAAGCATTTCCTCCTCTTCTGTTTTTGAAAGAATTTTTGTAAGATTGCTATAATTCTTCCTTGAATGTTTGATAGAGTTTACCAGTGAAATCATCTGGGCCTAGGGTTTTCTTTGTGTTTTGATAACGAATTCAAAATTTTAAACAGATACAGATTTTTATTTTTTTTTGAGTCAGTTGGTTAAGTTATGTTTGTTTTTTTTAAAAACATCTTTATTGGAGTATAATTGCTTTACAATGGTGTGTTAGTTTCTGCTTTATAACAAAGTGAATCAGCTATACATATACATATATTTATGTTTTTAAAGGGATTTTTCCATTTCATCTAACTAGTTGAATTTACTGGCAAAGAGTTTTTGTAATGTTCCCTTTTTAATGTCCCTGAGATCTTTCTTGGTAGCTTCACTTTTATTCTTGATGTGTAGATATATGCTATACCGTTATTTATTTATTTTTTTTGCGGTACGCGGGCCTTTCACTGTTGTGGCCTCTCCCGTTGTGGAGCACAGGCTCCGGACGCGCAGGCTTAGCGGCCATGGCTCACGGGCCCAGCTGCTCTGCGGCATGTGGGATCTTCCCGAACCGGGGCATGAACCTGTATCCCCTGCGTCGGCAGGCAGACTCAACCACTGCGCCATCAGGGAAGCCCCTATACCATTATTTTGTGTAGCTGGGGATAGTTGGTTTTCTGGACAGATCTCATTGCTATACTCATTGTTCTAGTACCATTATTTTGTTCTTTTTGTCAGATGCTTACAGGCTAAAGAAGTATTTTTCTACTTGTTAGATTGCTAGTTTACCATTTTATTCAGCATATTCAAGACCTTTATTAACAAATCCTTCTGAAAATTTAGCTAACTGCACACACACACTACACATGCAAAGGAAAGAAAGGATCTTTTTAAAATTCATTCGTTCTACTCGTCTTTCAAATTTTTTTCCCCGTTCTTTCAAATTTTGTTTTGCCTCCAATTTGGAGTAGTGCAGGAACCTAAAAAATGCTTGGTTATATGTTCTAGAGCTGAATTGTCCAATACAGTAACCACCAGGCATATGTGACTATAGACCCTTGTAATGTGGCTCATCCAAATTATGATGTGCTGGAAGTGTAAAATACTCACTGGGTTTCCAAGGCTTAGTATGAACAAAAGAATAATGTATCTCAGTAATCTTTTGTGATGACTACATGTTGAAATACTGTTTTGGACATACTGGATTGAATGATATATATTGTTAGAATTAATTTTACCTGTTTCTTTTGACTTTTAAAAATGGCTATTAGAAAAATAAAAATTACATGTGTGGCTTGCATTAGATTTCCATTGGACAGCATTATTCTAGACATTATTTATGAACTGCTCTTAAACCAAACTGTTTTAAGTGAACCCAGATTTATCTTAATTTGCACATGGATATGTTATTTAAAAGTGGTGCTATGGACTTTTTGTACAGGATTTTAAAAAGCTTTTATTATATAATATTTCAAATATATAAAAAGTAGAGAACAATATAATGAATTGCTATGTACCTATCATCCAGTTTCAACAAATACCAACTCTTGGTTGATCTTGTTTCATCTTTACCCCCATCCACTCCTTGTATCTTCTTCCTAGAATGCTTTTTTTTTCCTAGAATGCTTTGAAGCTAATAGAAGTAATTTTTTAAATGATGTAGAAGAAATAATTATTTAAAGTGCTAAGTCTTTTTGTAAAATGAATGACTTTCCACTGATTTATCATGACTTTAAATTTGGATCTTTCTATGGTGATTTTTTTTAATGGAAGTGTACCAGTTTACATACGAAAAAAAGCTTGACCTTTACAAAGGATTGCAAAATGTGCTTTTGGTGTATCATTAGTTTTAATATTCGTTTGATTTGGTTGTTCATTTCACTGTCTAAAAAACAAAACCCCACTTCCTTTTGGAGAAAAATTTTGTAAGCACTTTAATGATATAGTATTGTAGTAATACAGGATTGTCCTTAAGTCTTGATTTTAATTATTATCATTTTCTTTTAAATAAGGTTTCTTTATACTTGTTTAAAGAACTACCTTTGTATCTTTGGCGACCTTCTGCCTCCGAGATAGCTGTGATTCGGGATTGGTTATTCAATTATAACCTGACAACGGTGAAGAATAAATTGGCCTGTGTTATTCTAGAAGGACTAAATTGGGGATTTGGTGAACAGGTATGTATTAAAACCGTTCCCTAGAGACTGGAGGGTCCACACACATCAGTTTCAAAGAAACATTTTCTCAAAACATTAACATTTTTGAGTATCATTTGCAAGGTCTGCAAATTCTTTTAGCTGCATCAGAGTTTAGGATCTTCTCTAATTAGTTCTGTTTTGCAGAGTGAGCATCCTGTAAGTGAAGATAAATTGCTCCACACTGAAAATTCTTCCCTTTTTCCTTGGATCATTTGTTTCTGTTGTTTTATTTCTGGATATTTACTGCAGTTCCTCCTAATTGCCACTCTTACCTCTGGTCCTTTTTCCTTGTACATTTTGTATTGTGTATCATTGCCAGACTTGTCTTCCGAAACACTGTGTACTGGTTAAGAGCCTGAGCTCTGAGCCAGCCTGCCTGGGTTCTGATCCCAGCTCTGCCACCTCCTGGCTGTGTGACCCTGAGCAAGCTTCCTGAACTCTCTAGGCCTCAGTTGCTCATCTGTAAGCATTCACATTAACAGGCTTACCTCAGAGGGCTGTTGTAAGGTTTCAGCAAGCTAGGACATGTAAAACATTGAGGACAGTTCTAGGCACATGTTAAGGTCTTAGTGGTGGTAGTTTTTGTTCATAATAGTTTATTGTTATTAAGAGTTTGCTACCTATCATATGTCTCCAAAGATGCAATATCAAGGCATTTTGACTGTTAAGATCTTTCTGCCTTCTTACCCTAGGCCTTATTAGTTAGCTTCTTGATCAAAGTATTTAAACATTTTAAAGGGAAAATGGAAGAGAACTCAGCCCTCTCTAACTATCCGCCAGCTTTTGTTCTGAGCGAGTCATCTAGTCCTCTCAGCTGTCTTGTGTGCTTGGCGTGAACATGACCCCTGTTGTACAGATGAGGAAGCTGAAACCAGGGAGCGTTTCCTCCAGGGTGTCCCTGACCACCTGGTCTGCTCATGGGCTCATCGGGGTCTTTTCTCACTCAAGTGCTGGTGGGTGAGAGCTGCAGGGGGCTCTTCTCCACCTTCGCCTTCTCTGACTTGTGAACAGAAGCCCCAGCCCCCCTCTCCCAGAGAGCTGCATGCACAGTCTCCTCGAGTGTCTCCTCGTTCATTTAAAGTAGGAACTCTTTTTTTTAATAAATAAATTTATTTATTTTATTATTTTGGGCTGCCTTTGGTCTTCGTTGCTGTGCACGGGCTTTCTCTAGTTGTGGCGAGCGGGGACTACTCTTCGTTGCTGTGCGCAGGCTTCTCATTGCAGTGGCTTCTCTTGTTGCGGAGCACGGGCTCTAGGCATGCGGGCTTCAGTAGTTGTGGCACACGAGCTCAGTAGTTGTGGCACGTGGGCTCTAGAGCGCAGGCTCAGTAGTTGTGGCGCACGGGCTTAGTTGCTCCGCGGCATGTGGGATCTTCCCAGACCAGGGCTCGAACCCGTATCCCCTGCGTTGGCAGGCGTATTCTTAACCACTGCGCCACCAGGGAAGCCCTCTCCTTGTTCTTTTGTTAGCGTTCGGAAAGTGCTCTTCTCTCGGAGGCTTAGGGAATGTATTTCTTCAGGCTGTAAAGGAAGATTGGGTGGGAAATTTGGTAGGCAACTTCAAGCCCCTGAAGGAGTATTTTACCTGTGCTGTTGAGTATTTTTTTTATTTTCACTGATGACAGAACAAGAAAAGGGAATGTAGACTTAAATTATTAAGTATCTTTCTGTTTAGTTAATAATAATTCAACATCTTCCTGGTTCTTAACAATGCCCTTAAACTTGTAACCCAAAGTATTTATGGAGATTTTAGGGTGGGGGTTGGGGGTTGCATTCAAAGATACCTTTTATGACTGGGATTGGGGATGACTCGGGCTCACACCTAACTGGGTGCAGTGTAGTGGTTCTTTAAAGATTTCAATTATTTTTCCTATTGTCATTTTATAATTTCATTGTTAGGGGGTGTGAGCTTTGGAAAATTAAACTTCTGCATCCAAGGTTCTTTTTTACTATCCTGACTAATCTTTTAGTTCAAAGGTATAACCAAAAAAAAATCAAGATGACATGTTTGTGATGATTTTTCTCTTTAAAAGGGGACTCTTCATCTGGATCAAGCAGTCCATGCTGAAGTAGCTTTAATGATTCTTGAGGCGTACCAGAAGTACCTTGCACAGAAGCCGTATGCTGGGTTTCTTTCTGAAAGTATGAAGCAGGTATTTCCTTCTTTTATGTATTGAGGACGTAAACCTTTATTATAAATGACCTGGATGGATAAAGTTACAATATTTACCCTTAGGTTTCCTAAGAACATTTCTGGCAATTTAAGATACTGAAATTGAGTTCTATGGTTGGAGAAAGATTTTTCTTTAAGAAGTAGCCTCCATATGACCATTTTAGTATCATGGAATTTGAGTTGAGCTACAGCGGTGTGCTGGTGCTGGCTCATACCGGCTTGGAGAACTGATTGTTACATTTTTAGGAACTTTGCAGGTCTGATTGTTAACCTGCTGGTGGCTTGAAGTTGACCATGGTGGGAGTTTTTATGCTACCAAAGTGGGCAAACCCTTATAAATCGGCCTCTATGCTCCAGCTGGTTGTTAAATTTTTTTACCAGCACATGATTTGTTGCATACCAACTTTCATATTATTACTCTTGCTTGAGCAGACCCAGATCAGGTTCACAAAGTGACTGGCAAATAATCAGAAGTCAGCTGTGAGTGAGAATCTGCTTTAATTTAGCGGTGCAAACACTGAGTACCAGTAAGCATTATGTCCTTTCTTTTTTTTTTTTTTTGGTACGCCGGCCTCTCACTGTTGTGGCCTCTCCGCCTGTCCCGTTGCGGAGCACAGGCTCCGGACACGCAGGCTCAGCAGCCATGGCTCACGGGCCCAGCCACTCCTCACCATGTGGGATCTTCCCGGATCGGGGCATGAGCCCGTGTCCCCTGCATCGGCAGGCGGACTCACAACCACTGCGCCACCAGGGAGGCCCTATGTCCTTTCTTTTGATGGCATTGTTGATCACAAAAAGAGATGGGTGGGTGAGCTTACTGATTTAATGTGCATGTGACTAATGTGGTTTAAAATAAATGTTTTAGGTTTCGTATTTGGCCAGTATTGTTCGATATGGAGAGACACCTGAGACCTCATTTAACCAATGGGCCTGGAACTTGATCTTGAGGTTAAAACTGCACAAAAATGATTATGGAATACAGCAGAATTGTGCAACTCTTCTGTTCTCCAGCACTGTGCCTGAAGTGACAGAGTCACCCACGTTTCATCCTCTCTTGAAGGCTGTTAAGGCGGGCATGCCCATTGGCTGTTATCTGGCCTTAGCTATGACGGCTGTGGGCCACAGGTACAGTGTTTGTGTTGAACTTCTAGGGTTGCTGAACCTTGTAGTCAGTGATTCTGGAATCTTATCTTTCACATCCCAAGGTCTGAGGCCTCCATCAAATCTATCTAGGGGTAACCAGGGCCAAATAATAAGCCTCGATTAATAGCTTATCATGGGGAAGTGCTGCCTAAATTCATATAACATGGGTTTGTAACAGAAAATCACCTTGTTGCACTATCATCCAGTGTGGAACTTTTATGTCAACAGTAGACAGAGTCTCTTCCTCAGAATAGTGATCAAATAAAAATAATTGGTCACTTGTACCGAATTTTGTTCAAAGTGATCGCAGCCCTACCCAGCCTTCCCAGCTATAAAGGAAGCTAACCCTAAACCTACCCAAGGGGATGAAACGCCTTATCATGTCAAGTGCCTCTCTTGTATGAGCCCATAGCTGTGTCTGTTTCTTCCATTGTAGCATTTATCACACTATAATGTAGTTGTCTGTTTAATTTTATTGGAGACATTCTGTGAGGTTAGGACTCAGGAACCATATTTGTCTTGTGGTATTTTATCCCTAGTGATGAAGACTGAATCTGGTGCAGTAAGTAACTGAATGCATGAATTCTCAGTTGGTTAAAAATCCTTTTCATTAAGGATCATTTTCCTACAATGTATTAATTTTATTTAGCCTATCCAGTTTTCTAAAACATCTTTGGCCGATACTTTCTGATTCTTATGTTTTAGATTCACTGTAACACCTTTTTAGCAACCTGATTTAAACATCTTCTTCCACATTCAGTATATTTTCAGTGGGATGCCAGTTGTCCTATGAGCTATTAGTGTTCAGCCTGTGCTGTGAAATAGGAGAGGTATGGAATTGTTAGATAGCTGTCCTCAGGTTGTTGACAGCTTAGTGGACATGGGAGACATAAAACAATTGGCAGTACTGAAGAATATAATCATGGGCTGGATGATATGAATAGAGCTCTGGTTCTTAATCCTAACCACCATTTAGAATCACTTTTGCAGTGATTCTAAAACTACCAATACAGGGAAGAGAGTGAGAATCCTGATCTAACTGATCTAGGGGCCAGTTCTCCAGGTGATTCTAATGTACAGCCTAGATTGGAACCTCTCAAGAGTATGGGCAGAAAGAATTTAAAGTAAGGAGAGATCACTAGAGCAGGATACCCTCATGGAGGAGCTAAGCTTTGGAGAGGAGTCTTTTTTTTTTTTTTTTCCTGTGGTACATGGGCCTCTCACTGTTGTGGCCTCTCCTGTTGTGGAGCACAGGCTCTGGACGCGCAGGCTCAGCAGCCATGGCTCACGGGCCTAGCCGCTCCGCGGCATGTGGGATCTTCCAGGACCGGGGCACGAACCCGTGTCCCCTGCATCAGCAGGTGGACTTTCAACCACTGCGCCACCAGGGAAGCCCAGGAGTCTTATTAATTAGAGATGTCCTGGGCTAAGGAGCAGAGTAGTGACTCTTACCTTCCCCAGGTGATCAGTGCCCACGGTGTTGAAGATTCTGCCCACGGGCCGCCCACCCCTGCCCTGCAGCACCTGTGCCTTCTGAGCTGGGTGCTTAAGGTGTAATCGTTTCTCCTCCTCCTTTGGGACTGTGTGTTCCTTAATGGTAGGGACATGGTAGGGGCATTGTCTTGATATCTCCAGAACTTGTACTTTGTAGGTATTTCTTTTTTTTTCCTTCCAGTTTTATTGAGATATAATTGACATACAGCACTGTATAAATTTAAGGTGTATGGCATGATGATTTGACTTACATATATCATGAAATATATAGTTTAGTGAACATCCATCATCTCATATAGATGCAAAATTAAAGAAATAGGAAGAATAGGGAGGATGGGAAGGAGGCTCAAGAGGGAGAGAATATGGGTATATATGTATGGCTGATTCACTTTGTTATACAGCAGAAATTAACACAGTATTATGAAGCAATTATACTCCAATAAAGATCTATTAAAAAAAAAGAAATAGGAAAGATATTTTTTTTCTTGTGATGAGAACGTTTGGGATTTACTCTCTTAACAACTTTTATATATAATGTACACCAGTGTTAATTATGTTATCATGTACATTACAGTATATCCCTAGTATTTATTTATCTGATAACTGGAAGATTGTACCTTTTGACCACCTTTATCCAATTTCCCCTCCCTCCACCCCCCCACCTCCCCCCAGCCTCTGGTAACCACAAATCTGATCTCTTCTTCTATGAGTTTGTTTGTTTTATATATTTATTTATTTTTGGCTGCGTTGGGTCTTCATTGCTGCACGAGGGCTTTCTCTAGTTGCAGCGAGTTGGCTGCTCATTGCAGTGGCTTTTCTTGTTGCAGAGCATGAGCTCTAAGCATGCAGGCTTCAGTAGTTGTGGCTCACAGGCTCAAGAGTGCAGGCTCAGTAGTTGTGGCGCACGGGCTTAGTTGCTCCGCGGCATGTGGGATCTTCCCAGACCAGGGATTGAACCCATGTCCCCTGCATTGGCAGGTGGATTCTTAACCACTGCACCACCAGGGAAGCCCTGTTTATTTGTTTTTGAAGTATAACTGACCTACAACACTATGTTAGTTCCTGTCACACAACATAGGGATTCAACATTTCTGTACATTTCTAACTGATCACCCGATAAGGCTGGTTACGATATGTCACCATACAAAAATAATACATAGTTATTGACTGTATTCTCCACACTGTACATTTCATACCCGTAACTCATGTATTTTGCAATTGGAAGTTTGTACCTCTTAACCTCCCTCACCTATTTCTTCCTCCCCACCCCCCACCTCCCCTCCATATTTCATTCCACCAGATATCTGTCTGGCTGGGTGGCGGTGGGGGGGAGGGAAAGGGAAGTGTTGACAAAACTCTCTTGGCTGAAGCCTGTGTTTCCTGTTGGTGAATGGAGGTCACCAGGTAATTATGGACAAATTTGAAAGCCAGTTAAGGAGGGCAGAACTGATGTACTAGGAAGGGGAGAGATGTTATATAGGCCCTTTGGAAGGCACTCTTTTTTCTTCTTTTGCGGTACGTGGGCCTCTCACTGCTGTGGCCTCTCCTGTTGTGGAGCACAGGCTCCGGATGCGCAGGCTCAGCGGCCATGGCTCACGGCCCCACCGCTCCGCGGCATGTGGGATCTTCCCGGACCGGGGCACGAACCCGTGTCCCCTGCATCGGCAGGCGGACTCTTAACCACTGTGCCACCAGGGAAGCCCTGGAAGGCACTCTTTACATCATTTCTAGTAGCTCTAGTGTCATTCACAGTTTCCTGTACCTCAGGTTCCTCATCTATGAAATGGGAATAATAATAGTATCAGACTTACTTTATGAGGCGTAAGTGAGTTACAAGACGTTTGACATGCTTAGAACAGTGTCTGGTATGTGGATTCTTTGAGTGTAGTACTCTGAACTTAATCGTTTCATGATTTCTCTAATTATATTTATTCTGGAACTGTAGCTCTTTATTCACTAATACTGCTGTGAGTCCTCTCTAAAATAAATACTGGTTTAGTGCTGATTCCTGAATCCTGAGTGGGTGTGAGGGTGAGAGTGTTTCTTTTTGGGGCTGAACTCCACTGTGGTCATCTGGGATGATTCTAGAACTAACTTAAAACAATCTTATGAATGGGCTTAGGATTGGGGGCAGAGTGTGAAGGACATAAGTTGTACATGAATATAAAGTCATAGATAATACAGAGAACAATAATCAAAAAAAATCACCCAGAATCTTTCTCATCGTAATAAAACATTGCTTATTTTTCTGTTTATTTTTATTCAGTATGTTTCCTTGGATCTTTTATAGAGCTGTACTATATGCATAATTTTATATATCCTTTGTTTTTTACTTTTAATATTGTAAATGTTTCCCTTAGGGCATAATCTTTGCATTATTCCTATTATTTTTTGAAAAGATTTTTTTCCCCCAGAATTAAAGCAGTGTAACCAAACTATAGAATTAGGAAAATGGAGGAAAAAACCACTCTTTTTTACCACTCCAACACAATGAGCATTTTAGTGTGACATTATCCCTGTTTTTTTCCCTGTCTGTACAGTATAACTCTTCTTTACCAGTAGTTATAGTTAGAAGTATAAAGTTTTGTTTTTTCCTAGTACCATTTTAGCAGAAATATTTTTCCATATTGCCCTTGGCCATCATATGCATACTTTTAAGATAATTCCGTAATATTCCCATTGAATGGATTTTTCCAGAATTTACATTAAGTCATTTATGCCTCTGAGTTTACAAGTATGAATAATTCTGAAAAGTACATTTTTACATGGATCATCTGTCATATTTTCTTCCATATTTGAGATTATTTCTTAAGGATAGAGTCTCTGAAGAGTCAAAAAAATAAGTAAATTTCTAGGCCACATTGATTTCAGAAAAATTCTGCCAGATTACACAGACAGATTGAGCTCATTTTTGAATCTTTGCTATAATACCTTGTGGGACTACGTAGACAATGAGAGCTCCATGACTCTTAGAAGAAGCACCATTTGAGAAGCAAAGTGGCCAGGGCTCTGGACTAGAAATTTGCAAACCTGGGTCCTCAGTTTGACCCTATACCAGGAAACTGTGTGAATTGGGCCATGATACTTCACCTTTCTTTTGTATAAAATGATAATATAGATGAACTTTTAAGTTCCCTTGTACTTCTAGAGTTCTGATTCTAGCATTTCTGTGTGAAGTTTGGGTATGCATAAATGGGTTGGAGACCTGAGATAATCTGGGTAGCGTGTACTATGATAGTGCATTGGAAGAACATCAGTTTATGAACTGGCTACCTCGTATGCTCATTGCCTTTTTCTTTTTCCATAGCATTGAGAAGTTCTGTGCAGAAGGCATCCCACTCTTGGGGATTCTGGTCCAGTCGAGGCATTTGAAAACAGTGGTCCATGTCCTGGATAAGATTCTGCCTTTGTTCTACCCTTGCCAGTATTACCTTCTAAAGAATGAGCAGTAAGTGGAGAACAGCCCAGCGAGTACAAAATGACTATGTTCTCTGGTTTCTCAAGTATAATATAGGGAATGATATTTCAATAGTGTATTTTTTATGAGGCAGAAAACTTCCTGCCTATTTTAGAATGCAGAGTGATGAACAGTGACTCTAATAATGATTCTAGTTTTATTGTCATGAAAGATACTTCCCTTTGTCATTTAATTTTGGATTGCTTATAGCTTATTAGTATTGAAAAGGGTGGTGGTTTCCATGAAACTGGGAATAGTGCTTCTGACCTTGAGCAGCAAATGGCTTTGCTGTTGTAGCAATAGCGAAACACGTTGCTTTTAATTGCAGTGTGCATGGGGCAGTATTATAAACAGAGAAGATACACAGGGAGGTGCTCATCACATGAGACACTGATAATCTTGTGGAGAAAATAAGACTTCTGAGGTAATCACAAAGTTATGAAGCAGAATATTGGCAAGGCCATGCTAGGGCGTATAGATTGCATTTGCATTACAGTTGACCCTTGAACCACACGGGTTTGAACTGTGCAGGTCCACTTATACGAGGATATATTTTAATAAATACACTGGGAAATTTTTTGGAGATTTGTGACAATTTGAAAAAACTCACAGATGAACTAATGTAGCCTATAAATATTGAAAAAAATTAAGAAAAAAGTATGTCATGAATGTATAAAATAAATGTAGCTACTAGTCTATTCTATCATCTACTACCATAAAATATACACAAATCTATTATAAAAAGTTAAAATTTATCAAAACTTACACACACAAACACAGACCATACATGACGCCATTCATGGTTGAGAGAAATATAAACAGACATAAAAGGTGCAGTATTAAATTACAGCTGCATACTGTACTACTGTAATAATTTTGTAGCCACCTCCTGTTGCCATGAAGGTGAGCTCAAGTGTTGAGTATCCGCCTAACACGCTTTGTGACGCTAATCTTCTCCGACTGAGCAGTTTGTCTCTCCAGTAAATTGTGCATCACAGTAAAAAGTGACCTCTTGCAGCTCTCGCGTCATTTTCATTGTGTTTAGTGCCTTAAATAACACCATGGGACCCATATGAAGTGCCTCTAATGATTCTGGAAGTGCTCCCAAGAAGCAGAGAAAAGTCATGACATTACAAGAAAAAGCTGAATTGCATGATATGTACCATAGATTGAAGTCTGCAGCTGCACTTCCTGTCATTTCAAGATAAATGAATCCAGAGTAGGAACCATTGTAAAAAAAAGAAAAGGAAATTCATGAAGCTGTCACTGCAGCTACACCAGCAGGCTCTGAAATGTTGTACTTTTTGTGAAATACCTTTTTATCTCATATTGAAAATGTAGCTTTTGTGTGAGTGCAGGATGGCTATAAGAAAGGCATACCTGTAGACCCTAATATGATTAGAGAAAAATCAAAGTCATTTTATGACAACTTAAAGCAAAAGGAAGGTGAAAGATCTAAAGCTGAAGAATTTAATGCCAGCTCAGGATGGTTTGATAATTTTAGAAAGAAATTTGGCTTAAAAAATGTCAAGATAACAGGAGAAGCAGCTTCTGTCAACCAGGAGGCAGCAGATGAGTTCCCAGATGCCATTACAAAAATCATCGAGGAGAAAGGATATCTGCCGGAGCAGGTTTTTTTTTTTTTTTTTTTTTTTCGGTACGCGGGCCTCTCCCTGCTGGCCCCCACCTGCCGTGGAGCACAGGCTCCGGACGCACAGGCTCAGCGGCCGTGGCTCACGGGCCCAGCCGCTCCGCGGCATGTGGGATCCTCCCGGACCGGGACACGAACCTGCGTCCCCTGCATCGGCAGGTGGACCCCCAACCACTGTACCACCAGGGAAGCCCCGGAACAGGTTTTTAACGCAGATGAAAGTGCCCTATTCTGGGGAAAAAAAAAATGCCACAAAGGACATTTATTAGCAAGGAAGAGAAGCAAGCACCAGGATTGAAGGCAGGAAGGGATAGGCTAACTATACTGTTTCGTGTAAATGTAGTCGGGTTTACGATTAGGACTGCCCTTATCTGTAAAGCTGTTAACCCCCCAGCCTTGAAGGGAAAAGATAGATACCAGCTGCCAGTCTCTTGGTTGTACAAGGCCTGGACAGCGAGAACCCTTTTTTTTGATTGTTTCCATCAATGGTTTGTCCTTGAAGTCAAGAAGTGCCTTGCCAGTACTGGGCTGCCTTTTAAAGTTCTTTTGGTATCGGACAGTACCCCTGGCCACACAGACCCCACGAGTTCAACACCGCAGGTGTCATAGCAGTCCCTTTGCCCCCACAGACAACATCTCTAATTCAGTTTCTAGGTCAGGGGGTCATAAAGACCTTTAAGGCTCATTGTATGTGGTACTCTATGGAAAGGATTGTCAACACTATGGAATAGAACCCTGACAGAACATCCTGAAAGTCTGGAAGGAATATACCATTGAAGATGCCATTGTTGTTATAGAAAACCATGAAAGCCATCAAGCCCAAAACAAATTCCTGCTGGGGAAAACTGTGTCCAGATGTGCATGAGTTCATGATTTATGACAAAACCAATCAAGGAAATCATGAAAGGGTTGGTAGATATGGCAAAGAAGTTGGGGCTGGGAGTGGGGGAAGGGTTTCAAGATTTGGATCTTAGAGAAATTCAAGAACTAATAGTCACCACACCAGAGGAGTTAACAGAAGATGACTTGATCGACGTGAGTGCTTCTGAACTGGTGCCAGATCATGAGGAAGAAGACATAGAAGAAGCAGTGCCAGAAAACATTAACATTAGACAATCTGCCAGAAGGTTCTGATTATTCAAGACTGATTTTGATTTCTTTTATGACATGGACCCTTCTATGATACAAGCACTGAAACTAAAGCAAACGGGGGAAGAATTGATACTGTATAGAAACATTTTTGGAGAAATGAAAAAGCAAAGAAGTCAGAAATTTCGATGTACTTCTATAAAGTTACACTAGGTGTGCCTCCTTCTCCTCCTTCCCTTCCACCTCTTCCGGCTCTGCCACCCTGAGACAGCGAGACCAACCGCTCCTCTTCCCCCTCAGCCTACTCAGCGTGACGCTAATGAGGATGAAGACCTTTATGATGATCCACTTCCACTTAATGCATAATAAACGATCATCATGCTGTACAGTTGATAAACTTACCTGTTGTGTATATGTGTGTCTTTGTGTGAAAATCTGACAAGCGTATGGCAAGGACTGTATGAGATGTTTTTGTGTCATCATCACCTAAGTATTCATCATGTAGCACATGCTGTGCCAGCCTGGTATTGAAGTGGGTAGCCTTCCTTACGTAGGCACAGGGTGAGAGATATTTAATATAAAATTAATACTGTGTTTCTCTCACTGTTTTATAACTTTGCTTTCAAAGAATTATACCACTGCACAGTATACCTCTCTCGTAATCGAGAAACTGTATCAGGCTGTCATCACAGATAAGTGTTTTTTTTTAAAAATGTAACAGGGCTTCCCTGGTGGCGCAGTGGTTGAGAATCTGCCTGCCAATGCAGGGGACACGGGTTCGAGCCCTGGTCTGGGAAGATCCCACATGCCGGGGAGCAACTAGCTCCGTGAGCCACAACTACTGAGCCTGCGTGTCTGCAGCCTGTGCTCTGCAACAAGAAAGGCCGCGACAGTGAGAGGCCCGCGCACAGCGATGAAGAGTCGCCCCTGCTTGCCACAACTAGAGAAAGCCCTCGCACAGAAATGAAGACCCAACACAGCAAAAATAAATAAATTAGTTAATAAACTCCTACCCCCAACATCTTCTTTAAAAAAAACAAACAAAAAAAATCTTTAAAAAATGTAACAGTGTTTCTAATACTGTATTATGAATATGACTATCATACTCTATGCCACAAAATTTTTATAATGATTCACTCATTAGTATACAGGCTAGACGATTGTGAAACAATCGTATTGATTATACTAGGCTACCATAAAGCAATCATATTGCTGCTTCTCCATTATCAGTGCAGGAATTGTTCTACCTGTAAATAAATATGAATTTCTTTTTCACATTGTCTTTTCGTTTTTGATGTGTAGTGTTAGCCTGTATAGCATCTACAGTGTTTTATAACATATAAGACACTATTGATGTAGGTACTGACAGGTGATTCATCTTGTAAACAGATGATGTAAGCTTACAGTATCAATAGATACAGTACAATACTGTAAATGTATTTTCCTTATGATTTTCGTAACATTTTCTTTTCTCTAGCTCACTTTATGGTAAGAATATAGTATATCATACATATAACATACGAAATATATGTTAATCGACAGTTTATATTATTGGTAAAGCTTCTGGTCAACAGTAGGCTATTAGTAAAGTTTTGGGGGGAGTCAAAAGTTATACATGAATTTTCAACTACATGGGGGGTCAGTACCACTAACCCTGTGGGTTCAAGGGTCAACTGTATATGGTAAAGGTATGTGGAATTAGGGTAAAAGAAATAGCTGCTGGGGGAGGGAAGGAATTAAGGATGGGTACGAATCAAGATTCTTAATTGCACATGATGAAAATGCAGTGCACACTTGTTTTACCAGGAAGGGAATGTATTGGCTCATGTGATCGGGGAACAAGGCTCCTGATAACAACAGGTCATTCTAAAGTGGTGGTCCTCAACTAGAGGGGTTTTGACCCTCAGGGGACACTTGGTAATGTCTAGAGATCATTTTGGTTGTCACAGCCTGGTGGGGTGGGGCAGGTAGGGCAGGTGGTTGGGAGAGGGAGTTGTAAGGGGATTGAGGGGGGCTGCTACTTAAATCTAGTGCACAGAGGTCAGGGATAGTACTAAACATCCCACAGTGCACAGGAGAGCCTCTCCCAGGAATCTGCCGTCCCAACATGGCAGTAGTTGCAAAGCTGAGAGGCCCTGGGTTAGTATTTCCCTTTCTGTTTATCTACCCTCCCAGGTCCCTTGGCCCTGCTTCTCTCTCTATCAAGCCTTCTCTTGCAGTTGTACTTTTTCCAGGGGAATGAAAGTATATGCTACAGAGAGAACCAGGCATCATGCTAGTTTCCCATGGGAAAGGCAAATGTTTTTCTTTTTCCTTGTTTCTTATAATGATTCCGATTGGTGTGACTTACTCATGTGCTCTCCCTGAGCCTGTCACCTTGACCAGTGGGATTGACCAGTCCTGAGAGGAAGGTGTATAGGGATTCTGTATTGAGAGACTCTCTCTCCCACAACTCTATAGCATGGAGGAAGGACAGTTCCCTTAATGAGAGGATGTGTTAGCAGAAGGGAGACAGAGGGTGCTCAGTGAACAGAAGCAAGAGATGACCCACAAATATGACTTTGTGGGTTTCTTCTTTTTTTTTTTTAATGAATTTATTTATTTGGCTGTGTTGGGTCTTTGTTGCTGCGCGTGGGCTTTCTTTAGTAGTGGCGAGCGGGGGCAACTCTTTGTTGCAGTGTGCGGACTTCTCATTGTGGTGGCTTCTCTTGTTGCGGAGCACGGGCTCTAGGCATGTGGGCTTCAGTGGTTGTGGCTTGTGGGCTTCAGTTCAGTTGTGGCGCACGGGCTTAATTGCTCCACGGCATGTGGGATCTTCCCGGCCCAGGGCTTGAACCCGTGTCCCCTGCATTGGCAGATGGATTCTTAGCCACTGCACCACCAGCGAAGTCCCAAGAGGTGCGTTTCTAATTGAGCTTCGGAGTGCAGGTAGGTGTTGGGTCAGTGGAGAGGACATGGCAAGACAGGGCTTTTTCAGTATCCGTAGGGGGTGAGAGGAGGGTCTGGAGAGGACCAGGCTGGGGAGGAGCTGAGTGAAGGCACAGAGGTGGGAAGAAAAATACCTGTCCAGGGAGCTGGGAGGAGGTCATCTGGCTGGAGCCTTTTGAAGAGCGAGGAAGGGGGAGGTGAGGCCTGATGTGGAGGAGGCCTGTATGGCAGGGGACAGGTAGTACGTCCAAAGGCATGAGGGGGACACTACAGTTTTCCCATTGTGTGTCATTTCGAACAGTGTGTCGCAGACTTGCCTGGGGATGAGAAGCTCCTCCCCTCACGGGAGGGAGCTTATTAAGTATATGGGTTCCCAGCTCCTCCCCTGGAGAGTCTGCTTCAGTAGGAATGGGTTAGGGCCTAGGGACCTTTTTTGGAAAAATTAGCACTCTAGGCCCTGAGCGAGTCTGGGACCACTTGTGTTCTGGTTGGCGCATGGCTTTCAGGCTTGAGTTGTGTCCTCACTCCATCGCTCTCCTAGTGTGAACACAGTTGAGTTCCTTCACTTTTCAGAGCCTCTGTTTCTTTATTTGTACGATGAGATAATGCCATTTCTCATACAAGCTGAGTGTAAGGCTTAAGTGATACACAGGCAATTTGATGCCTGCCTGGAACAATTTTAATAAATTGTCTTTAGATTTTTGCAATTTTGAGAGATTTTAAAATTAGATTGAATGGGCTGTTCCCACCCCTCCCACCCACCCCGGAGTTGTTAAATTTTGAGTAAAGGTAAATCTTTCTAGGCTCCATTTCAGATATTTCCTCCTCTGTATCTCTCCCTTTGCACCCTAATGCCTGCGCTAGCTCTGTTCTCTGAACTCTTACAGGGCTTAATTGCGCCTCTCCTGTCATAGCTTTCCCTTTCTACTGCAGTGGAGTTTGGCCTGTGTTGTACCTCCTGTGAAATGGGAAGCACCCTCACTCAGCAGTAACCTCTGTGCTGCCACCGTCTGTACGATGGGGACCCAGGAGCGTTGGGCATTGCCCTCAGACACATAGGAAGGGGTCACGTCCTCAGGCTGCAGTTACCAATTTTAAGTGCCACGAAGGAAAACAATGGTGCTATGAGGGAGGTTAATGGGTTAGATGTATTTTAGGTGGCGGGGAGGGGTCAGGAAGTCTCTGAGGAAGGGACATTGCAGATGCGATGGGAAGGATGAGTAGGAGTTTGCCAGGTTAGATGTGGGGAAGTGTTTCAGGCAGAAAACCCAGCAGAGGCAAAGGCCCTGAGAGAGGAAGGAGCCTGGTTCACCCAGGGAACCGAGGGCACGTCCGTGACTTAAATGTGGTGGTATCCGTGCCCGCCCCCCCCCGCAGTGTTCCATATGCCACTTTGTGTGGAGTTGACACCCCATGAAAGATTGCAGAGTGATTCTATAGATATCTCTACTCTCGTTAGTGGGGGTTGGGAGGGGATAGAGCAGCGCTTTGGGTGTTTTCCCTCTAATGCTCTTTAACTTGCATGGGTTTATGTGTCTTAGGTCTGTTCACTACATGGGTAGATTTAACCCACGTCAAACTGGAAAACTTTATTCTTCTGAAATTCCTGAAGATTTATCAGAATCCCTAAACAGAGCTTTGGTTTAAAAATGGGACACGTCAGTATTTTTTGTTTCTCATAAGTAATTAGCCACTGGAAATTCTGTTGACTTCCGATTGGAAGGTAAAGTGCGTTGTCCTGTGTGCTCGGCAGGTTTCTGTCACACCTCCTCCTCTTCCTACACTTGGACATCGGTGTCCCTCAGGGTGTCACGCAACAGGTCACCCACAAGGTGGCACAGCACCTGACAGGAGCCAGCCATGGAGACAACGTGAAGCTTCTCAACAGCATGATCCAGGTCAGGACCCTGTCAGCCCCTTGTCTGTACACCCTTGCCCGCCTTCCCAATCAAACACCCCTGTGCTAACATGTCTATGTGTTGGTCATTTCAAAGCACTCGGCACAGTGCTTTTGACCAAGAAGGTCAACAGATCTGGGTTTTGTAGTGGAGGTAGGTATTATTTTATTAGTGTTTTAAAAATGGGAGGCTGGTTATTACCTTTCACGTCACCTGAGCCCTTTCTCCACAGGCCCACATCTCTGTAAGCACTCAGCTCAATGAAGTGGGCCCGGTTGCCGTATTGGAGTTCTGGGTTCAGGCTCTTATAAGCCAACATCTTTGGTACCGAGAACAACCCATCCTCTTCCTCATGGACCATTTGTGTAAAACAGCTTTTCAGCTGATGCAGGAAGACTGTGTGCAGAAATTGCTCTACCAGCAACATAAGGTAAACCTGTTAGAGAATTTATCTTTCAGTCATCAGCTAGATAGTAGTCTTCTAAGGAGGTTCCCCGACATGCACCCTTCTCAGTACTGCTCTGTGGCCACTGCCTTTTTAAAGCTCTGCCTTAACAGTGTCTTATCCAGTAACCGTAGTCTGCTAAGTGCAGATCCTCATAAAGCCAAAGGAAGGACATCCCAGGAGGAGCGCTGCTCATTACATTTGGCTATAATGCGCAGCCTGGGACTGTAACTGCTGGTGGACTAATGATTGAAATCTGTGTCTTACCAGAATCCTCCATCGTAGTAAGGTAATTGCTGATATTCTTGAAAAGCTCATCGATTGTGTTTTTTAAAGCCTCCACTCTCTGCTCCACATGCTCCCCTGGTGTAGAATGCTTTGGGCTACCACTGTGACCGGAGTCTGCTCTCTTCTTTGGTGAGCTGGATCGTGGCAGGCAACATCACTCCTTCCTTTGTGGAGGGCTTGGCCACACCCACTCAGGTAGGAAACCCACTGTGGACCATTTGTTATCCTTTTTTTTTTTTTTTTTTTTTTTTTTTGCGGTACGTGGGCCTCTCACTGTCGTGGCCCCTCCCGGATGCGCAGGCTCAGCGGCCATGGCTCACGGGCCCAGCCGCTCCGCGGCATGTGGGATCTTCCCGGACCGGGCCACGAACCCGTGTCCCCTGCATCGGCAGGTGGACTCCCAACTACTGCGCCACCAGGGAAGCCCTGTTATCTTTTTGAACTTTAATATTGTTATCATCCTTACCTACGTTACTAATAGTCTAAAATAACTAACGTCTGTTAACACTTACTATGCATAAGAATACTTTTTCATTTAATCCTCACAGTAGCCCTCTGCTGAGGTGGTGCTGTTGCTATTCCTGTCTCACAGGGGTGTTAACTGAGGTTTTATGGAGCCAAGTGGCTGGCTCAGGGTCAGACAGCTCATGATAAGACTCCAGCTGCCTGACTGCAGAGCCTGCCCAGCTGCAGGGCAGAGCGTTTAAGTAAGAGTGGACACTGGAGCCGGACCACCCGGGGTTCAGCCTTGGTTCTGCCATTTGCTAGCACTGTGCCTTGGGCAGCTGGCTAACCTCTTTGTCCTCAACAGTCAAATGGGAATAATGATTGCACCTACATGTAAAGCACTTAGAATAGTGTTTACTAGGTGTTGGCTGTTACAGTTATCATCATTATCATTAATTCACAGCATTATTTTCATCATTATCACCATCTCTCAAGACTTTGTGTGTCCCATTATGTCTCTGTTTTATCACTTAAATTAGTAGTAACATCCTTCAACTTTGTATCACATGCTTACCTCCTGCTCTTCCTCATACCTCTTGTGATCCAGCTGAAACACACTCCATGCTGTTATCTGCATACATCTCTGGAGTTTCCATCTTTTGCCTAGCTGATTCTCTTCCCAGGCATGCCTTCCCCTCCAGTCTCTGCCTAGAGTCTTCTCTGGTATATTACCTTCTCTGATCCCACCCTACCTCCTCTGGTTTCCCATAGCACTCAATCCCTGATCAGTACTCACACTTCTCACTTTACATTATGGTTACTTATATTAGTCTTGTCTCCTCTGGTGAATGCAAAACTTCTTAAGGGCAGAGCTCACAACCGGCCCTCTTTCCTGTCCCTCGTGATACAGAACCTGGCACTAAAGTTGAGCAAACAAACATCTTCTTTTACTAAAGTAGCCTTTCTGAAGTAATTTAACAGTTTTCAATGGCCTATTTCATGTAAATTTATGTCTGTGATAAGAGTAGAAATAGGTATAAAAACTATGTGTTAATTTTAGAAACTGTAATGTTTATTTGTGGAATGTGAGGATGTATTTTGTCTGTCTGAGTTAGTAGCTCATTCCCCTCTTTACCTGGTGTTATTGTAGGTCTGGTTTGCATGGACAGTCCTGAACATGGAATCCATCTTTGAAGAAGACTCGCAGCTCCGAAGAGTTGTTGAAGGGGAATTGGTTATAAACTCTGCATTTACCCCTGACCAAGCTCTGAAGGTGCAAATAGCAGTTCTGCATTTGAGTGGTAGAAGGTGGTTCACACTTTGATGCTGATGGGTTCACCTGTAGCTTTTGGACTTCTGTGTTTTCTTTTGTTACGAATGTTTGGAAAGCACAGTAACCAAACTAATGCTCAACATGGTGTAGTTGAAGTGTATACCTCCTTTCCAAGGTTCTTTTAACATTGAGAGTCACAACCTAATAATTTGAGGCTGTGTTCATTGTATGTGTAAAGGGGATTGCCTTTGTTTTAAAGCATCAGAATCCCCTAGAGAGCTTGTTAAAAATCGGATTCCTGGACCCCGGCCTCTGGGATTCTGAGTCTGGAGTGGGACCAGTAATTTATTTTGAAAAACTCCCTAGCTGATCCTTAGGCTAACTAAAGTGTGAGAAAGACTGGAATGAGGCTTTAGAATTAAAGACCTTCTATTTTCAGGTCCTATAGTATAGACTTTGCTTTTGGATTTCAGAGCCTGTCAAGGGATTTATCATTCTTGAACGCCCATTTAAAATCTAAATTTTCAGGACTTCCCTGGTGGTTCAGTGGTTAAGATTCTGCACTTCCAATGCAGGAGGCGCAGGTCCGACCCCTGGTCGGGGAACTGAGATCCCACCTGTCATGCAGTGTGGCCAAAAAAGAAAAATCTCTATTTTCAAGAGGTTGATAAAATTTACTTTGGCTTTTATATTATTCTTGCCCTATAGTGTTTTACATGCAAAGGAATGGAAAGGCATGGAAATGAGATTAGACTAGGTGATGCTTAAGACCCAGTCCAATTCTGGGGTCTGTGAAATTCTTGAAAAAAGGCTGCCCTACATGTCTTGCTACTAAGGTTAAAATGTTAGCTAGCGGGTCGGAGAAGTAAGGTTTATATGACTTTTCTTTTTTCTTATTGAATCGAAAACACCATGTTCAGCATTTCATTTGAATCACTTAGGAAGTGACTGTTTGCAATTGTGGTCATTACATGGTTGCTCAAAGCCCGCCTCTTTTGTAGAAAGCCCAGGCTCAGCTGAAACTCCCCATCGTCCCGTCCCTCCAGAGGCTGCTCATTTATCGTTGGGCCCACCAGGCTCTCGTCACGCCTTCTGACCATCCTCTTCTGCCACTCATTTGGCAGAAGTTCTTCCTCCTGTATCTTCACCGCCCAGGACCGCGATATGGGTATGGTACCCAGAGTAGTAGTAAGTTTCTGTGAATCAGTTCCCCCCTTTGCATTGCTCTGCAGCTCTGTGTTCTCACACTGTGGCCTGGGAGTTAGAGTCATTCTCTGGCTAGGAGCCTCCCTCCTTTCCTGTTTCACGTCTATCAGACTAGACCGCTCTCTCTTTACCACCCCCCATACCCAGTTTGGTGGAGACAACACCCTGGGACCCTGCAAGGTTAAGCAGAGAGCTTCTGGAGCTGCAAAGGGAGAGACTGTCCCAAACTGAGGCTGCTTGTGTGGCCATGGTGGAGCTTGTTCGAGGGGACTGGTGATGGGTAGTGCAGCTGTGGACAAAGGCCAGGCAGTGCCTGGGGGGAGGCCAGCGTTTCCACTGGATGTGAAGGGACTCTGGCCGGCCGTGGCTGCTCACTGTCACTGACCATCGCTGTCTGGCTCCAGCTCTGTTTCTAGTTCACCTGCACTCCCTTAACTCACCCCTTTGAAACATACGGATGTTGATTCTTCATCACTTCTGTTTTCTACCAGATTGCAAGTTCTTTAAGAAAAGGGACTATCTTTAATCTCTTCTGTACCTCTAAGTGGTGACAGTGTCTTGAATTTGCATAGCATTTCGTTCTTTTAAAAACTGCTTTTATATGTGCCATCTTGTTGGAGCCTCATTATAACCATTGAGGTAGAGATAGTATGTATTAATTTAATAAACTGACTTAACAGACTGTAATTTTGTGTCACATAGAAAGAGCATCTTGTGTTGATCCTGTTGTGATCTGTGCTTGCATTTTTTAAGGCTACCCGTAGATGGTTGTATTGGAAGAAGGTTTTTTCAAAGCCCTGCTCATATCAGTTTGCTAAAAGAAATGAAGAGGCGTCTGACTGAGGTGGCTGACTTCCACCACGCTGCGAGCAAGGCCCTCCGAGTTCCAGCAGAGGGCAGTGAAGGGCTGCCAGCGACCCAGGCTGGCACCCCTGCTTACCTGACTTCACCAGAGCTGCACACGGAGCTCGTGAGGTGAGGCATGGCTATTTAGCCATTTATGTTGTTTGCAGCACAGGTACTTGTGCCGGCTCTTTGATTTGTGTTACAGTTGCTAGATGTTATTCTCTTAACCTGTTAGATTGAATATGGAAGGTGGTTTTGACTATAGGTTTGCATCTTGTAATGTTTCTCTTTTGTGTTTCTTACGAGAGTGAATCAGCAATTTGGATGTACCTCTGTGAAGTGCCTGGAGTCTGAGTGAAAGCTCTTAAACCCGAGGGCTGGTGACCTCTTCTGTTTCTTTATTTAATAACAGAAACAAACCAAAAGAAGTGATAAAGCAGGTTAACAACTAGTAAAGCCTGCTAGGATAGTTCTCTAAAAGAAATAAACGACCCAGGCAAGGTTCTTTAAGTGAGATTCATAGGCCCTTTAGGGGATTGTGGGATCCACCTGGGGTGCGGTGGATTCATAATCTTCCAAAACTGCTTCTAAAAGTAGGCTTAATATTTGCATCCCCTAAAATGTTAAGAACTCTGAGGTAAGTGTGTGTCCCCTTCACACTGTTCTTTCACCTTTCATTTGTAAGCTTGATGTAAACGAGATATTAGTCTTATAAATAAGACTTAATAGGGCTTCCCTGGTGGCGCGGTGGTTGAGAGTCCGCCTGCCGATGCAGGGGACACGGGTTCGTGCCCGGGTCCTGGAGGATCCCACGTGCCGCGGAGCGGCTGGGCCCGTGAGCCATGGCCGCTGAGCTTGTGCGTCCGGAGCCTGTGCTCCTCAACGGGAGAGGCCACAACAGTGAGAGGCACACGTACCACAAAAAATAAAAATAAAAAAGACTTAATAAAAACAGCTCTTAATAATGAACTCTGAATACAAAGTGAATACAGATGTCTTGGTGAGGAAACCCAGTGTTTCGATCCAGCACTCAGGCTTCAGGCTTGATTGACCTCAAAGCCTTAGGGCTTCTCTCAGCCTCCAGAATCATTTCTCCCTGTCTCTTTCTTGCTTGAAGGAAAATGTATTTTTATCTGGGCTTAACCATTGGGAAGGCTTTATCTCTGAACATTTAGATCAGCTAAGAAAGCCTTTGATGTTCCCTTTTGCCCTCCTTTGGCATGTTGTGAAGTAGACATATAACCGAGTCAAGCTGGAAGAGAGCTCCGTCCCAGCCCCTCCTGTTTAAGACCCTCAAAGCTCTGTCCCAGGGTGTCTTCCTACATAGACTGTTGCCACGGTAAAGGTGGTATTTTTCCACTTTATTGAGTAAAGCCCAGCCACACCTCCTGGTCCCCACCTGGTACTTTGTAATTTGTGTGCTGTAGACTACTCTGGTACCTGTTGCTGCAAACAACTGCTTAAAATACCAGTGATCTGAGCTAAATGGACTGTCTTCCTTGTAAAAACAAAACAAAATAAGAACAAAGGAAGCATCATTAAATTTTTAAAAACGTTTTTACCGGAAAATAGAGAATTTTTTTTCCCCTGTTTTTAGCTTTCTTCTGTTCCTTCTTCATGGGAACAGGGTGCATACATGCTATGGGTTCTATTTGTGATTCCTTGAGGCAGGGGATTGTCACTGAGCCTAAAGCTGGCAGGTTCTTCCAATGCATAAGTTTAAAATGGCTTTTAAAGTTTTCTCTGAAAGACAGAAAAGGTGTTTATTTGAATGTTATCTAAACTTTTCCGAGCACCAAGTCTCACTGTGACTGATTGTCCAGGAAAGAAAAGCTTGAAATTCAGATCCTTGGTTTGTGTTAAAGTCACCTTCTCCAGTTATTTTTTTCTGTGTACTGTATTTAACCCTCTTTAGTAAGAGAGTTCACAGAGCCCTTTCTTCACACCTTTTGTTTTAGCAATTATTGCATCGTACTTAAATGATTTGTGACCTTTCTCCCTTGCTGGCCCTTCTTGGGAGTGTGGTGGTTGGAAATATTTTCTGTGTTATGTGCTTCCGAACTTTTATCTTTTAGTGCCAGTTCTCCTAGAGGTGTAAGAAACTTCATTTGCCTGCACATCTTTTCGTATTTTATGTAATTATGTTTTTTTCTTTTAGGCTCTTCAATGTATATATATTATGGCTAGAAGATGAGAATTTTCAAAAAGGAGATACGTATATCCCTTCTCTGCCAAAGCATTATGATATTCACAGGCTAGCAAAAGTGATGCAGAATCAGCAGGTAAAACCATGGCAATGTCTCTCTTAGCATATCTAACTGTAATTTGAATTGGTTACTTTTATAACCTAATGGTAAAACCACTTGTTGATACGGAAATCGGGTCACTGGTATAGTCATTGTTTTTGTGGTTTTGTCAACATATAAGTGATTTTTTTGTAGGAGTGTTTCCTTTTGAATCTCTGACCCCACTATGGCCTCACCTGAAGGCTTGAAGCTTGTTAAGATTCATATGTTGTACAGAAAGTTAGTAGCATGGAGATAGGGAGTTCACCTTTGTTTGCCTTTGGAGATGACTTGTAGCTATCACAGTTTTGGTTGCCCTTTTGGAGATACTCAATTCTAGTCTTCACATATCCTAATTTGTTCTCTCCCTGGTACCCAAGCATAGATGTCTGTGGTCTTTCTTAGGCCAAAACTTCTGAGTTTTCGTTAAGCTTCTGTAGCTATCATTTGTGTGAGTGTGTGTGTGTGTGTATGTATGTAGGCATATCTCTCCTGTTCCAGTTTCTTTTTTCTAGGGGCTGAACTCTACTGGGCATTGACCCCCAACATTGGATGGGATTTAGGATCCTCTAAGACTTGAGAGACTTCAATTTGGGTCTTTAAACCTAGTTGCTTCCACACTGTATATACTATTTCATCTCTAGTAGGTGTCTTTCACTTTCTTCTGTGTTCTTTGTCTTTCCTTCCTCTCTTTTCTTCTTTCTTCTTCCCTCCTTCTGTATCTATTGAATGCCTTTAAGGTGTCAGGCATCTAATAACAAAGATGAAAAGAAACTTGATGCAGTCTCTGCCTTTAAGGTGCTTACTGTCAGGTGGGGGACTAAATAATTATTGCATCCAGTGATGAAGACTGTGGGGGTGGAATGCACAGGGTGCTGTGGAAACATGCACAAATGACACCTGATTCATACTGAGGCTGGAGTGCGACCTTTGAACTGAGCCCTAAAGGACAAACGGGAGTTCTCAGGTTGATAGGAAGACATGGTGATGCGGAGTGGCAGAGAGGATGTTACCAGCAGGACGTCTTTTTCCAAAGTCTTCGTTTGAAGAACTATTGAAATAGCAGGAGTAGTTAAATAAATGGATGAATTAAAAATATATTGAACTTTCTATCCTGTTCCATTGATCTGTATTTCTGTTTTTGTGCCAGTACCATACTGTCTTGATTACTGTAGCTTTGTAGTATAGTCTGAGGTCAGGGTGCCTGATTCCTCCAGCTCTGTTTTTGTTCTCAAGATTGCTTTGGCTATTCGGGGTCTTTTGTGTTTCCATACAAATTGTGAAATTTTTTGTTCTAGTTCTGTGAAAAATGCCAGTGGTGGTTTGATAGGGATTGCATTGAATCTGTAGATTGCTTTGGGTAGTAGAGTCATTTTCACAATGTTGATTCTTTCAATCCAAGAACATGGTATATCTCTCCATCTATTTGTATCATCTTTAATTTCTTTCATCAGTGTCTTATAATTTTCTGCATACAGGTATTTTGTCTCCTTAGGTAGGTTTATTCCTAGATATTTTATTCTTTTTGTTGCAGTGGTAAATGGGAGTGTTTTCTTGATTTCACTTTCAGATTTTTCATCATTAGTGTATAGCAATGCCAGAGATTTCTGTGCATTAATTTTGTATCCTGCTACTTTACTAAATTCATTGATTAGCTCTAATAGTTTTCTGGTAGCATCTTTAGGGTTCTCTATGTAGAGTATCATGTCATCTGCAAACAGTGACAGCATTACTTCTTCTTTTCCGATTTGGATTCCTTTTATTTCTTTTTCTTCTCTGATTGCTGTGGCTAAAACTTCCAAAACTATGTTGAATAATAGTGGTGAGAGTGGGCAACCTTGTCTTGTTCCTGATCTTAGTGGAAATGCTTGCTTTCAGCTTTTCACCATTGAGGACGATGTTGGCTGTGAGTTTGTCATATATGGCATATGGCCTTTATTATGTTGAGGAAAGTTCCCTCTATGCCTACTTTCTGCAGGGTTTTTATCATAAATGGGTGCTGAATTTTGTTGAAAGCTTTCTCTGCATCTACTGAGATGATCATGTGGTTTTTCTCCTTCAATTTGTTAATATGGTGTATCACGTTGATTGATTTGCATATGGTATTGGCACAAAAACAGAAGTATAGATCAATGGAACAGGATAGAAAGCCCAGAGATAAACCCACGCACATATGGTCACCTTATCTTTGATAAAGGAGGCAAGAATATACAGTGGAGAAAAGGCAGCCTCTTCAATAAGTGGTGCTGGGAAAATTGGACAGGTACATGTAAAAGTATGAAATTAGAACACTCCCTAACACCATACACAAAAATAAACTCAAAGTGGATTAAGGACCTAAATGTAAGGCCAGACACTATCAAACTCTTAGAGGAAAACACAGGCAGAACACTCTATGACATAAATCACAGCAAGACCCTTTTTGACCCCCCTCCTAGAGAAATGGAAATAAAAACAAAAATAAACAAATGGGACCTAATGAAACTTAAAAGCTTTTGCACAGCAAAGGAAACCATAAACAAGACCAAAAGGCAACCCTCAGAATGGGAGAAAATATTTGCAAATGAAGCAACTGACAAAGGATTAATCTCCAAGATTTACAAGCAGCTCATGTAGCTCAATAACAAAAAAACAAACAACCCAATCCAAAAATGGGCAGAAGACCTAAATAGACATTTCTCCAAAGAAGATATACAGATTGCCAACAAACACATGAAAGAATGCTCAACATCATTAATCATTAGGAAATGCAAATCAAAACTACAATGAGATATCATCTCACACCAGTCAGAATGGCCATCATCAAAAAATCTACAAACAGTAAATGCTGGAGAGGGTGTGGAGAAAAGGGAACCCTCTTGCACTGTTGGTAGGAATGTAAATTGATACAGCCACTATGGAGAACAGTATGGAGGTTCCTTAAAAAAAGAACTACCGTACGACCCAGCAGTCCCACTACTGGGCATATACCCTGAGAAAACCATAATTCAAAAGGAGTAATGTACCACAATGTTCATTGCAGCTCTATTTACAATAGCCAGGACATGGAAGCAACCTAAGTGTCCATCGACAGATGAATGGATAAAGAAGATGTGGCACATATATACAATGGAATATTACTCAGCCATAAAAAGAAATGAAATTGAGATATTTGTAGTGAGGTGGATGGACCTAGAGTCTGTCATACAGAGTGAAGTAAGTCAGAAAGAGTAAAACAAATACCATATGATAACACATATATATGGAATCTAAGAAAAAAAAAAAAAGGTCATGAAGAACCTAGGGGTAAGACAGGAATAAAGACACAGACCTACTAGAGAATGGACTTGAGGATATGAAGAGGGGGAAGGGTAAGCTGTGACAAAGTGAGAGAGTGGCATGGACATATATACACCACCAAAAGTAAAATAGATAGCTAGTGGGAAGCAGCTGCATAGCACAGGGAGATCAGCTCCGTGGTTTGTGACCACCTAGAGGGGTGGGATAGGGAGGGTGGGATGGAGGGAGAAGCAAGAGGGAAGAGATATGGGAACGTGTGTATGTGTATAGCTATTTCACTTTGTTATAGAGCAGAAACTAACACACCATTGTAAAGCAATTATACTCCAATAAAGATGTTAAAAAAATTAAAATAAAATTAGCCTGTTCTTATAAAAAATATATATATTGAAGAAGAATTAGTAGAATCAATAGGATTTTTAGATTAGGATTGATACAGTTGTAGGGCAGATTAGATAGTACAAGGACTTCCAAATTTGTAGTTGGGCAGCTGCTCTTTACAGTACTGGAAGAGGAAGTGCCTGAGGGGCTTCAAGGAATGCTCTTATTAAAGAGTTGGTGGGGAGGGGATATACAGGTCTAGAGTTCAGGAATGGGGTAGTGTGGGAAATGTGGGTGTAATGGTAATAGAGTATTTGGATTAAGAAGAGGACTGAAGATGGAACTCTGAGAAGTAACATTGAAAGGCACAGAGAAATAAGGCTGAGAATATAGGGCCAGAGAAATAGGAAAAATACACAGATAATCATGGTGTCCTGAAATCTTTTGAGTGCAGGTCCATACTCTATCTCTTCTTTATACTCCACAACCCAAAGCCTTATCTGAGAATTTGCATGTAGTAGGTACTTGGTCAGTGTTTTAAAAAATTAATCATAGCTTTCTTGGTTCTTTAATATTTATCTTGGTTCCCCAGCATTTATACGGTTAATTGCTTTCTTTTTTTTTTTTTTAGTCTTTGCTTGCCATTTGATTTTTAAAAAATTTTTATTATTAAAAATTTTTTTTTATTGGAGTATAGTTGTTTTAAAATGTTGTGTTAGTTTCTGCTGGCCATTTAATTTTATAGCTAGTATTTTGAATCAGTAATTCAGGTTCAGAGTTGTTCTGTCTTTTAGTGGTTTCTGAAACATCTCTGCTTACCCATTGTTAATTCTCAGTATTCTTTTCTAATTGTTAGCCTCTGTCAATAGTACTTTAGCACAGAGGTGGAGAAAGTGACATCCAGACCTCAATTAAAGGAGATATGTATACACAGTAGGAGCATCTGGTACAGCAGCTCAAACAGTTTGGTACATCCAAGATCCAGGCTTGTGATCCGGATGACTTTGGTGTTCCTTCTCTGAGTCTGGAATGCCTTGTGCCATGATTGGTTTGGAAATAACGATTTAGGACTTCATGGGAGTGTGCTAATTGAGAAGGCTGAAACATTTTTACATTTATAGGTATCCTTTAGAACACTCCAAATCAGAAAAAAAAAAAAAGAAAGAAAACCATTGTCCACAAAGCCACAGTCCTTATCTGCTCATCAGCTATTACTGTTTGTAGTTTTTGGTGTTCATTGATAGTTGACTTTCTTTTTTACTAATGACGGTCCACCATTCTAATATATAGTCATCACCAGAGTGAAATATATGCCAGACATATTTTATGCAAGACAAATATGCAAAATATGCAAGACAGCTCACTGGAGAGTGGGAGGAAAATACTGGAATTTCTGTTTCTATTTTTTTTGGTCAATCATATCTATTTACTTATTTATTTTACCTTTTATAATGAAAAATTCAATCATACAGAAAAATAGAATAGTATAATAGACATGCCCTTCTCCCTCTGCCTGTATGTATCATGTGTCTAGTTTCATCTATAGCCAATCCAATCCCACCACCATGTTGGAGCTAATCCTAGAGGGCATTTGATACATATTTTAAAAGACAAAGATTAAAAAAAATAACAGGGCTTCCCTGGTGGCGCAGTGGTTAAGAATCTGCCTGCCAATGCAAGGGACACAGGTTCAAGCCCTGGCCGGGGAAAATCCCACATGCCGCGGAGCACCTAAGCCCATGTGCCACAACTACTGAGTCTGAGCTCTAGAGCCCGCAAACCACAACTACCGAGCCCACGTGCCACAACTATTGAAGCCTGAGCACCTAGAGCCCGTGCTCTGCAACAAGAGAAGCCACGACAATGAGAAGCCCACGCACCGCAACGAAGAGTAGCCCCCACTCACTGCAGCTATAGAAAGCCCGCGCACAGCAATGAAGACCCAACATGGCCAAAAATAAATAAATAAATTTATTAAAAAAAATAATAACATAACCCCAAGAGCATTTATATCTGAAATATATTAACAGTAATTTCTTAATATCAAATATCTAGACAGTGTTCAAATTTCCAGTGCTCTTGCAAATGTCATAAAAGTTTTGTTTCTATTTACTTTTACAGTTTGTTTGAATCAGAGTCTGCATTTTGTAATTGGTTGATAGTTCTTATTAATCTGTTTAAATCTATAGGTCCTCCCTTTATCTTTTTTTTTAAATTGCAACTTATTTGTTGAAGAAACTGGGTAGTTTGTCCATAGAGCTTCCCCACAGCTTGGATTTTGCTGGTTATAACTTTGTGGTGTAGTTTAATATGTTGTTCTGTCCCCTGTATTTCCTGTAAGTTGGTATTGGGACCTAGGGCTTGATATAATCCAGATCCAATTATTTTCAATATATTTATTTTTTATCTCTTAAAAATTTTTTTTTTTTTACCTATGTCTTATATTAGTTCAGTAGTATACGTATGTAATTTATAAATATACATTTAGTGAGGCTGTTGCAATAATTTTTTCCAGTCATGGTACACAGTCAAAAAGTTTTGAGATTCCTAAGGTTCTTAGACATTTTATTTTTAAATTTATTTATTTGGCCGCACCACGCGGCTTGCAGGATCTTAGTTCCCTGACCAGGGATTGAACCCGGGCCCTAGGCAGTTCAAGTGCCAAGTCATAACCACTGTACCGCCAGGGAATTCCCTAGAGTGCCCATTTTAAATGTGATTTATCCTCGTGCTTGGAGAGCCTGGAGTGGACCACCTCATGTTGAAACTTATGGGTTCACTTTAAAGTTAAATATACAGTTTTATATGTGAATATGTGATTCATTTCTGAAAGTTAAAGTCCTGTGGTTCCATTTTAGGACCTGTGGATGGAGTATTTGAACATGGAGCGCATACATTACGAGTTTCAGGAAACCATTAGTCTGTGGATGCAGGCCAAGCTTGAGTCCCATTCTACACCCTGCAGTTCGTCAGTGCCACTGGACTTCACTGATCCTTTGTTGGGTGAGTTGTGTGAGTGCGCATCAGACCCTTTGAATGAATGAGTGAGTGAATGAATGAGTGAATGAATGGGTGAGTGAGTGAATCGGAGCCATTGAGGGTTAAGGTTCACAAAGTGTACCCCTCAGTGAGAATTGCTTTTTTAGGAGTTCATTGTTAACTTGTTAACCACTTGGGGTTAGGTTATGCTTTGAATGAGAGAAATTCCAAAAACAGTGAGGACTTAAATAAGATAGGGATTTTTTTTCCATGTAAAAGAAGTCTGGAGGCAGGCAGTTCAGAGCAGTAGCTTTATGGCCTGAAAGCCTTCAAGGACCCGTGCACCTCCTATCTTGCTGTCTCACTGTGTTCACATCTGACATCCACTTATGGTTCAACGTGGCTGCTTAAGCTTAAGCTGTCACATTTGCATTCCATTCAGCGGGTAGGAAAGTCTCCCTCTTTTAAGGACTCTTTCAAGAAGCTGCTCATAGACTTTCCAGTTACATCTCATTGGCCCACACTGAGGCATGACTCTTGCCATGGAGTTTCCCCACAGTCTGGATGTTGCTAATTATACCTTTGTGGTATAGTTTAATGTTTTTCTGTCCCCTGTATTTCTTGTAAATTGGTATTGGGAAAGTGATTATGTACTTTGTGGTTCATTTTCTGCATGATGCTTTAAAAAGATATTTTAATTGACTTACAACATGTAAAGTAGAAGCTAGAATTTAATTATTTGGGGTTTGCATTGAGCAGATAAGGAACCTGAAGTGTATGGTGGTTAGGTAACTTTCTGAAGTCACAAAGCTGGGGCTTTGAAGAGCAGGCTTCAGAGACCCTGCTCTTCACCACTTGTCTTGTTTCTGGCGATCAGTACAGGTTGCAGTTCTAAATAAAGTTAAAGCCTAGATTTTTAAATAATTAGTTTCAGGTTTTTCTCAGATGAGAGCAGGTTAGATGATGATTATATCAAACGATGGAACTTGTGATTGTGATTGTAGGAAAAATTTCAGCAGCTCTTCATAGGTTATTGTATACTCACGACACCAACTTCTTTTTCTTAAATTTGTTGGCTTCGTAACTTTTTGTCAGTTGTGGTCCAGAGTGGTGATTATAGTTAAATATGCTCTGAGTTAAGTTTTTTTCTGTCTTTTGTTTTGGATTTAAAGTACCACCCTTGATTTTTCTTTTGTAATAAGTTATATTGGGTTAGAAAAAGACCCTCCCCACCTCCCCCACCCCCATTTTCCTTTAGAGTCGTGACCTAATGTTGCTTGAAAGAGACTTGAACATAGTCAGGAGTCTTACCCCATGGTGAGTATCCAGCTTTGTTACATTCTGTGCATAGAGTGGTAGTTCTAGTGGAAAAACCCCAGCTATAAGGGACAGTCCTGGACTTGACCTGTTTGGAATGTTAAATTCCATCTGTTTGGATTACAAACAATACAAGTTTTCTTATGCCAAGTAAAGTCATGGCTATTAAGTTTTCTTTAATTTTTCTTAACAAGAATAGAAAATTGAATGCTATATCTGGAATGAAATCGGAAATTCAGAGTAGTCCCTTAAGTACTTTGTTAACTTACTGACTTGAAATTCCTTTGACCTCTCCTGACCTCTGTTATCTTACATGGCAGCATTTTTCTTCATGTTCTTCAGTCCCTATGAGCTGTGTGGTATGTGGATAGTATAGTGAAAAGAAAGGAAGGGAAGATAGGAATTTATTGGACACCTACTGTGTATTCAGCTGTGTACTAAGTGCAGGAATATAAACATTTAAGTTGGATTGACCAGTATGAGATCATGTGAAATCTAGTGCAAAGTTGCATGGTACAGATTTACCGTTTTTTACCTTTATTTTTCTTATATGGTACATTATTTCTTATTTGTATTCGTAAATCAGTTTTTGAGTGAATGAACGAATGAATGAATGAATGACTGTATGGCTACATAAATATAAGTTCTGTAGGAGTTCATGCCCATGTCTTCATTCATTTTAACTCTACTACTCTCCACCCTCCTGTTCAAACCTTGGCCTAATGTAGGACTTTTCACTCAGCTTCATTCCATAATGCCCATTCCTCTTTCTCCTATTCCTATGAAGTTTATTTGGATGACTGCATTAAACTCTTAACTGGGCTACCTGCCCCATTTCCCCAGTCCACTGTCCAGATGATAGCTACCATCTTTCTAAAGCTTGCTTCGAGTTATTCACTAGATCCCTTTTACACTAGTGTCAAGTCCAAACACCTTAGCATGTTATGCAAAGCTGTCTAGGGTGATACTTTAAGATTGTGAGCAGTAGGTCTTTAACTATCATCAAGACTTTTTGAGGATAGGAATTCTATTTAATCATATCACATGCTCCTGAGCTCCCAGCTCCTGGGTAGAGTATTATTAGGCTGGTGGGTGATCCCTCAGAACTTGGAAGGAACAAAAGATAATTTTATTCATTTAGGCCTCTGATGATTGAAACAACTATTCTTCAGATCTCTAACATTCTTTATGAAGGTAACAGTTTAGTTTTGTAGTACATTATGACCTAGTAGTAGCCGTTATTCAGTAAATATGACTTAATTTTTTTTTCAGCTAAAGAAAGGGTTTTAAATAACCTGCGGAAGCACGAGGACCCCCAACCTCCCCTTGTTCTGCAGCCAGTGAGGCCTCCTGTGCCAGTTATTTCCTCAGCCTCGATCCTGAGTCAGAAGGACGCCATCCAGCTGGTACGCACAGACCTGAATCTGCTGCGGCAGCAGGCCAGGTAAGACCACAAGCCCTCCAGGATCATGCTTCTGTGCTTGCTGCTTTGACAGCCTGATGAGTAGCACCTAGAAGAGCTTCTTCATTAGCCTCTTCACCACCAGGGTAATTTGACCAGACTGGCTCAGATGGTTACCTTAGTTAACCAAGTTGTGACAAGTCTTTTAATTTCATGTGGAAATTATGTGGTGCTTTCATGGACTATACATTGTACAGTTTCTTGTGGCATTTCCGAGTGGCAGCAGTGCCAGCTAAATTTTTTTCTTACGCTTTCCCTGAGGAAATCTGATACTGGAAAGATGGTGTTAAAAGGGAATGAAATGAGATTTACTCTCTTTTGTCACTGCTTTGCTCTCTAACTCTCCATATTCTTTTAAAAATTGACACAGATACTTGATCGAAGTGTGGGAAAGTCATTTTAGTATTTTGAGTTCACAGTGGATGCAGAATGATCAACTGTATAAGGTTTTGATTGTACCTTGTGATCCTGTGAGGAGGAGTGCGTGTAGAGTCTGTTTTATTTATAAAGTGAAAGAGTTTATCTTTGCAAAGCCCATGGGAATCAATCTCTTATTGGCCCTTTATCCCTTGGTTGTCTTTGGTTTAGTCGTGTATCGTATGTGTGTTGTTTGCACATGCAACACACAGGCCTCCTGCACACCACCGTAGTAATCAATACAGTTAAAACAGTGTTGACACCCATGTAAACAACTAGCTTTTCATGTCTTCCACATCTCAGTTTGAGTTGCTAATATCTAAGAAGTCACTGGTACTTACAAATAAGGTACCCCTTTAGGATGATTAAATCAGGATGGAATTCTCATTTGTTCTTCTGCATTTAAGGGTTCATTTAAAAAAACGTTGATATAACACAGATTCTAAATGGAGCTTTGTTTCTGGCTGAAAACTTGTCTTACTTTTCCTTCCTTTTTTAACTCTCTGACTGCCAGGGAGAGGGTTTGGGTGAGTCTTGGCACACACACCTTTGGTTTTTTGTTACTATGGAATTCTTGTGCCTTATCGTTCTCTAATGCAGGCTGGGGGTGACTGGAAGCCTTTATCACTTATCATAAAATCTTTCCTAAGACTTTTTTTTTTTCTAACCTACCGATGATGTTTTTCAGAACTGCAGCTCTTCGGGAATCTCAGCAGGTTGTGCTGGACAGTGAGCTGTTGGACACAATGCCCAAGCAGTATGTTAATCGAGAAGAACAGACCACACTGCATTTGGAGTGTAGAGGCAGTAGTGGCAAGAAGTGCCAAGGAGCTGGAGTTGTAACAGTTCAGGTAAGATTAAGTGTCTTCATAATTCAGAGAGTTTCGTTTGAGTCCCTAATATTGGCATATCATTGAGAAAGACTGAAAGAAGTATTTAGTACGTCATCCATGTCCCAAAACATTTAATAGTTCTGGGGAGAGTGAAGATACACACAGAGCTAATCACTTATTTCCGTAAGTGCCGATGAGTCTTATAAGACAGATAGTCAGATAGAACTGGAAAGAAAAGGGGAATAATTGAGATGATTCTTGGAGAGAGGGGCTCAAACTAGTGTTAAAAGATTTTGGTGATGATACTTTGGATTCAGTTAGAAGGAATGTGGGAATGGGGTCACCATGACTTCACCTAGGGGTCAGTGGCTCAATCGATCTGTTTCAGTTGTTTTTTTTTTGGGGGGGGGGCGGTGATTCATGTTGGAAAGGTTAGAACTCACATTGGAAAAGATCATCATGTGGGGGCTCTGGCTGAATGCTGTGGGTAGTGGGGAGCCACTGAAGACAGAGGTGGGAGGCACATGTGAAAAGCAGATCAGTTGGGTGGAGCTTGCCAACAGGCCAAAGTTGGGTCTATGACATCGAAAGGACTTCAGAATGGAAGGTTAGCCTTAGCCAGTGTGTCATAGCACTCACTTTATGCCAGGTAGAGTCTAAACACTTTACAGAACTTGTCTTACCCTCACCACAATACTATAAGGTGGGTATCTTTATTGTCTGTATTGTCCAGATGAAGAAATAGAGGCATAGAGAGGTTAAGTTACATATCCGAGGCCGAGGTGACGCTGCCAGTGAGTGGCAAAACCAGGAAGGCCCAGGCATTCCAGCTGCAGAGTGCATGCTCCTTAGTCACTGCATGGTACTCTTTCTGCAAGAGAATTCAGTATTCCGTGAGCTGGGAAAGAAATGGTTGGAGACAGGCGCTACCTGTTCCTTGACTACACTTGCACAAAAATAGCTTCTCTTTTTGCTAGCTTTTACAAATTGGGGTATTTCTCTTACTGACTCTTGGTTGTCTTTCAAAAATTTCCCTTCTTTTTGTGCCGGTCCGTATTTTAACACTTCTGATGTATTTTTCATCAGTCTTTTCTAGGAGACTGTTTTCTTAAAATGTCTTCTTTGAAATAATTTTTTATACTCATATTTTTTATTACATTCAAATTTCATTTCTAATTTTTTTCAGCATAGTTGTATGCGTCTATTAAGAAATTTGGCCTGGAATGTGAGATTCCTAAATACTGAGATAATATCTTTGGCCGGGTACCTTATGAAGTTAATTTTCTTTTGGTGTGTTTTTATTCCCCCAGTTGCTAATGCTTTAGCAAGACTAAGGTAGAGGTATTTAAGAAGGATCACTTGCTAAAATAATAAAACAGGAAGAAAAGTTTGCCAGCTGAGGGTGGAGTTTGAGTTGGTGGGAAAAAGGCTGAAAATGTATCTAGTTATAATAAAAAAGGGACATTTTATTACCAATCTGTGTTTTTACAAATATCGTATTTTTCCATATTTTGAAATTACATATCTTTGTCAGGCTGTTAATTCTATATAGAGAAGGGAATTCTCCTAAAATGCATTTTTTCAGTGACTACTGAGGTAAGTACAAAGAAATGTCTTTCCAATTCTGGCTAATAGCTTACTGTTTGAAGAGTTGTAAATATTTGCCGTCCCAGCCAAAGAACAGGTCTGATTGCTTGACCTCCTATTAAATTGCAGGGTCTTGCAGTGGAAAATACCACTAGGCAGACCTGGGAGCTTTAACTCTAAGCCTACCAGTGACCTGTCTTTTTTCCTTTTCAGAAAAAGGGATCATAGTCTTGATTTATCTGAACCCTTGAATTCAAATTTCTTTTATAACCTTTAGTTCGTTAATTCTGAAATAAAAAGGTACACCTTTCTAAAATACCTTCAAAATAATTTTGATTATTATTTTGAGGAGGGAGATCAGAAAGAAGATGATCTATGATAGGGATTAAAATGAATATGCCTTAGATTTTGCTTTTACAGACAACACAAAAAATACTTTTCAAAAGAAAAATTGGTAGATGTTAAGCTTGAAGAAAGAAGTAAAAAAACAAGAAAGGACACACAGCAAAAAAAGAGGAGATTTTATAGAAGCTTAAAGAATTTGAAAAATAGCTGTGTTTTGTGGCCATAACCTCATTAGAAATATCCAAGTTTTCTTAAAGCACATTTTAATTTTCTGCTGGCCTTACTTGTTGCCCAGTGCCCTGACTTTCAGTTTAGGATGTCCCGTCATTTGGAAAATCCAGAAGCTTGGGAACTCCCACTGATGGCTCCTAGAAGTATCAGTATCAACAGTACTACTCCAGCCATTATTTTGCCTAATGATGCAGATGTGCCAGGGGAATTAAAAATGTAAAGACAGCAAGCAACTTTCGTAGTCTGAGACTTAACTAGGATTTCTTTGGAAAATTTTACAGTAATTGCGAATTCCAGCTGTCCTGGGCAGTATTTACTGGTTGATACTTCTAGGAACTGAAGATAGAATTTTTTTTTGCTACTCACTAATGGCTAAGAGCAAAGTGGAGGAAAGTTAAAACTCTAGCTACCATGAAGCTTGGGCTTATCTAAGCAAGTCAGTTAGGTTTGCTCTGATTTATTTATTTATTTATTTATTTTGCGGTACGCGGGCGTCTCACTGTAGTGGCCTCTCCCGTTGCGGAGCACAGGCTCCGGACGCGCAGGCTCAGCGGCCATGGCTCACGGGCCTAGCCGCTCCGTGGCATGTGGGATCTTCCCGGACCGGGGCACGAACCCGTGTCCCCTGCATCGGCAGGCGGACTCTCAACCACTGCACCACCAGGGAAGCCCCTGCTCTGATTTTTTGTTAAAGATTGTACTTGAGTCTAATGCTGTCCATTACACAAATGGATGACTTTAGTTTGTAGGAAGAGAGGTGTTTGTCAGGGGTAGGGAAGGTGAGTTCTGAGTGTTTATGGCTCATCAAGAAACTGTCACTGGGAGACAGTATTCCTGAAGAAGGTAGATTGTGTTATTCTTACAATGTAAAACTGTAGCCCCTCTATATACAGGTGTCCAGTGACCACCTCATGGTTGTGATTAGTAGTGTTGATCCTGTCTGACATCATTCTATCATCTGGTGATGCTGAACATCATGAGGCCTCTTCTAGATTCCTCAGATCTCCAGCCACTTCTCAGTTTCCTCCAGGGTTCCTCAACGCTTGGATTGCTGGTTGTGCTTGGTTCTACTCCTGATTCCCTTCTTCACTGTGATGCCAGCTGCTTTTGCCTTTTGTCTGTGCTGGAGTTCTTAATCTGGGGTTTGTGAAGGGTCTTTAGTGGGCCAGAGAAGACCCTGAAAGTGTATAGAATTTTTTTTTTCCTGGAGAGTTCATAGATTCAGTCAATCCTCAACAGTCCATGACCCCCGAAGGGTCAGTCCATATGTTGATGACTCCTGTTCTGTTTGTCTAGTCCAGAATTCTCTCTTGAGTCCCAGGTCTAGACTTCTTGCTTACTTAACATTCTATGAATGTCCCATAGATACCTCAAACTCCGTAGGTCCTAAACTAATCTCATCTTTACCTGTCAGACCTGTTTTTTTCTGTAATTCCACTTACCTGGGCTCCCAAGATGGAGACCGAGGCATCGGTATCCACATTCCCCCCACCCCGTCCCCCCATACTTCCTATCTAGTCGCTTTCCAAGTCATACTTGTTCTGCCTTTGAAATGGCTTTAAATGTATGCCTTTCTCTGTTTGTATTGCCATTGCCCTATGGTCGGCGCACATCACTTCTCCCCTGAACTAATACAGCAGCCTTCCTGTCCATAGTCTTTCTATCTAGTTCATTTTCCACCATTCATCTTTTTAAATACAAATCTGATCACATTTCCGGGCTAAAAGCCCACGTCGGTTCTCTAGTGTCTAAAAGGAGTATGTCTTTTTGGACCCTCCATAATCTGTTCTTAATCTTTCTCTAGCAACATCATTTACCCTCTCTCCCACTCCCCAAACCTTCTATTTTCTAGCAATTTAGACCTTTTCTGTTCTGCAAACATGACATGCCTGTTCTTAGCATATGCTGTTATTTGTTCTCCCCCACTCATTTCTGAGCTTCTGCTCATCCCTTCATTCCTTGGTTCAGGCAGCATCTTTTCTTGAGGTCTTTCTTGACTCCTCTAGTCAAACTGAGATATTCCCTCCTCTTATCACAGCTTGAGCATAAATGCTGTTGTAGTTACCTGCTGTTTTTCCTACCAGACTGTAACCTCTTTGGGAATAGAGCTCCTGTGCTTATTCATCTGTATTACCAGTAGCACCTAGAATGGCTCTTGGCACGTGATAGGTACCCTTTAACACCCCTGAATCAGTCATTGAGAGCCACAAGCACACGACTTGTTAGACTGCATTACAGCTTGTTTTGTGTTATGATTACTTCGGTAGCCTTTAACAGATTTTGAGTTACCTGAGGGCCAGGATCTTGTCTTTTTCATGTTTATGTTGTCAGTGCTTCACACAGTCAGTGTCACAAAATGGATGTGTTTGAAGGAATGAACGATGGATACATACTCTTCATAATAATCTCCCTGAAGATATTCTCTGGCTGTGGAAGACATGGAAGTTGGAACTTTTTCCTACTAGAAATTGGCAGTCATTTTTGATCCTGCTTACCTTTGGCCAATTTAATGCTTAATTGGCCAGTTTAATGCTTTCCATACAAAATCCTGACTTAAATACCACACACTGCTCCACTTACCTTTTTACTCTAATACAAGTGTCTCCTGGGCATTCGATCTTGGAAAGTGGTAAGGCTGGTCATACTTCAGTGCACTACCTTATTTCTCAGCCCTGTTCAGAGTATTTCTTATCCCTTGCTTGGGCACTTTCACATTCCAGGTAATCTGCTAGGAGCTTTGCTTACGTTTTTCACTTAGCTTCACAGAATGAGGAAGAGAAAGCAGGTTCAGAGAGACTCAGAGACTTATCAAACTCACACAGCTATTAAGTGGCTCAGTTGGAATTCAAGCCCGCATCTATTTAAATTCAAGAGTTGTGCTTTTCCATTCAATATTGGGAAATGGCCAGGCCATTTCCTTTGGCTCTTTCAGCTCTGATTTTTGAAAACTAGCTGATCATGACAGTCAAATCTCATTTGAATTAACATGTGTACCCCTTTCTTTCTGAGTTAGTGTGATAGGAGTGCTTCTTTTTCAGTGATTAGAGAATTCCTGGATTGGATGAATTTTTAAAATCAACTTCATGGAAAATAATTTTATATTTCAAGTGCGAATTTTAAGTTCTAAAATTAAAACATGTTAAGCGTATTTTAAATATAAATTTCAATGGCTCTTTTGTAAAGATTTCAGATTATATCATGAAAATATCTTATTGCTTAGTAGAATTTTTCTGTGAGGGAAAGCCCTGGAAATTTCCAGCCATCTGCAAATGTTTGAACTATGTATAGCTTGTTTGGGGTATACAAAAGCCAAAGATATTTTCTGGGAAGTGAGACGTGCCTCTTCTGTGGTTGCCTCTCCTAACAGAAGCCTCGAATAATTTGGTGATATTCCCTGAGGATATGGGGTGATTTATAATAGGGTTCCTTTTGTTGTTCTTTGGTATTGTGGGGCATGTTTGCTGGACCCAGGACTGATTTATTATCATGTGAAAAATTGCTCATTTCTAGAAATGAAAGATGGAAAAGACCCCCTGAGGGCCTCACATTATTTTAACAACTTACTGAAGCACATGCTTTGTGCAACTTGTGTATTTCTTTGTCTACTTATAGTGACTCAAGGGGACGGGCTTCCAGCATGCTGCTTTGTTCTATTGTCTACAGCTTCTTGTAATTATGAGCCGTTAGTCATTCAATCTCTCTCACCTCCCCTCTAGTAAGAAAAGAAAACTTTTAACAGTGGTAGGAAACAAAAATAAGTAGACTAGGAAATTATGATAATATTGGGTTTTTTTGTGAGAAAGTTTAAACTTTCCTAAACTAGTTGATTTTCTTTTATTCTTCAGCATCAGCAGTTTCTACAACATGGGGTAGCAGTTTTAAAGTTCAAGTTACAAAGTGATTTTAGTCTTGTCTCTCTGCGTTTCCCAGTCAAGTGAGCCTCTCTTTTTTACTACCCATTGTCTTTCCACTTCCCTTCATTCTTACTGTCTTCCTTCCTCCTCTCAGATTCTTTCTTTTCCTCTCTTTGATGCTTTCTCTCCAGGTCAGCCAAGGGCTGTGACTCTCAAAGACCCAGTTTAACTGTACTTGGTGACATATTGGGCAAAAAAGCTGACTGCACATACTCCTGATCACATTTTGGGCTATTAAACATTGGCCTGTTATTTGAAAGATTTGAAATAAAATATTTGTATTGATTCATTATGTGGTTTAATGGAAGTAATTTACTTTTTAAAATCTTTTGTTTCTCCAGTAGTAAAAATTGAAGTAATTGTTAACATTATATGCTCTTGGATATTCACTTTTATGCCATTTTTTAAAAAAATTAAATAATACTTTATTGCGAAAAAATGCTAAGCATCTTTTATGCCTTTTGATTCATAGTAACAGCCTATTTTTTCTGTAAAACAAGAAGTTTTATAAAGATTTTTAACACAACATTGGTGAGTTTTGTGGAAGAAACTTATTATCATGATCATAAAAGTAGGGGCTCAACATGCCATCTATCATAGTTGTGCTGCACTGGGCCGCTGTGTAAAGCAAAACAAGCAGGACCATTGCCCTTCATGAGCTTTTGATCTGGAATTTACGAAAATAATTCTGGCAGGGATATAAGGGATTCATTTGAGCAAGTTTGTGAATTAAGTAATTACATTATTTATAAACAAAGGATACCTGTAATCACTGCAGTGGTGGCTGAGGCCTGGGTTTGGACAGGTGCATATAAAGGAAAATGTAGACTCTACTGCTCACCCAAGTGATTGGGGAAAACTATGTGATGAGAATGTAGGATTTAAAATTCCTGCTTTCTAAATGGTCTGGTCTCTTCAGCATTTCCTGCCATGCCTGCAAGATAAGTCAAAATTCCCTAACCTGCATTAAAGGTATCTCTAAGACAGGCCCCTCTGCTCCCCAGTCTGATTGCACTGCCCTCTTCAGCCCTGACCCCCTACTTGGTTGAGCTCTTCTTGGCTGTCCCTCTGTCCTGTCTCCCACAACTGCTACATTGTGTTGCAACCTGGGCCTAGGATGTTCTCTGTATCTGTCCACAGGCAAAAAAGGACATTAAAAATGTACATACAAAGCAGTTATCATATAGGTCACCATCAATTAATTAGAGAAAGGAATATTAACAACTCCCTCAAATAGGAAAGACATAATCTTAAATAAAGAATAGTTTTAAAAAAATTGAAATAAATTTAGTTTTTTTTTTTTTAAAGCTCAATAAATTCTTCTTATGTTTCACATCTTTACTGAGAACCAATACAAATTTTATCGAAGACCGGCTTTTAGGAACCACTGAATTAGTTGTGCTTTCCTAGGCACGCAACTGGTGTGGGCACTCCTTGTATTTTATCTTATTTTTGGTGTTTCTTTTATAAGTATATATCTTTTCTTCCTTTCAAAATGGCAGTTGTTTTATTAAAAGATTTGTGTCATCCTCTTTTTATGTTTGGTGCAGATGAAACGTGCAGCCACAGTGTCTTGAGTCAAATTATATGTGCTTCTGGATTGGGAGAACAGAGAGGGGTTATGGTTATGGGGAGGGATGGCCAACAGAGGGGGGCTTGATGTGCTTCAAGAGAAGCCCCAGTGGTGGAAGACACTGAGTTTATTTTTGATCAGAATTGGAGCATTGAAGCATGAGTGACGTAGAACATAGCCTACAAAAGGATCTGAACCAGCAATGAACTAATTCAAGTTTGATTCTTCATGAAAAGCCTGAGATTCTCGTATAGGTTTTTGACGGTTTTTTCCCCATCCTTCTCAGGTTCAGCTGAGAGTTTTGAGTTACAATATTAGTTGTAATAATATTCTCTTTATCGAATACCCAAGATATTTTTAATAAAATATCTGCTCTAGAAAGCTGTAGGGGCAAATAAGTCTGTTGACCACTTTAACTTTTGTTAGTTTGAAGGTTTGCATAAGAATGAAGCAATAAGCCAACAGCTTCATGTTTTGCGAAAAGAAGTGAAGCAGTTGCAAGCAGAAGCTGCTAAACCACCATCACTTAATATTGTGGAAGCCGCTGTGCATGCCGAAAACTTGATTACGTAAGTTTTGAGGGCATTATAATTTAAAATACTATTTGTTATTACTGACAGTAATCATACATGCTGCTATACCCACCAGTCACCCACTAATTAGTACTGGGATCAGCAGCCTTTGGGCCAAATCTGACCTGCCATCTATTTTTTTTTTTTTTTTTTTTTTGCGGTACGCGGGCCTCTCACCGTTGTGGCCTCTCCCGTTGCGGAGCACAGGCTCCGGACGCGCAGGCTCAGCGGCCATGGCTCACGGGCCCAGCCGCTCCACAGCATGTGGGATCCTCCCGGACCGGGGCACGAACCCGCATCCCCTGCACTGCCAGGCGGACTCCCAACCACTGCGCCATCAGGGAAGCCCTGCCATCTATTTTTATAAGGAAAGTTTTATTGTGACATAGCCATGCCCATTTATTTACTTAATGTGTATGGCTTTTATGCTACAATGGCAGAATTGAGTGTAGTGACAATTTATAGCCCATAAAGCATAAAATATTTATTATCTGGCCCTTTGTAGAATAATTTTGCTGACCCTTGAATTAGGAGGTGATACATCACATTAGAATTCAATCACGGAGAGATGTAGTGCTTAAGTTTTATATTAAAGTCACATTTACCCAGGAAGTCATCATTGTCCATTCAGATTATTGAGCAAAGTAGGCAGTGGAATTGCTCAGGGGAACTAGGGCTCTCAGGTGTAGTTGCCAACCTGCATTTGACCATTGTGGTTTCTCTTAGAGCTCTCCTTTTTCTTCCCAAAGCCACCAGGACATTACCTGGGAAAGGGGAGGTTGACTCTGCCTTTTACTGCAGAGGTGACTGCACGTTCTAGTACCAGCAGCTAATCCCCCAGTAGATTAGGATGGTAGTGTGGACAGGGGAATTGAGACCTTTTGTGGGTTGGATTGGGGCTGGGGGTCTGGGAAGGAGGAGAAGATAAGGTGAACAAGAGGTTGATGTTTCTTTTACTAGGAAAGAAACTCAAAACAGAGTGAGAATTAGAAGAGATATCTTTTACTCTAGGATCTTATTCTATACAAAAATCTTTTTCTTCAACCTAAGTCAGTATTTTGGATATTAAAATTTAGGGAAATCAAGGTTCTTGTGTTTAAAAATATGTATTTGTATTATAATACATGAAATTGAGTAATAAATTATGAATTACATACAATTATGAAAATATTTAATGTTAATAAAGGCTGAGTTTTTTCCCCCCAGGAGGACGTAAAATCACTTCTGTGTATTGAAAAGTTATTGGGTCAAGTTAGAAGCTGTCCCGTGAAATATTTCTAAAGTGGCATTCATATGGGGCTCTGAGGACTCTTAAGAATACTGCCTGAGAAATGTAGAGTATCAGGGAAATACTGTGGGTCTGGATTCTCTTACTGTAGACCAATAGCCTTACCTACATTTTCCCACAGGTCCTTAGTGAATGCCTACCAGTCACACCCCACCCCTGGGGTTCAGAAGGTTGGCATCAGCCTCTTCTTTACTGTTGTGGATTACGTCAGCGATGAGACCCAGCGTCATCCTCCCACAAGGCAGTTCTTTACTTCATGCATTGAGATCTTGGGACAGGTAAGGTTATCCTGTGTTTTTAGCCTTATTTACATATGATGAGTCCCTACAGTGTCCTCATTAGATATAGGCATGGTTGACTCCAAACTTATATTATAGGTTCAGAGTCTTACCTAAGTCAGGAGCCCCTTTGAATTGTTGACTTCTCAAGATGTCGTTAGAATTGTTGGTATGGAATTCTGCTTTTCATACAAGAGATATTAAATTATTAATACATGTAAGTCTCTGGGGAGACATCAGATTCTATCTTATGCTGTTTCTGGTAACAGTGGTATTACCAAAGCTCTTTATTGTTTATAAAATTCTTTTTGATTCATTATTTTATTTCACCCTCACAGTGACTCTGTGTGATTGATAGCATTCCCATCTTAAAGATGAGAAAACTGGTCTCTAAAAGATTAAGTGACTTGCCTAAGGAGTACAGCTGATGAGTGCTGGAGCTGAGAGTGACCCCAGGTCTTCTGACTCAACATTCCGTGCTTGCTCCACCTGTCCATTGCTGCCTCCCAGTTGCTAGTCACCATTTATTTACTTATTTGACTTACTGTTAAATATATGGATATTTAACAAGGGCAAGGGCATTGTATCCATGCAGATTATGAAGTGTGTCATAAAAGCAAGAAATGCCACTTGCTGGAAAACATATAAATACTAATTAATCATGTACTCTCACCCAAATTCAATTAAATAAGTACCTATTTATTGGATACTTTTAGGGAGGTGATACTGAGCAGATATTAAAATAGATGTTTTAGAATAGATTTTTGCCTGATTATAAAATTGTTGAGTGCTTATTGTAAGCAATACTGACAGCATAAAAAGTATAAAGAGGGGGCGGAGTCAAGATGGTGTTCTAGGAGGATGTGGAATTTGCGTCTCCTTACAACTAGGGCACCTACCAGGCACCAGAGGGGGACCATGGACACCTAAGGGGACGGGAGGAACCCCCAGTGACTGGGTAGGACATGGGACGTGGGGGGAGTGCAGGGGGAGGAGAAGTGGAGGTGGGACGGGAGTGGTGTCCCTGAGGGGTGGCTGGGGGAGGGGAAAGGGGGGAATTGGGGAATGATTGGGAGGGCAGAGGATCCAAAGGGAGCGTGGCCAGGTTTTCCCTGCCCACTTAGGTCCCCAGGAACCTGATGAGATCCCGGGCCTGATCTTCTGCTCACCTAGGCCCCCTCCAGCCACGCGGGTCCTGAGGGAGTGAGAGGGAGGGAAGGGGGAGCAAAAGTAAAGGCCAGACCTCCGGGACCGGCATCCCTGAGGGGTGACTGGGGGAGGGGAGGAGTTCCTACACCCAGTGGGACCCACCCACGGTTAGGGGTCCAGTGGCGATGGGGGCCACCCTGGGGGAGATGGTGGGGGAGGGGCATGAAGGAATGGAAGGGAACGGGGCCAGCGCTTTCCCTGTCCACTTAGGCACCGGGAAGCCTGTTGGGCTCCCGGGCCTAATCCTCTTGCCCTCCGAGCCTCCCTCCTGCTGTGCAGAGCCCAAGCCCCGCCCCTACACCCCCACCCTGGACCCCACCTCTACACTCGGAGAAACGCTTCAACGCTCTGGGCCTAAAATCCACCCACACACCCTCACCCAGGGCCCCACCTACAAACCCTGGAACTCCACACTCCGCAGGCCCTCCTTTTCACGTGCTGCCTCTCCCCTTCTGCGCAGGTCCTGAGCAGAGGCCCCGCCCCACGCTTGAATGTCGCCCCACCTAGGCCCCACCCCCAAGGCCTTTTCTGGCTGCTTGGATCCTGAGCCTAGGCCCCGCCCCATGCTCAAACGTCACGTCCCACCTGCCTAGGTCCCGCCCCACCCTAAACCCCACCCCTGCCTAAATTCCACCCCGCCTAAACTCTGCCCCCATAGCCAAGGCTTTTTTTTTTTTTCTTTTCCTTTTTTCCTCTTTTAGATTGGGGTTCTGTTGATTCTTTTATATTCTTATTTTTCCTAATAAATCTTTCATTTTTGTATTTTTCTTTTATCCCTTATACTTCGTTATTCTCTCCTTTGGCTTGTTTCCCCCTCCCCCCTGCCCCCGCCCTTCTTTTTTTTTTTAGTTTTTTTTTTTATTTTACCTTGTTGCAGTTGTTTCAGTTATAGTTTTATTTTTCCTAATATAATTTTTGTCTTTCTAATTCTGTTTTGTTTTTGATTCTTTGATATTGTACTGCTCCTATTTTTCTTTTTTACTGCTCCACGAAGCTTGTGGGATCTTGGTTCCCAGGCTGGAGGTCAGGCCTGAGCTCCTGTGGTGGGAGCTCCAAGTCCAAACCACTGGACTAACAGAGAACCTCAGACCTCAGGGAATATCAGTCGGGGTGAGGCCTCATGGAGGTCCTCATCTCAGCACCAAGACCCAGCTCTATCCAACTGCCTGCAAACTCCAGTACTGGACGTCTCCGGCCAAACAGCCAATAAGACAGGAATACAGCACCACCCATCAAAAAAAAAAAAAAAAAAAAGAAACAACAAATAAATATGTTACAGACGAAGGAGCAGGGTAAAAACCTACAAGACCAAATAAATGAAGATGAAATAGGTAACCTACCTGAAAAAGAATTCAGAGTAATGATAGTAAAGGTGATCCAAAATCTTGGAAACAGAATGGAGAAAATATAAGAAACATTTAACAAGGACCTAGAAGAACTAAAGAGCAAACAATCAATGATGAACAACACAATTACTGAAGTTAAAAATACTCTAGAAGGAATCAATAACAGAATAACTGAGGCAGACGAACAGATAAGTGAGCTGGAAGATAAAATGGTGGAAATAACTGCCAGGGAACAGAATAAAGAAAAAAGAATGAAAAGAGTTGAGGACGGTCTCAGAGACCTCTGGGACAGCATCAAACGCACCAACATTCGAATTATAGGGGTCCCAGAAGAAGAAGAGAAAAAGAAAGGGTCTGAGAAAATATTTGAAGAGATTATAGTTGAAAATTTCCCTAACATGGGAAAGGAAATAGTCAATGAAGTCCAGGAAGCACAGAGTCCCATACAGGATAAACCCAAAGAGAAACACACCGAGACACGTATTAATCAAACTATCAAAAATTAAATACAAAGAAAAAATATTAAAAGCAGCAAGGGAAGAGCAACAAATAACATACAAGGGAATCCCCATAAGGTTAACAGCAGATCTTTCAGCAGAAACTCTGCAGGCAAGAAGGGAGTGGCAGGACATATTTAAAGTGATGAAAGGGAAAAACCTACAACCAAGATTACTCCACCCAGCAAGGATCTCATTCAGATTTGATGGAGAAATTAAAACCTTTACAGATAAGCAAAAGCTAAGAGAATTCAGCACCACCAAACCAGCTTTACAACAAATGCTAAAGGAACTTTTCTAGGCAAGAAACACAAGAGAAAGAAAAGACCTACAAAAACAAACCCAAAACAATTAAGAAAATGGTAATAGGAACATACATATCGCTAATTACCTTAAATGTAAGTGGATTAAATGCTCCAACCAAAAGACATAGACTGTATGAATGGATACAAAAGCAAGACCTGTAGATATGCTGTCTACAAGAGACCCAATTCAGACCTAGGGACACATACAGACTGAAAGTGAGGGGATGGAAAAAGATATTCCATGCAAATGGAAATCAAAAGAAAGCTGAGTAGCAATTCTCATATCAGGCCAAACAGACTTTAAAATAAAGACTGTTACAAGAGACAAAGAAGGACATTACATAATGATCAAGGGATCAATTCAAGAAGAAGATATAACAATTGTAAATATTTATGCACCCAACATAGTAGCACCTCAATACATAAGGCAAATGCTAACAGCCGTAAGAGGGGAAATCAACAGTAACACAATCATAGTAGGGGACTTTAACACCCAACTTTCAGCAATGGACAGATCACCCAAAATGAAAATAAATAAGGAAACACAAGCTTGAAATGACACATTAAAGAAGATGGACTTAATTCATATTTATAGGACATTCCATCCAAAAACAAAAGAATACACTTTCTTCTCAAGTGCTCATGGAACGTTCTCCAGGATAGACCATATCTTGGGTCACAAATGAAGCCTTGGTAAATTTAATAAAATTGAAATCGTATCAGGTATCTTTTCTGACCACAGTGCTCTGAAACTAGATATCAATTACAGGAAAAAAACTGTAAAAAATACAAACACAGGGAGGCTATACAATATGCTACTAAATAACCAAGCGATCACTGAAGAAATCAAAAAGGAAATCAAAAATTACCTAGAGACAAATGACAATGAAAACACGACGACCTAAAACCAATGGGATGCAGCAAAAGCAGTTCTAAGAGGGAAGTTTATAGCAATACAGTCGTACCTTGAGACACAAGAAAAATCTCAAACAACCTAACCTTACACCTAAAGAAATCAGAGAAAGAAGAACCAAAAAAACCCAAAGTTAGCAGAAGGAAAGAAATCATAAAGATCAGATCAGAAATACATGAAAAACAAATGAAGGAAACAATAGCAAAGATCAATAAAACTAAAAGCTGGTTCTTTGAGAAGATTAACAAAATTGATAAACCATTAGCCAGACTCATCAAGAAAAAAAGGGAGAAGACTCAAATCAGTAGAATTAGAAATGAAAAAGGAGAAGTAACAACTGACACTGCAGAAATACAAAGGATCATGAGAGATTACTACAAGCAACTATCTGCCAATAAAATGGACAACCTGGAAGAAATGGACAAATTCTTAGAAAAGCACAACCTTCTGAGACTGAACCAGGAAGAAATAGAAAATATGAACAGACCAGTCACAAGCACTGAAATTGAAACTGTGATTAAAAATCTTCCAACAAACAAAAGTCCAGGACCAGATGGCTTCACAGACGAATTCTATCAAACATTTAGAGAAGATCTAACACCTATCCTTCTCAAACTCTTCCAAAATATAGCAGAAGGAGGAACACTCCCAAACTCATTCTATGAGGCCACCATCACCCTGATACCAAAACCAGACAAAGATGTCGCATAAAAGGAAAACTGCAGGGGCTTCCCGGTGGCGCAGTGGTTGAGAGTCCGCCTGCTGACGCAGGGGACGCGGGTTCGTGCCCTGGTCCGAGAGGATCCCACATGCCGCGGAGCAGCTGGGCCCGTGAGCCATGGCCACTGAGCCTGCGCGTCCGGTGCTTGTGCTCCGCAATGGGAGAGGCCGCAACAGTGAGAGGCCCGCGTACCACAAAAAAAAAAAAAAAAAAGGAAAACTGCAGGCCAATATCTCTGAACATAGGTGTAGAAATCCTCAACAAAATATTAGCAAACAGAATTCAACAGCACATTAAAAGGATCATACACCATGATCAAGTGGGGTTTATCCCAGTAATGCAAGGATTCTTCAATATATGCAAATCAATCAATGTGATATACCATATTAACAAATTGAAGGATAAAAACCATATAATAATCTCAATAGATGCAGGAAAAGCTTTTGACAAAATTCAACACCCATTTATGGTAAAAACTCTTCAGAAAGTAGACATAGAGGGAACCTAGCTCAACATAATAAAGACCATATAGGACAAACCCACAGCCAACTTTTTTTTTTTTTGCGGTATGCGGGCCTCTCACTGCTGTGGCCTCTCCCACTGCAGAGCACAGGCTCTGGACACGCAGGCTCAGTGGCCATGACTCACGGGCCCAGCTGCTCCGCGGCATGTGGGATCCTCCCGGACTGGGGCACGAACCCACGTCCCCTGCATCGGCAGGCAGTCTCTCAACCACTGCGCCACCAGGGAAGCCCCAACATCGTTCTTAATGGTGAAAAACTGAAACCATTTCCTCTAAGATCACGAACAAGACAAGGTTGCCCACTCTCACCATTATTATTCAACATAGTTTGGGAAGTGTTAGCCACAGCAATCAGAGAAGAAAAATAAATAAAAGAATCCAAATCAGAAAAGAAGTAAAGGTGTCACTGTTTGCAGATGACATGATACTTATACATAGAGAATCCTAAAGATGCTACCAGAAAACTGCTAGAGCTAATCAATGAATTTCGTAGAGTAGCAGGATACAAAATTAATGCACAGAAATCCCTTTGATTCCTATACACTGATGATGAAAAATCTGAAAGAGAAATTATGGAAACACTCCCATTTACCATTGCAACAAAAAGAATAAAATACCTAGGAATAAACCTAGCTAAGGAGACGAAAGACCTTTATGCAGAGAACTATAAGACACTGATGAAAGAAACTAAAGATGATACAAACAGTTGGAGAGATATACTATGTTCTTGAATTAGAAGAATCAACATTGTGAAAATGACTGTACTACCCAAAGCAATCTGCAGATTCAGTGCAATCCCTATCAAACTACCAATGGCATTTTTCACCGAACTACAACAAAAAATTTCACAATTTGTATGGAAACACAAAAGACCCCGAATAGCCAAAACAATCTTGAGAAAGAAAAATGGAGCTGGAGGAATCAGGCTCCCTGACTTCAGACTATAATACAAAGCTACACTAATCAAGACAGTATGGTACTGGCACAAAAACAGAAATATAGATCAGTGGAACAGGATAGAAAGCCCAGAGATAAACCCACACACATACGGTCACCTTATTTTTGATAAGGGAGGCAAGAGTATACAATGGAGAAAAGACAGCCTCTTCAATAAGTGGTGTTGGGAAAACAGCTACATGTAAAAGAATGAAATTGGAAAACTTCCTAACACCATACACAAAAATAAACTCAAAATAGATTAAAGACCTAAATGTAAGGCCAGATACTATAAAACTCTTAGAGTAAAACATACGTAGGACACTCTATGACATAAATCACAGCAAGATCCTTTTTGACCCACCTCCTAGAGAAATGGAAATAAAAACAAAAATAAACAAATGGGACCTAATGAAACTTAAAAGCTTTTATGCAGCAAAGGAAACCATAAAAACGAAAAGACAACCCTCAGAATGGGAGAAAATATTTGCAAATGAAGCAACTGACAAAAAGGATTATCTCCAAAATATACATGCAGCTCAATATCAAAAAAAACAAACAACCCAATCCAAAAATGGGCAGAAGACCTAAATAGACATTTCTCCAAAGAAGATATACAGATTGCCAACAAACACATGAAAAGATGTTCAACATCACTAATCAGTAGAGAAATGCAAATCAAAACTACATTGAGGTATCACCTCACACCAGTTAGAATGGCCATCATCAAAAAATCTACAAACAGTAAATGCTGGAGAGGGTGTGGAGAAAAGGGAGCCCTCTTGTACTGTTGGTGGGAATGTAAATTGATACAGCCACTATGGAGAACAGTATAGAGGTTCCTTAAAAAGCTAAAAAGAGAACTACCATATGACCCAGCAATCCCACTGCTGGGCATATACCCTGAGAAAAGCATATTTCAAAAAGAGTCATGTGCCACAATGTTCATCGCAGCACTATTTACAGTAGCCGGCACATGGAAGCAACCTAAGTGTCCATTGACAGATGAATGGATAAAGAAGCTGTGGCCCATATATACAGTGGAATATTACTCAGCCATAAAAAGAAATGAAATTGAGTCATTTGTAGTGAGGTGGATGGACCTAGAGTCTGTCATACAGAGTAAAGTAAGTCAGAAAGAGAGAAACAAATACCACATGCTAACACATATAGAATCTAAAAAAAAAAAAAAGGTTCTGATGAATCTAAGGGCAGGACAGGAATAAAGACACAGGCATAGAGAATGGACTTGAGGACATGGGGAGGGGGAATAGTAAGCTGGGACAAAGTGAGAGAGTAGCATTGGCATATATACACTACCAAATGCAAAATAGATAGCTAGTGGAAAGCAGCTTCGTAGCACAGAGAGATCAGCTCTGTGCTTTGCGACCACCTAGAGGGGTGGGGTAGGGAGGGTGGGAGGGATTTGCAAGAGGGAGGACATATGGGGGTTTACATATGTATATAGCTGATTCACTTTGTTATACAGCAGAAACTATCACAACACGTAAAGCAATTACACTTCAATAAAGATGTTAAAAAAAAGTATAAAGAAGAAAAATTTCTCACAATCCTCATCTCCTGGAGATATTGGTTACATAGCTAACATTTCATTATAGTTTGTCTTGTGTATCTATGTCTATTAGTTTATGTGTGTATATGTAAAAATACACAGTTAATAACTAGCACATGCTGTTTTATAACCTGCTTCTTTCATTCAAATGCATGTTTTAGACATTATTCTTGATAATAAATACAGACCTATATCATGGTATTTAATATATAGTGTTCCATGGTATAGGTATATTGTAATGTATTGAGCCAGTGCCCTCTGGATGAATATTTATGTAGGTTGGTTGTTTTGCTACAGTAAGCCTGAGCTAAATATTCTTACATATCTTTGTGAAATTATTGTGCTATTTTTCCTAGGATAATTTCCTAGAAGTATGATTGCTATGTCAAAAGGATTAGCATTTGATGTATATTGTTATACTCTCCTCCTGGGAAGTTTGTACCTATTTACATTATAATAGCAGGGTTTGAGTTTATTATTCTCCGTATTAGAACTAACATTAGGAATGATCATTCTTTATAAATCTTGCTAATCTAATAGGGGAAGTGGTACTTTGTGATTATTTTAAGTTGTATTTCTTTAAGTACTTGTTCAATTGCCTGACTTTTCAAATGATTATTGGCTGTTTAATAATTTTTGTGTGTGATTTTTCTGGTATTGTCCTTTGCATGTTTTCTGCTGGAGAGTTTCTTGTTTTGACAGAGCTCCTCAGAGTGCTAACCTGGTATCTGGAATGTGGTATAATTTTTCTCCTTTGTCATTTTTCTTTAATTTTATGATGCTTTTTGCCTTATTGAAGTAAAAATTTTATATATTCAAATCTATCAGTCTTGTCCTTTAATTATTTCTGCCTCTGGTCAAGCTTATCAAAGCTTTCCTGACTCTGAGGTTATTTAAATATTCACTTATATTCTAGTACTTTTAAACGTTAGAACCAAGTTACAAGAAGGTGAGGTTATCTTGAGTGTATATTAGTTATAAAAATTAGCTTTTGAAAAGTATTAAAAGCACATCTCAATAAAATGTGTAACCTAGAAGTTTTTTTTTCTTGACGTAATGCAGAATCACTTTGAATACTTAGCAGTCATGGTGGGTACATTGCAAATTTCCAGATTCAGATTATCCCAATATTTTAATCTTTTAAACATTTTCTTTGGTGTGTCCAAATGAAATGAATGGATTATCCAGAATATTTAATATCACTTACATTGGAAGTGACAGGTTTATCGATGTTGATTTTACATTTCTTTTGATTGTTTCTTATTCTTATTTAGAAAAAATTCTATTTGCCTTATGTACTATTCCTTAAAACTTGGGTGCTTAAGTAAAAGTTGGGGAGGGGAGAATATAGTGACATTTTCCCTTTTTAATTCTTTCAAGGTGTTTATAAGTGGCACTAAATCAGAATGCAGAAAAGTCCTTCAGACCATTCTGAAGAACAGAAGGCTCTGCTCTCTCTTGTCACCTTTCTTTACTCCCAACGCTACGCCTGCGGAGTTCGTACAGCTGTATGAGGAAGTGGTGAAGTTTCTGAGTGAGGACAACAGTGATATGACTTTCATGCTGCTGACCAAGGTGAGCAGTCATTCAGTCCTGATGTTGTCATTGAAATGTAGATAATGCTGTTGTTTCCCAGCTCCCTTGGAGCTGTGTCTCCAGGTGGACTGGAGACTGACAGGCCGTTTTCTCATTTGATATCATCTTCAAATAGCATCCCAGAGCTGCTGCTTCTGGGGGCGCTGATTCTGTTATATAGGACAGTCTTACTCATGTAGTATAAAAAGGACCAGCTCCCAAACTCTCTTTAAAAACTTCATACAGTTTTGAAATATTCATAGTAATAATTTAGTACATCCTTCTTTTGAATGTATGCCTTAATTGTGTTTGATAATTGAGTTGTAATATGTCAGAGTCTCTCATATTTAGAATAAGCTCAATCTAAGCAAATTGCCTTTGTTTTATTCCTAATAGAATATTAACTCAGACCAAGGCAATGAATTTACTTAACCAGTTGAGAATTTCAGAGCCTTAGCTATTTTGCCTTCAGTTGTACTTCTCTGACATCTATGAGTCATAAAACCTGGGCATTTTTTAGGACCTGGAGACTGATCTCAGTTTGTAATGGGGGAGACCATGTTTTATAGTTTGGGATTCTGGAAGGTGATATCAATACTCTGAATTTTCACTAACTGATGCACTCTTTGAAACATGGCCATTAGATGGAGATAGTTCCATAAAGTGGCCGCTTGTTTGTGGCACTATGACCAGTGAAGAAGAACTACAAAGTTCTGATCCTTGTGTTGTAGGGAAAACTTACCAACAAGATTTTTAAATTGCAAAAAAGCATGCAGGGCTGAGAAAACTGCCTCTGCAATCCCAGAGACTGAAGTATATAGATGGAGGCATAATGGTACCGTCAGTTACTGAACTGCCTAGGTTCTTTTAAGTATATAAATTTTAGTTTCAATCTTTATAAAAAGCTAAATGCTAGGTAAGCTTTGACTTTCAAACTAAATTTGCACACAATTTGCTCTATTTCAATTAATTTTCTAGTATAAATAAAACTTCTTATTTCCTTTTCTTTTTAGTTCGATCTTAAGCAATGGTTAAACGCCACTAAACCTCCTCTGTCTGATCGTACCAGGCTTCTGGAGTCCATTCATTTGGCACTTACTGCCTGGGGCCTTGAACCAGACGAAGATATTTTGATGCCATTTAATCTTTTCTGTAAGCACTGGACTTACCTTCTTCTCTACCAGTTCCCTGACCAGTACAGTGACATTCTGAGGCTGCTGATGCAAAGTAAGTGCCTTAATTGTGACTGATTAGATCACAGTGAATGTTTAATATGACATTTACCATTCTACGGATGTCATCCAAAAATGTAAAAATAATGCAAGCATGCAGGAGTTTAGAATCACTAATCTTCACCCAAAGTGCTCAATGAACAATGCCCAAAAGGTTGCTGTCTGTAAAAATGGTCAGTTATTGTCCTAAATGTCAGAATGGACCCTAATTGGGCAAGACAGCTCTTAGACATTGGGGTTGGAGTCGTGCACCCACCTGTCTACCTTGACTTTGCAGCTGTCCTGAACTGGGGTGGGCCTGCTTACCCTGGTGACTATAGATTTGGGAAGAGGAGGAAGTTGCTCCTTTACAGTATGCTTAATATGCCGGTTGGTTTCTCTATAATTCCAAAATGGTGGATAAATTTAGTCTTTTTCCCCCCTAATTTTTTGACTCTTGTTTTTTGCAAATGAATTTTATCCCTGTGTAATGATATGCTGTATTTATATTATCCAAGAGAAAGAAAGCAGCATTAAATTTTCCAAATTCCCACTGTTTCTGTCCCCCTCCTGCAGTTTTCCATCAGTGTTGGAGATCAGAGGAGAAATAAAGAGTGTAGGCTTTTTTATTTTTGAAATTTCACTAGGCAGGAATTTTATTGAAATTTGAAAAATGAGATAGTATTTACTTTTTTTCATGTAAACTTCATACTGTTTATAGATGTAATGCAAAACTAAATTTTGCTTTATGTCAAATCTTTGTGTTACATCATAGAAATAGTATAATGAATAAGTTAATGATCTTATGTATTGGACTACCTGAAGAATACTGAAATGTATGGTCTCATTTTCAAAGCACTACAAAACATTCATTGTTTCCTATAGAGGCAAGTTGCAGGGTACGTGGAGAATGGTGGTAGGGAAAGGTACTTGTATAATTTTTTTTTTTTTTTTTTGCGGTACGCGGGCCTCTCACCGTTGTGGCCTCTCCCGTTGCGGAGCACAGGCTCCAGACGCGCAGCCTCAGCGGCCATGGCTCACGGGCCTAGCCGCTCTGCGGCATGTGGGATCTTCCCGGACTGGGGCACGAACCCGTGTCCCCTGCATCGGCAGGCGGACTCTCAACCACTGCGCCACCAGGGAAGCCCTACTTGTATAATTTTTAATGCATATTTGCATAGCTAAGTTTTGCCCTAAATTTTCAAAACTGGTTAAGCATATATTGTGGGTTTTTTCCCTGAAACCTTTTAAAGAGATTATAAATTGTTTATATAGGCAACCATTGACTTGGATTTAGCAGGAAAATTTTATTTCCCAGGAAAAGTAATTCAGTTACAGGCTTAAGAAAACACTACCATCTCTGTCAGATTCCATAACCTCCAGCTTCCTGGTTTCCATCCCTCCCTGGCCACCATATCGGTGTTCCCAGGGCTTCATCCTTTACTCGTCTGATTTGCCGTGGGTGAGCCCATTGCAGTTTTCCCTGGCTTCACTGACATCTTCTAGGCATGCATGACTCCACACCTGTAGCTGTGTTCTAGGCCTCTGCCCTAAGATCCAGACCGCAGTAGCTATTGGGACACAGACCCTTCACTGTCCCCTAGGTACCTCCCATCCACTAGTGCAGCTGACCTCATCATCCTTCCCCTTAGACCAGCCCCTATGAGCCACTGTTGTCCTAGTTGATCCTTGTGCCACCTCTGGGGGGAAAGGACCTGAGGGCGTATAATTCCTGTCCTCTGGGAAGTCAGTTTTGCAGGTAGCAGAGTGCTGGTTGGTAGTCTCTACTTTTGCATACTGTTTCTGTGTTGCTTTAGGTTTTGCCTGGTGTAGGAGTGGACTTTTAGGGGCGAGTAAGAGACTCCTTCTGAACAGAGCCTAGACTCTGCAGTTGCATTCTGCACCATGGGTCCTTTGTTGTCTCTCTCACATTGTCCAGCCAGGAAAATGGCACCTTTACCATTCCCCAGTCAGGGGGTGGTAGGTGGGAGTCCCCTCCCCACCCCCAGATTCCAGCTCAGATGGCTCGGCTGTGCTCACTACCAGTAGGGTTACCAAGAGTACGGAAAGTCAAGTGTCCATGTGGACAGATCTTTCAATAGGTTCTCTTAACTTTGGTCTCTTCACCACAGATCTTTTTTTTTTTTTTTTTAACGTTTTTATTGGAGTATAATTGCTTTACAATGGTGTGTTGGTTTCTGCTTTATAACGAAGTGAATCAGTTATACATATACATATATCCCCATATCTCTTCCCTCTTGCATCTCCCTCCCTCCCACCCTCCCTATCCCACCCTTCTAGCTGGTCACAAAGCACCGAGCTGATCTCCCTTTGCTATGCGACTGCTTCCCACTAGCTATCTATTTTACATTTGGTAGTGTACGTATGTCATATATACACTACCACTCTCTCACTTTGTCCCAGCTTACCCTTCCCCCTCCCCATGTCCTCAAGTCCATTTTCTAGTAGGTCTGCGTCTTTATTCCCATCTTGCGCCTAGGCTCTTCATGACCATTTTTTTTTTTTAGATTCCACATATATGTGTTAGCGTACCGTATTTGTTTTTCTCTTTCTGACTTACTTCACTCTGTATGACAGACTCTAGGTCCATCTACATCACTACAAATAACTCAATTTCATTCCTTTTTATGGCTGAGTAATATTCCATTGTATATATGTGCCACATCTTCTTTATCCATTCAGGACAGGTTACTTCCATGTCCTGGCTATTGTAAATAGAGCTGCAATGAACATTGCACCACAGATCTTTATGAATTTGTTTTGGATTTTTATTTAATACTCATTCATTTGTAAAGTACATGTGTTCTTTGATTCAAGTTGAAAGTTAGTTTGTGAAGGATGCTGACTTGCTCTCCTCTGTCCCTGCCTGGTAAGGCTCTGCTGAGCAGCTGCTGAGCCCCGAGTGTTGGAAAGCCACCCTAAGAGCCCTGGGCTGCTGCGCCACAGGCTGCCAGCAGGGGGCAGCTTCTGCTGAGACCTCGGTGCTTCAAAGCTCTCCGGATGTTCTCTTGTCAGACAAGCAGGTGTGTAGCTCTTGGTCTCTGAAGTTTTTGTGCATTTCTTTTCCGTTTCCTTTGTAGTTTTTTTGTTTTTTTTAATTAATTTATTAAAAATATTTTTTTTTCTTGGCTGCATTGGGTCTTTGTTGCACGCTCGGGCTTTCTCTAGTTGCAGCGAGCGGGGGCTACTCTTCCTTGCAGTGCGCGGGCTTCTCATTGCGGTGGCTTCTCTTGTTGCGGAGCACGGGCTCTAGGTGCGCAGGCTTCAGTAGTTGCGGCACGCAGGTTCAGTAGTTGCAGCCTGAGGGCTCTGTGGCACACAGTCTTCAGTAGTTGTGGAGCACGGGCTTAGTTGCTCTGTGGCATGTGGGATCTTCCCGGACCAGGGCTCGAACCTGTGTCCCCTGCATTGGTGGGAGGATTCTTAACTACTGCGCCACCAGGGAAGCCCTATATGTTTTTTAAACAACTGGAACACATTTAAAATTGATATCTAACAAAGCATCTTTTTATCTCTAAGAACCCTGTGTTTTCCTTTGTCAGTCATCTCCCATTCCCTCTACCCCCACCCGCCTCCTGTGGCTGGATCAGCTTTCTCTCATGCCTCAGATCTGATTCTTGCCTCTCTGTTCAGGAACAGCCCAGCACCAGCCCCTGTGTGTACCTCGCCTCCCCGCCTTAACCCTCCTGCTTCACTGGCTCCTTCGAACAGGTTTTCACGCAGTGTCCCACAGAGCTCTCAGCTTCATCAATTTTATATGATGTGGGTCCACATGAATTTAGTTGAAAAAATGGTTCCTTTGCTTTAGAAAAGGAGTTTGAAATCTGCTGATTTACTTTTCATATGCTATATACCTTTGCAACTCGATTACAAAGTCAAAGCCCTCCGTCACAGTCTACTGTAGTATTCTACTGAAAGTAGATATTCAGTAAGCATTTTTTAAAATGGTCATTCTTTTCCAGGTAATGGAGACTATACAGTGGCTCTCAAACTTTTTTTGTAAGCTTCGGTTATCCACGTTGGACTTTAAAAGTTTTGGTTTATTCTCAAAATGGAGTCCTTACATGGCAGATATGAAGACACTGTTGGACTACCTTGTAAAAAGACTGCTTGACTCAGAAATGGCCTGCTTGGCCCAAGATCCATCTGCCAGCAGCAAAACAGGTAATATGCCTTTAGTGCAACATGGAGCTTAGGTGTTCTGACCTTCCATTAGAAGAGACTTGAATAGACACATTAAGAGATTTAAAACTTGGTGATAAATCTGTATATCTGAGTGTCATGAAGAAGAAATAGGAAATACACAGTACAAGTGTGAACCCATATATGTGTTATACCTATATTCACTTACCAGTGGGTGCTTGCTTCAGCTTGCTTCTGCCTCTCCTTTGTAAGGTGAAGTACAAAGAGATAGGTTTCAGTCTCCAGCTCTTTCTTCCTATTATTTATCACATTAAGAATGTTTAAGTTTTTATTTTTAAAAAATGCATGTTATAAAATTGTCCATGATATTGTGTTATAATAAAACTTCAATTTAAGAAATTTCATTGCAGCAAATGAAAACTGAAACATGTTTAGTTATATTAAATGTGTTGTTTGTATATCACCATAGGTTTATGAATACAGATGATAAGAAGAAGATTTTCTATATAGTGATCAATGATCTTGACAAAGGGTGGACTTAATTTTTCTTTTTCTTAATTGAAGTATAGTTGACGTACAATATTATATAAGTAACAGGTGTATAATATAGTGACTCACAATTTTTAAAGGTTATACTCCATTTATAGTTATTATAAAATATTGGCTATATTCCCTGTGTTGTACAATATATCTCTATAGCTTATTTTATACCTAATAGTTTGTACCTCTTAATCCCCTACCCTTATATTGCCCCTCCCCCTTCCCTCTCCCCACGGTAACCACTAGTTTGTTCCCTATATCTGTGAGTCTGCTTCTTTTTTGTTATATTCACTGGTTTATTTTTTAGATTCCACATATAAGTGGTATCATATAGTATTTGTCTTTCTCAGTCTGACTTATTTCACTTAGCATAATGCCCTCCAAACCCTCCATATGTTGCTGCATATGGAAAATTTTCATTCTTTTTTATTGTGTGTATGTATGTGTGTGTGTGTGTGTGTGTGTGTGTATGCCACATCTTCTTTATCCATTCATCTGTTGATGGACACCTAGGTTGCTTCCATATCCTGGCAATTTTAAATAATGCTGCTATGAACATTGGGGTGCATAGTATCTTTTCGAATTAGTGCTTTTGGCTGTTTTTTTTTTTTTTTTGCGGTACGCGGGCCTCTCACTGTCGTGGCCTCTCCCGTTGTGGAGCACAGGCTCCGGACGCGCAGGCTCAGTGGCCATGGCTCATGGACGGGCCCAGCCGCTCTGCGGCATGTGGGATCCTCCCGGACCTGGGCACGAACCCGTGTTCCCTTCATCGGCAGGCAGACTCTCAACCACTGCACCACCAGGGAAGCCCAGTGCTGTTGTTTTTTTTGGATATACACCCAGGAGTGGAATAGCTGGATCATATGGTAGTTCTATTTTTAGTTTTTTGAGAACCCTCCATACTGTTTTCCACAGTGGCTGCACCAATTTACATTCCCACCAACAGTGTAGAAGGGTTCTTTTTCTTCACATCTTCGCCAACATTTGGTATTTGTGTTTGGTATTTGCTGATAGCCATTGTGACAGGTGTGAGGTGATATCTCATTGTGGTTTTGATTTGCATTTCCCTGATGATTAGCAATGTTGAGCATTTTTTCATGTGCCTGTTGGCCATCTCCATTTGATGGGCTTGTTTCTTGTCTCTAAAAATTTTGCTTTGTTTTAGTGCTAAGATCCCTACATTCAGTAATCGTCCAGCTCTTTAAGCCATGGATACTGGTTTTAGAGGACAATGAAAGGTAAATAGTTTTTCTGATATTCAAATTTCTTTGAAATTTATAGACTTAAAGTTCTGATGGTGTTTTGGTCCAGCTGATGATTCACAGATCTGATTTTAAATTTAGAGAACGCTTCTTTACAAAGTAAACTTAAGACATTTTCTGTTTGTGGAATTGTTAGTCTTCTTGATCAGAGCTATTGATTTTGAAGCAAAACTGGACACTCATTTCCAGTTTTCCACAATAAAGAAGTTGAATGAGGTTGGTATTTAATTTCAGAAAAATGGATGTTGTTCTCCTGAATTAGGTTTTGATAATATAACACTGCAAAATATGAGGCAAACTTGATTTTACCTAGTATCAGTTATGTTTTTGGAACTAAGGTGGCTTTCAAATTACTGGGTGGGAATTGCTCTTTTAACATGAACTCTGCAACTAAATGAAAGCATTATTTCACAAGCATTTAAAACAGAGGTGTTGAGCTGTCCAAATGCAAGGAGTTGCCTTACGAGTCTTTTTTCCTCTAAAAGCATACAAACAAAAGGTAGATGTCCAGAGTTCTGTAAGAATTACACAGTATATATCACAGTATTTAAAGTGTTTTCATAAGTGTGAATTAATCTGATCCTGAGATTCAGAAAACTTGAATGTCTTGCTCAAATCCCACAGCTGGTGAGGGCTAGACTGGGACCAGGGTAGAGCTTTGACCGCCATGTCCAGATTATTTGTATCATCCAGGCTGCTTCAAGAGCCCATTGAGGAAAACAGAAAAAGTTCTGGGTCTTTGCTTTTCCAGAGGGCTATCCTTAGACAATCCACAAGCTTCAGGATTTTGTGGTGACCGTGAGACTGCTTACCATAATTTAGGCTTCCTGTCTATTTCCAGGAAGAACTAATGGAATTTATTTTTATATTGAACTTTCTATACCAGATTCAGAAAGTAAAAATTTCATATAAAGAGTTTTTCCTTTGGTTATTTCCTCTCTGTTCATTTTTGACCATCTTTTTTTACATGTCTTTTCACCCCCCATGCTTTAGGTAGAGAAAACTGTCTTCTAAGGCATTCGAAATGTAACCAAGATACACAAGGGATGGGTTTACGGGCATAAATTGGATGTGTTGTAAAAGGTGTTAATTTAATAGTTATTTAGATAGCACACTTCTGAAACTTAATTACATTGGAATAAATGTTAGGAAGGAAAGTAAATAAAATTATATGATTGATATTAAAAGCTACAATTCACTTCCAGGAATTTACAGTTTTTAAAGTGCTCTAAATGTGTCTTAGGGCTACATAACACAGAGTTTTCTAGAACTTAGGCAAACCCCAGACTCTGGGACATACAGTAATTTAATCATAGTGTTTCCTTTCTAAGTGTGTGTTTCTTTTATTTAAAGCAGCCAACGACATTACCCCTGGCTGGAGAGTGATGCTGTGGTGGCCTCAAGCATCGTGCAGTTGTTCACTGATTGCATTGACTCATTGCACGAGAGTTTTAAAGGTAGGAAGATGTTATATCATGTCTCTGGTTAGTTTTCACTTTTCCTTAAGTAATTCAGTTAATCTTTTGCCTCTGCTTTTCTACTTTATTTACTTTTACTTTATTTGGTAGGCTGTCATCTTTGACCAAAGAAAGGTCACCCGTACAATTATTTAGTGTGAAGTGTGTAACCTCTTATCTTTTTTGGGAGGTAGTGCTCAGTGTCATCAGTTATGGCTTTCTCTTTTCAAATATTGTCTTTCCCCCATGGTGAACCTCATTCTATCTTCTGTGACTTTTCACTTTTTTGGTGTGTTTTCTTCTGCTTCATTTAGGGCAAATTCTTTTTTTTTTTGACCACACCGAGTGGATTGTGGGATCTTAGTTCCCCGACCAGGGATTGAATCCGCACCCTTGGCAGTGAAAGTGCAGAGTCCTAACCACTGGACTGCCAGGGAATTCCCCTGGACAAATTCTTGAGATCTCTCTTCCAGCTTACTCCATCTCTTCAGCTATGTCTAGTCTGCTTTAAAAAAAAATCCATTGAATTTTTCATTTCAGTTTCTAGAAGTAATGTTTGTTTATAAAATTTATCCAGATCCTTTTAAAACATATTTATTTATTTTTTTTAAAAAATATTTATTTATTTTTGATTGTGTTGGATCTTCATTGCTGTGTGCGGTCTTTCTCTAGTTGTGGCAAGCAGGGGCTACTCTTCATTGTGGTGCACTGACTTCTCATTGCGGTGGCTCATCTTTGTTGTTGTGGAGCACAGGCTCTAGGCGTGTGGGCTTCAATAGTTGTAGCACACAGGCTCAGTAGTTGTGGCTCGCGGGCTTAGTTGCTCTGTGGCATGTGGGATCTTCCCGGACCAGGGCTTGAACCCCTGTCCCCTGCATTGGCATGTGGATTCTTAACCACTGCGCCACCAGGGAAGTCCCTATCCGATCCTTTTTGATAGCATCTTCTTTCTTTAATTTAAATTTTCAATTTTTATTCTTTTAAAATGTTTAAACATACCTACTTTCCTTTATGAGCTGTATGCAGTAATTCCGTCATCTCAAGTTTCTGTTCGGGGGTGGCTCATGCTTCTGTTTGATGTTCCTTCAGAGGCTTGTTTCCTTCTGTATTTTGTAATTTTCTATTGTGAGCCTGTATTTAGAGAGACTTTATCTGTGGAAATTCCATGAGGACTAGGATGAGGGTGTATGCCTCCAGAGAAGATCTGCATTTGTTGCCATTTGGCTCTGTGTAATTCCTTGGCTTTGGGTTTCTCACACTACACAGATACATGAAATCAAACCCCATACTCAATTATCACAATCAACTTTCTTGGCTCCCTGACTCCCAGTCCAGGCTAAGGCAGAGAAGATCTGTTCCCCTCCCCCCTCATCTGCCCTTTCAGTGAGGGTGTAGTCCTTAGAAGATCTTGTTTTCCGTTTCCTTGTGCTGTTGAAAACCCCACATAAGCAAACAGCCCCAGGGCAACTGAGGCTTCCGCATCCGTTTAATACTCTGCTTTCCTAGTCTGTCTGACCTCTTTTCTTCCACTGAATGCATGTAGCTGTGCATTTTCAGAGTTGTTGCATTTTACTTAGTGTATCTAAATGTTTTGTATTGGGAGGCTTGTAAGGATATTAGGTCCACCCAACCCAGATTCCTGCAGTAGACTCCTAACTGTCCTTCCTATCTCATTTCTGTTCCTGCCTGCTTACTAGATTGATTTTCCAAAAATTCTGTTTGTGTGCTATTATATTCTTACTCAGAAACTTTTAAATGTAATAATGTTTTAGCTCAGCATTCAAATGTGTCTGGCTCAGAGCACTTCAACGTTCTGTGATGTTTTTTCATGGAAGCATTCCATTCAGCCATACTGCTCTACGCACTGTTCCCTAAACGTCCTTGGATCTTCCCTCTGCCACTTCTTTGCTTATGCTGATTCCACTACCTGGATGAAGCCTCGGGCCCTTTGTATTCTCCTGCATATCTGTTCATGTGCACACATTTCTCTCCTGCCTCTAAATCTTTATAGCACATTGTTGTAGTTTGAATCCTTGGGAAGCAGACGCCATGATGGAGCCAGAATGCTGAGATTTATTTGGGGTACTGCCTGTGAAAATAAGAGGGAGAGGAATAAGGGTGGGCAAAGAAAGCCTTCAGATCCTGGTGCAGGCCTAACACCCGTGAAAGGAGAGTAGGAAGAGTCTCAGCCTGCAGGGCAGCGCTGAGAAAGTATTGGCCAGCTGGTTGGGGAGTTCTAGTGCCAACATTCTTTTTTGAGGATCCTACCTTGGGCGGAAGCAGCCAGGTCAGTGCTTAGTTGTTGGCTGAGGGCTACCTGGGAGGAGGATGGCCTCGACTCAGGTGCTAAAGGTGCTGTGCCCTGATCTGTGGCAAGTTCTGTTTGAAGGGAGATCTGAGTGATGCACCCCCGTGGCTACCATGTGTTTATGTGGCACTGAGTCCTGGAGTTAACAATATGTCATCCAGTATTTTATATACAATGTATATAGTAGATAGCATATCAGATAATAGACTATATATTATAATAATATGTATAAATATATATAGCAATAATATATATGTTATAATATAAAACAATATATCATCCAATATTTTATATATATACAAAAATAGACTTTTTTTAGTGTAGTTTTAGGTTCACAGCAAAACTGAGCGGAAAGCACAGAGAGTTTCCGTATACCCTTTCCTCCCTGCTCCGCGTGCATAACCCCCTCCCCACCCACTATCACCATCCCCCACCAGAGTGGTACATTTGTTATAGCCGATGAATCTACACTGACACATTATTACCCAAAGTCCATGTTTACACTAGGATTCATGCTGGGGCTTGTACATCCTCTGGGTTTGGATAAATGTATAATGATGTGTGTCTACAGAGTATCCTACAGAGTGGTACAGTATCATACAGAGTAGTTTCACTGCCCTAAATATCCTTTGTGCTCTGTCTGTTCATCCCTCCCCCACCCCAGGCTTTGGCAACCACTGATTTCTTTTACTTTCTGCATAGTCTTAGCTTTTCTAGAATGTCATATAGTTAGAATCATTCATTATGCAGCTTTCCAGATGGGCTTCTTTTGCTTAGCATATGCACTTAGGTTCCTCCATGTCTTTCATGACTTGATCACTCATTTCTTCTTAGTGCTGAATAATATACCGTTGTCTGGATGTACCTCATCCAGCGTTGTTTTGTTTTTTTTTTAATATTTATTTATTTATTTGGCTGCGTCGGGTCTTAGTTGAACCATGTGGGATCTTTTGTTGTGGTGCGTGGGCTTCTCACTAGTTGAGGCGCACGGGCTCCAGAGCACACGGGCTTAGTTGCTCTCCAGTTGCCCCGCGGCATGTGGGATCTTAGTTCCCTGACCAGGGATCGAACCCACGTCCCCTGATTGGAAGGTGGATTCTTTACCACTGGACCACCAGAGAAGTCCCCATCTAGTATTTGTTGTTGTTTTTTTTTTTTTTTTTGTGGTACGCGGGCCTCTCACTGCTGTGGCCTCTCCCGTCGCGGAGCACAGGCTCCGGACACGCAGGCCCAGCGGCCATGGCTCACGGGCCCAGCTGTTCTGCAGCATGTGGGATCCTCCCGGACCGAGGCACGAACCTGTGTCCCCTGCATCGCCAGGCGGACTCTCAACCACTGCGCCACCAGGGAAGCCCCCCATCTAGTATTTTTGATTGACTTTTTACATATCTGATCTCCTCTCAGTTCCCCCTCCCCCCTCCGCCGCTATTATAAGATATAAACTCTAGGCACAGAAACATTCTTCTTTTTATCTCTCCCCAACCCAAGACTTAGGACAGTGCCGTACTCTGAGTTGTCTACTTGATAAAAGTATTGGTTCAGTGAGTAACACATGAAATCCTAATAGCACTCACTTTTTTTGGAAAGGTAGACTTCTAGCTGCATATTACCATCCACAACATATTTATAGTGAGACAAATATTTCAGCATAAAATTATTGTCACAAAGGCTATTATTTAGTTCCTTAGTATAAAAGGGCAGGCACTCTCACAGGCCCATGTATATCAAATAAAAAAGTGTCCTAGGAATAGGAGAGTACACAGATAACAGTAAGAATTGGCAACTCAGTTCAGAGAGAGGAAACAGAAGAACTGTGCACAGCAAGATGAAGAAGTATTAAATTATAGCCTTTTAGTGAGATCGTCTGATTCAGCTCCATGTTTTTATTGATGAGAAAAAATGAGGACCTGGAAAGGAAAATGAATTCATCTGAGGTCACAGAACTTATTTGTGTCTGGGCTGGGACTAGAGACGCTCGGTCTGGTCCTAAGAGATTACCTCCTAGACATCTTCTCCTACGTATCCATCCTAATTTAAACAAAACTATCTTTTTTATCCATATTTAAACAAATGCGACTCTTCACCCCTGTCTTAAAAGGTTGTTAAAAGCATACGTTACTGTTTCCTGAGGAATGGGGATTGAGGGCACAGGAATGTTAGCAGTGATAAGTCGACTTATCGTGTGTTGATGCTCATTAGTCATTTTTCAAAAGTCAGTGTTGAGAAACTCCCATCAGGTTTCTGCTCTCGTTGTATGTGGCTCTCTCTTCTTTGACCAAATTCCATTCCTTTGCTTAGAGCCAGAAAGTCTGAAAAAATTTGTTTCAGACTAAATGCTCCTGAGGGCACTAAAGTAATTGATACTCGTGAGGATAATACTGAGTGATTCAGGTCACAGAAGAGTGTGAAATTTGTTTTAGAGTGACTTACTTGAATAACAGTTAACAGTCTAGTTTTACTGCACCAAGGGTTAAGATTTAGTCATTTGGAACATTTCCTTTTTTTTTTTTTTTAAATAAATTTATTTATTTCGGCTGTGTTGGGTCTTCGTTGTTGTGCGTGAGCTTTCTGTACTTGCGGCGAGTGGGGGCTACTCTTCGTTGTGGCGCATGGGCTTCTCACTGCGGTGGCTTCTCTCGTTGCGGAGCACGGGCTCTAGGCATGTGGGCTTCAGTAGTTGTGGCTCGCGGGCTCTAGAGCGCAGCCTCAGTAGTTGTGGCACACTGGCTTAGTTGATCCGCGGCATGTGGGATCTTCCCGGACCAGGGATCGAACCTGTGTCTCCTGCATTGGCAGGCGGATTCTTTTTTTTTTCTTCTTTTTTTGTGGTATGCGGGCCTGTCACTGTTGTGGCCTCTCCCATTGCGGAGCACAGGCTCCAGACGCGCAGGCTCAGCGGCCATGGCTCACGGGCCTAGCTGCTCTGTGCCATGTGGGATCTTCCCGGACCGGGGCATGAACCCACATCCCCTGAATTGGCAGGCGGACTCTCAACCACTGCGCCACCAGGGAAGCCCGGCTGGCGGATTCTTAACCACTGCACCACCAGGGAAGTCCCTGGAACATTTCCTTTTGAGGAACATTCGATTTCTCCAAGGTGCCAAATGAATGAGGTGTCAAATGCATGAGACTGAATTTATGCTGAAGGCAACAGACTGAAGGGATGCCTAGAGTTGGTTGTGGTTGTGGAGGTGTATTTGAGTTAAAAAGTCATATATTTAGGAGTTTTAGAGAAAAACTGTTCACGCCTGCTATCTCCCTCACACCAGCTGCTCCTTCCAGTTGCCCTGGTAAATAAATTACCATTCTTTATTATTGCTCTGCCATCACTTTCTTCCCTGGTACGTGAAAATCTTTGAAACTGGGTAATTATTGAGAACGTTAGGTTTTTAGACTTTTAGTTCAAATTTGTGTTTTGTGTTAATTTTTTACTTGTTTTAAAGATAAACCAAAAGGGCTTCAGCTATATTTTCTTTTTCAATTTTAGATAAGCTCTTGCCCGGTGATGACGGAGCCCTTCGGTTACACCTGATACATTATTGTGAAGCATGTACAGCACCCAAAATGCCAGAGTTCATTCTGTATGCTTTTCACAGTGCCTACCAGAAACTCCCATGGAGGGACCTGCATCCTGACCAGATGCTCATGGAGGCCTTCTTCAAGGTAAACCCTTCACTCTCTATGTCACAGCCTGGCTTCTTGGGAGCAACCTGTTCACTGTGGGTTTTAGGCCCAGTTGCAGTGGATGACAATGTGGACCCTGCCCGAATTCTGTATCGCCCAGACAGTGCTTGTGTAAAGCAGCATCCTATGGACATCATTTCACTGTGTTAGTAGATGACTGGACAGCATTTACAGAAAACCCAGAGAAAGATTTTTGTCTGTAATATGACAGTCATCCCCTAGTCTTCGGTGATATTGTCATGTGAATACATAGTTTAATCACTTTGTCACACTCAATCTTGGCGTTTCTGTGAATGCATGTTTTTCTAGGATAGTATCATTAAAACTGCTTCTTGTTAAATGTTCTATTAAAGTAGAATGTAAATCGGTACTCAAACCATTAGTTTCTTTAAGCAGTTATGTAAGGGGATATTAGGCTGTAGGAGACAGAAGTACATTGTAACAACGAGTAATGCATCATAATCATATAAAAGACCTGAAATGGCCTCTGGAAAAAGTCCCACTAAGTGTGCAGTAGAAGCAATAGTCAGAAAACGGGTACAGTAGTGTCACTTGCCTACCAGTCAGGCATTTCTGTTGTTCTTCAGTTTTTGTTTTAAAAAACCCTTTAATCTTGTCTTAGCTTTTTATGATCATTTCAGTTTATTTGTTCATAGTCACCAGTTCATTTGTGTTTACTCATAACCTAATTCACATTTATTATTGAGACACTTTAAGCGCTTTTTTAAAAAAAATTATTATTTATTTGTTTATTTTTGGCTGCATTGGGTCTTTGTTGCAGTGTGTGGGCTTTCTCCAGTTGATGCGAGCGGGGGCTACTCTTCATTGTGGTGCACGGGCTTCTCATTGCAGTGGCTTCTCTTGTTGCAGAGCACGGGCTCTAGGAACATGGGCTTCAGTAGTTGTGGCACGTGGGCTCTAGAGCGCTGGCTCAGTAGTTGTGGTGCATGGACTTAGTTGCTCCGCGGCATGTGGGATCTTCCCGGACCAGGGCTCAAACCCGTGTCCCCTGCATTGGCAGACGGATTCCCAACCACTGAGCCACCAGGGAAGTCCCTAAGTGCTTTAATTACTGCAGATCCATAGTTATTTATGACAATTAGTAAAATGTACTGCAGTCTTTTAGTGCTTAAGTGGAGACCCCACCCACTGCTGCTCTTGTCAGCCACTCCTCTGTAGCTGAGCTCTAAGGAAAGCTGAGGACAGTCATCTTAGTGAAATACAAAGTTAAGAATGATTTTATAGCTAGGTTTAGACTATGAGACAGGCACAAAGTAGGTATTCATCATCATTATGAATATGGAATTGAACCTTTGTTTAACGAGCTGTAAGAGAGTGTTTAAGTAAGAGCACAGCTTTAGCTATATGACAGATTAAATAGAATGGTCTATAAAGGGATGCTATAGACTTTGTATCTCTAGGAGTTTTAGTCTAATGATAGATGACTTTGCCCGGCCCAGAAGCTGGGAACCTTTCTGTTGCATGAGTCTTGCTGGCATAGTAAAGTATGTTTGTGAGGGGGTTGAGGGTGAAGATAGAGAACAAATTATAAAGGAGGATGAAGAATCATTTTCTAAAAGGGAAAACGAGCAAATAGCATGATATAATGATGGTACTAATTGGAAGACATGAATCATCAAATTCCACTGATTGCGATTTTATAAATGGAGTTGAGCTTTTTAATCTTCTTTTTAAAGGAAAAATTTATAGCTAGCCATGTTTTATTTTAAACAGACTTGAAATAGGCTTATAAGAGATAACTTTGATATTGATTATATACTTTAAAATACATTTGCCCCCCATCCCCGCTATATTTTAAATGGGATAATTAAACATTATGTAGTCATCAAAAATTATAAAGACTAATGATATGGGGATATATTTATAACACAACATTATATGAAAAAGGCCATATAAAAATTATATGTGCTAATATAGTAGGTCTCAAAGTATGGTCCTAGGGCCAGCAACATCAGTACCACCTGGGAACTTGTTAGGAAGACAAATTCCTGTTCCTACTCCAGATGCAGGGCATTAAAAATTCTATGGGTAACCCCCCAACCCTCATCCCATGCAAGTCCTCCAGGTGGTTCTGATGCACGCTCGGCTTTGGGAACCAGTGACTAGTAGATATATCACCTTTGTCTTGCCCAGCACATCTGAGGACTGTGGTAGGCTCCCTTGAGCACCAGTGACTTACTGTGGCAGGGATTTGCCACCCTGGCTGGAGCTAGGGAAGATCATTCCTTTCCTGTTAAGAATTAGTGGAATAGGGACTTCCCTGGTGGTGCAGTGGTTAAGAATCGTCTGCCAATGCACAGGACACAGGTTCGATCCCTGGTCTGGGAAGATCCCACATGCTGCGGAGCAGCTAAGCCCATGCTCCACAACTACTGAGCCAGTGTTCTAGAGCCCGCGAGCCACAGCTACTGAGCCTGCGTGCCACAACTACTGAAGCCTGTGTGCCTAGAGCCCGTGCTCTGCAACAAGAGAAGACACCTCAATGAAAAGCCCATGCACGGCGACGAAGAGTAGCCCCCACTCACCGCAACTAGAGAAGGCCCGCACGGAGCCACAAAGACCCAACGCAGCCAAAAATAAAAATTAAAAAAAAAAAAAAAAAAAGAATTAGTGGAATAAATAATGAACTCCAAACAAGCTGAAAGGTGTGCCATACATTGAACATGGAAGGAAAAATATTATAATCTAAATCTCTGAGGGCAGAAGGGTTATGAATGATTTTTATAATCTGGGAAAAAAGTATAATTTAAAAGATATATAATTTAGAAAACATTGATTTCTATACATTTTTAGGATATATAGCTAAAAACATTGTTTCCTTTTAGGTGGAACGAGGAAGCCCCAAGAGCTGCTTCTTGTTTTTGGGGTCTGTCCTCTGTGAAGTCAACTGGGTCAGTGTGCTCTCTGATGCCTGGAATCCCAGTCCCCACCCAGAGACCCGGAGCATGATTGTCTGCCTCCTTTTCATGATGATTTTATTGGCAAAGGAAGACCAACTGGTGGATCAAACAGTAAGTTTGGAGAGCCTGTGATAAAGACTTGGCAGGGGCCTCTAGATCCTCACTCTGTATGAAGTTGTGGTTTTTAAGTTGTTTCCCTCGTGCCTCTTTCAGTGTGAATATATGCATGGCATACGGGATGTGCCTTCAACTAGGTGTCTGATTTTCTTTTTTTTTGTGGTACGCGGGCCTCTCACTGTTGTGGCCTCTCCTGTTGCGGAGCACAGGCTCCAGACACGCGGGCTCAGAGGCCATGGCTTACGGGCCCAGCCGCTCCACGGCATGTGGGATCTTCCTGGACTGGGGCACGAACCCGTGTCCCCTGCATCGGCAGGCGGACTCTCAACCACTGTGCCACCAGGGAAGCCCGGTGTCTGATTTTCTTATATAGTTCATAGTCTAAGGGAACCACACCAAATATAAAAATCAATTTCAATTTACATCTCCTTAATTGCTTGTTCTACCACCAGATCATAGAGTTCCTTTGAAAATTGGGTTCTGAATACTTATAAATCTTAATGTGTTTTGCCAAAACTTTGGTTATTACTTTCACGAGTACTCCTAACTTGAGAGATGCATATTTCTGGAAAAAATGGGAGCTCTGGAACTAAAGGAATGTGTGTTTCATTTTTAGGATTCTCCTCTACTTACTCTCCTTGGACAGACAAGCTCACTCTCGTGGCATCTTGTGGATATTGTGTCATATCAGAGTGTGCTAGGTTATTTCAGCAGCCATTACCAGCCATCCATCATCCTGGCAAAGGAATCCTCTGCTGAGTTAATTGTGAAGCTCCTAAAAGTGTCTGCAGGTCTTTCCATTCCTACTGACAGCCAGAAACATCTTGTAAGTTAAGTGGGTCCTTTAGAAGGCAGAGTGTTCTTCAGGGCTGCTAGTAGTATAAGTGCTACTGAGGACTGTCTCGAATCCTGCGATGGCTCAATAGAAAAAGTTGGAGGATGTATATCATTTTGGCCTCTTGGGTCTTTCAGTTTCGTTTATTTCTTCTGGTAAGCCTTTACCTACTAGCAGTGTCACATGCTAACAAGAGGTGAAAAGGATTGAGGGCCGACAGTGAGCTGTGGGTTTACTGATTTGAATGTCATTGGCAGCAGAATGGCAGCAAGTTATGAGCATGAGTTTGAGGTCTGACAAACTCAAATCCCCAACTCACTGCCATTCTGACCTTGGTTTTCTCACCTGAATTGGAAATAATAATACCTTGCCTTCAAAGTGTTGTGAGGATTAGATCAGAAAATGAACATAGAAGTTTTTGGAAAAGTTCCTGGCAAGTACTTAGTGTGTAGTTAATGTTGTTATTAATGTAGTAAAAACTACTACTGGGATTTGGGAGAACATGGGTTCTGGTCTAAGTATTACCAAAGATTTTTATTTCCCCAACACAGGGTCTTTCCTCATATGACTCACTGCTCTGTCCTCTCCCAGTACAGTGCTGTGCTCCCAGGGAATATCCAGTTAACACTGCATGCATGGATTCATTTGAATGATCCTTTTTTTATTGTCAGGATGCAGTTCCAAAATGCCGAGCCTTCACTCACCAGATGGTACAATTCCTCAGCTCCCTGGAACAAAATGGAAAAATCACGTTAGCAGTCCTTGAACAGGAAATGTGTAAGCTCTTGGATGATATCATTGTTTTTAAACCACCTGGTAAGTGACTATGGTGGAGTCATGTATTCACTCAGTAAATGAATTCCTGCTGTGTATAAGGCATCTTGAGATCAGGAAGATGGTCGGGCCACTGTCATTCCTGTTTACAGAGAAGCAGTGGTCAGAGAGATGACTGGACCATAGGGACACTTGTCATCTCAGCACTGGCCAGGGTGGGGTGGCATGAATGGTAAGAACTTGAGGAGGCATAGACACTGTCAGTTGCTGGTGTGAGGTTAACTGGACTGAGGGCTAAGTTAGATGACTAGATATAGTGATTAGGAGATAACCAGAGACCATCCATCGAGCAGCATTCCTGGATGTTTTGGCTCCTAACTGGGAGGGCACTTCAGAATCACCTGTAGGCTTGTAAAGAAACTTCATATGAGAACCTGTGCTCCTAGCAGTTTGGTGGACTGGACATCCTGATTGCCTCTCCTGCCGAAAACAACTAAGGATGCTGGATAAAATGTTTTTAAGAAACCAAAAATTAAACTTATTGACAAGGCGGCAGAAAATCTCAGAAGTCAGAAACTAAGTAAAAGGAGGAACCCATAAAAGTAGATGGAGTACTGAGGCTGGCTTTTACCTTGAAGGCTTTTGCTGACACTCCTTAGATTAGGGGAGATGATAAAGCCCAGGGCCTGCCTAAGATGGTAGCCTGAAAGGACCTCCTGTGCATTACCACATAGGGTGGCATACTCAGGGTAAGGATGGGTTAGAAATGAACCTGCCCTGAGAAAGGAAGACAACAATCCTTAGATTCATTAAACCCAGCAAATCCCAAGCAGGGTAGATAGAAAGAAATTCACCCCTGTACATACTGTAGTGAAACTGCAGATGCACCGGGGTCAAAGGAACAACATTCAACATTTACAAGGACAGCCGGCTTCTCATTGGCAACAGAGGAAGCTGTAAGATAGTGGAATAACACCTTCAATGTGCTGTGAGGAGATGACTTGTAACCTGGGATTGTAAACTAAGAAGAACCATCTTTCAAAGATGAGGATGAAATAAAGATGTTTTCCTTGAAACCTGAGGGTGTTTGTCCCAGTGGACATCACTAAAGGAAGTACTAAATAAAGCATGTTCTTTAGGTAGAAGAAGAGTGATCACAAGTGAAAGGCTTGAATTGCAAGAAGGAAAAGTAAGCAGAGAAAGTAGTGAAATGTGGGTAAATATAAACAAAAACTGCCTGTGTAAAACTACAGTAATCATCATTTAGGGGTTTAAAAAGCAAAAGCTAACATTAAATTATATGACCACAAATATATGTAAGTTAAGAAGGAGGTTGAGTTAAAAGCATTCTAAGGTTTTAATATTGTTTGAGGGGGGTCAAGAGATTGATTAAATTTATGTCTTCATAGAATATGAATGGTAAAAATTCTAAGCAATTCACCAAAAGAATAGAAATAAAATATGTAAGTTCTAAGTTAGTAGAAGGAGATAAGGATTGGCCAGGACTTCCCTGGTGGCGCAGTGGTTAAGAATCCATCTGCTAATGCAGGGGACACGGGCTTGATCCTTGGTCCAGGAAGATCCCACATGCCACGGAGCAGCTAAGCCCATGTGCCACAACTAGTGAGCCTGTGCTCTAGAGCCTGCGAGCCACAACTACTGAGCCCATGTGCCACAACTACTGAAGCCTGCGCGCCTAGAGCCCATGCTCTGCAGCAAGAGAGGCCACCACAATGAGAAGCCCATGCACCGCAATGAAGAGTAGCCCCCGCTTTCCGCAACTAGAGAAAGCCCGCACACAGCAATGAGGACCCATTGCAGCCAAAAAATAAATAAATTAATTAAATTTAAAAAAAAAAGGATTGGCCAAATTTTGTTCAATCCAAAGAAGGCAAGAAACATGGAGAAGGTAAGAAAAATAGCCAAAATAAAAAGATAAAGTTTAAATATATCGGTAAATGTAAATGGACAGATGCTCAGGTTAAAAGATGAAGATTGTCAGACTGGATTAATAATCAACAACATCCAGTTTTTTATGTATTTTTTTTTTAAATTTTATTTTAGTTGTGGCGCACGGGCTTAGTTGCTCCGTGGCCTGTGGGATCCTCCCGGTCCAGGGCTCGAACCTGTGTCCCCTGCACTGGCAGGTGGTGTCCCAACCACTGCACCACAAGGGAAGCCCCAACATCCAGTTTTAAGCTGTTTATAAGAAGTATATCTAAAGCATAGGATATAGAAAGCTTTCTACAAGGCAGTCACATTAGATATTAAAATAGAAAGCTGGTACAGCTGTATCAGTATGAGACAGATAGGACTGTAAGGCAGAAAGCATTACCAAGCCAGACAACCTCTTGTGTGTGTTCCTGCCCTGAAGTTGCATGAAAAACACATATATACATAAAAAACACATATTACTTACATAAATAAATAAGAAAAAAGCATTATTAAAAATGAAGAGAGTCGTTGGAAATTGATACAAGGTTCAATTCACCAGGAAGAATATGCATAAGGTGAAAATTGACAGAACTAGGAAGAGAAATGTCAAATTTGCTCACAGTGAGGGATTTTGACCCATGTCTCACAGTAACTGATGGATCAGGTAGACAGAAAATCAGTAAGACTATAGGATGTCTGAATAGCACAGCTGGATGTAATGAGTATGTAGAGAATAATATACCCTGTAAGTCCAGAATGCACACCGTATCAGTCTCACATTGAACAGTTAAGAAACTTGACCCATTACTAGGGTTAAAGCACATCTCAATCAATCCCAGAGGACTGGTATCAGGTAGACCACACATTCTAACCACAGTGCAATGAACTTAAAAATCAGTAACAAAATATAACCGGGAGGGAAAAAACTATACATTGGAAATTAAGAAGCAAATTTTTAAATAACTGATGACTAAAGGAACAATAACAACAGAAATTTAAAATATTTAGAACTGTATTAAAAAAACAGAGCATCAAAACTTGTGGGATTCAGCTAAAGTGAAACTTAATTTCATGGCCTTAAATGTTTATATTAAAATTTCTAAAAGCTGAAAATTAATTAGATAAACACTGAGCTTAAGAAATTATAAAAAGAACCACAAAATATAACCAAAATCTGCTTAGAAAGAAAGAGATAATGAAGAGAAGATAAATAGGAGGAGACTAAGGGTGAACAATGAAACTGGTAAATGTATAGGAAAATCTAAATGAAATCTGACTCTATAAAACAGTAATAGTAATGTGTTGTTGGGTTATGGTAACAGTAGGGAAGGTAATAGGAAATTAGCATTGTCTGGGAACCAGTTAACATCAGACTTTGAAAAATCAAGAATGCATGTTGTAATTTGTAAGATAACCACTATGAAAATGTTAAAAGAATATTTGAAGAGAGAAAAAGGAATGTAGAATTGGAGGGACAAATTGGAAGCATATAGTAAGATAGTAGATTTAGACCCGCTCACATCAGTAATTACATTAACTATGAATGACTAAGATTGTCACACTGGATAAAATAAGGAAGAAAAAGACAATCCAGTAAAAAAATGAACAAGACCCTTAAATTGACATTCTACAAAAGAGAATATTCAAATAACCAATAAACATATGAAAACATGCTAAACCTTGTTAATATTTAGGGAAATGCAAATTAAGAACTTGATGGCATACTGTATCACATCCACCAGAATAGCTAAAATTAAAAAGTTTTCAGTACCAGATGTTGGTGAGGATGTGGATCAGTGTTAACTCTCATATACTGCTGATCACAGAGTAAATTGGTACAACCATTTTTAAATGTTTGACATCACCTACTAGTTTGCATATCCCTCGGCTTGGGATATGCAAACTAGTTAAAAAAAAGAAAGAAGAATTAGCAGGCAATACTGGAGAAATTGATTTAGAGTTGGTCATATGTAACTGGACCATGAAGATTGAATAATAGCCAGGCAAAGGAGTGAAGGGCGTTCTAGAAAGAGCTTAATCAGAAGAGTGATGGGATCAGTTCTGGTTTTTAAGAACAACATTTGTTGGCTGTGTTGATGATGAATGGGAAGGGGGAGAGGCTGCGCTCTATTAGGAGGCTTATTGCAATCATTTTTTGTTCCCATGAATCATAACTAAAAGATAGATTAAAATCACTATTCACAGATGCAAACTGTTATATATAGAATGGATAAACAACAAGGTCCTACTCTATAGTACAGGGAACTAAATTCAATGTCCCGTGGCAAACCATAATGGAAAATAATATGAAAAAAGTATATATATATATATATGTATATATGTATAACTGAGTTACTTTGCTGTATAGCAGTAATTAACACAACATTGTAAATCAACTGTACTTCAATAACAAAATAAAATTTTTTTAAAAATCAGAAAAAAAATTTATTCACCTGGAATTCAGAGATAAGGCCTTTATTACCAAGAATATTTATACATAAAAAAGTAGATTCACACACATATAGTGCTTTAAAAATTCCTTGCTTGATAATCAGTATATCTTATGATAACATTAAGTTAGGGTTTATTGTACACTGTGCAAGTGGGTGAATTTGGTTTGATGGGTGTAAGACCTCCCCACTCACGTTGACATAAATACCAAAGCCTTGAGGTGAGAAAGCCACAATTCTATTCCCTTAAAACAATGAACCCAACTCAAGGAGAATTAGAAATAGTTGGCAAAAATTATGCCTGATGAAGGGAATTCCCTGGCTGTCCAGTGGCTAAGGCCCTGCAGTTTGACTGCCGAGGGCCGCGGGTTCAATCCCTGGTCGGGAAACTAAAATCCCGCAAGCTGTGCGGCACAGCCGAAAAAGAAAAAACAAATAAAAATAAAGTGTACAATTCAAAAATTATGCCTGATGAATAGTTACCTCAACACACCCTCAGTGAAAAATATTTTCTGTTCTTGGATGTGAAGAAGGAATCTACCTCAGTCACTTATTTGCAGTTCTCTTTTAAAATGAATTTGCTCTTTTTCTTGTGTTGTATTCTTTTTTTCACCTTTTAATATTTTGGAAAGACCCAGTCTGTCCATTTTTCTTATTTAAAAAACAAAGAAATAAAAGAGCTGCTGTTAGGAGTCTGTAAAAAGGTTTTTCCTTTCCTTACTTTTTTATATTTAGTTTTAAATAATAACCTTCATTCTGTGTAAATCATTCTAGAATTATTTACAACTTTGGCATTGGTAGGGGTGGAGGTACTGTTTCTAATTAGTTTACCAAATGACTCCTGAGATCTATGTATTTTGTCTATTTATTAAAATATCACTTGGTCACACGCTGTAACCAAGGATCTCGCAGTAGTTCCTGCTTTGCCCTTACAAAGTATGTATGTGCCACATCCTATCCTTAAAAGCTAAACACAGAAGGATTTTCCTTCTGGCCCCTGGAGAGCAGCTAGTTTGAAGCACCATTGTTCCCTTTATCACATTCACATCGTCATACCAGCAGCCTTTTGCAAACGTGTTGGCTATGTTCCCCTTCAGATCTGGACAGCCAGACCCGCCACATGGCCCTCAGCAGCCTCTTTATGGAAGTCCTAATGATGATGAACAACGCGACTATCCCAACAGCAGAGTTCCTCCGAGGCGGTATCCAGACCTGGATTGGGCAGAAAGTGCATGGGCTGGTGGTTCTGCCCCTGTTAACAGCCGCCTGCCAGAGCCTGGCTTCCGTCCGCCACATGGCTGAGACGACGGAAGCCTGCATCACTGCTTACTTCAAAGAGGGTAAGAGGACCGTCATGTCAGGGTCTCAGTAGACCCATCTTTTCCAAGGAAGATTAAAGCTTTATCTGAAGGAGATACCTTTCCAGACCCTTCCTGTTGAGGGATTGTACTGTTCTAATATCTCTGTAAATGTTGTTGATGTTTCAGAATATAGTTTGTTTTCTTCATAAAGATGTGCAGTTAGCATGAGAAATTTTGGCCCATGTTGGTACCATCATGTTTCGAGGGAACCTCTAATTCATTTTATGTGGGTTTTGGAGTGTCAGACCAACCCTTTTATGGTAGTCAAATTGTGTATGTCATAGGCCTAGTCGTAGTCCTAAAAACAAATGCTATATACCAGAATCTTTATAATAATGATCCACTGTATTAATTTTCTCTATTTTGTCACTTGTTAAAGTTTTTCATATGTCCTCTTATTGCATTTTGTCATGTGTTTTAAACTATTACGGAGTTCTCTTCCCGCCTCCCCTCCTGCCCCCCACTCCCGCTTTGTCTTCTTATTTCCTACCTCTAAACTCTCAGATTCTGGAAACAGCCTGATCTGGTTAAAAAGTATTGCTCAGAGCAGTACTTCTCGACTCTGTTACCCAGATATACATCATCGTGCACACAATAGGGGAGAACGAAGGGTACTGGAGTGAGAATGCTAGGAAGTGCCTGCAACCTGCCCATGCCCTTTCTTGACAACACGTGAATAATCCATGTTCCCATGTCCCCCTGTGGAAGGTGCTGTGTGTGTCACCATGTCACCCTGCTCCCATTCCCCCCAAAGAATTGAGAACCATTAGGATAACACTCTTGCTCCAAATTTATTTACTGTTTGTTGCTAAAATCAAATTTGTTTTTTCAATTTGTGAAACATTTTCAAGAATTTCTGTCAAGATACGAGTCAAACTAAACTTTGATAATTAAAAAATGCTTATGAAGGATAGAGTAATAATAATACCCCTCGGAAAAGCATAAGTATTCATAGCATACTTAAAAATGGTATTAGGTAAAGTTAAAACTCTTAGATAACTGGGAGAGGCGGTGTCTACATGAGATTTTAATGATCATAATATGGTGAAAGAGGTGATTTATGAAAATGCAGCCATGATACCTGACTTCATGATACCCTCTGCACTGGCAGCCAGGACAAAGGCATTTAGAGTGAGGGCTTCCAGTCCAAGCCATGAGGCATTGTCAGGCCCTCCAGGGTCAATGTGAGTGGTGTTTTCTCGACCTGAAGCTTTTAAAGTGAAAAGGTTCATTAGAGTAGTTAAATAGTTTGATTCTTGCTCTTACCTTTCTCTACCTCTTGGTGTTCTTTTCTTAGGCTCCCTCAATCAGAATTTAGGTTGGGGCCCCATTCTGGTGTCCCTTCAAGTTCCTGAGCTCACCATTGAAGAGTTTCTGCAGGAGTGCCTGTCCCTCGGCAGCTACTTGACTCTCTATGTCTACTTGCTTCAGTGTCTAAATAGTGAGCAGACGCTAAGGAACGAAATGAAAGTGCTGCTTCTCTTAAGCCAGTGGTTGGAACAGGTGTATCCAAGGTATATTGGCCCTCCGGTTGCCTACAGCCGACCGACCCATGGGATTGGGATAGCTTGAATTTGGGTTTAAGTTAATGTCCACTTAAGTGCACAGACCCAAGTGATACATAAGAAACAAACAAGGCTATGAGGTACAGTGACACCTATTTTAGGAAGATTTTCCTTGCATGGGCCGATTTTCTGAGCAGGCGTTTTATTTCCTAAGATGGGTATTTTGAAGCACCACCTTTAGCTTCCATATCCGTTAAGTAGGGGCAACAACGTTTAGCTCACTTGATTAAGTGAAAGGACGTCAAGCTCATATATGCTGTCTGGCATGTAGAAGGGGCAATAAATGTCAGCTGTTCTTTTATTGTCCAAATACTTTATTAACAGCATTACCTGTCAGCCTAAGCTTTTAAAGTACTAAATGTCCCTTACACTTAAAACTCATGTGTGGACTTTCAGTTAAATGAGAGTGGAAAGAATCTACTCTGAATTTGATTTTCCTCCCCCCTCTCCGCCCCCAGCTCTATGCAGGAAGAAGCAAAGCTGTTTTTGTGGTGGCACCAAGTCCTGCAGCTGTCCCTGGTTCAGACCGAGCAGAATGACTCGGTCTTGACGGAGTCTGTCATTCGAATTCTGCTCATGCTTCAGGCCCGTCAGAGCCTGCTGGCCGAGGAGAGGCTCAGTTCAGGGATTCTCAGGGCAATTGGGCTGGGCCGGAAGTCGCCCTTGTCTAACAGGTGAGGAAGCACCTGCTCTTGCTTTTCTAAACGGGCCACAGACACCTGCACATACCTAGGGGGTGCGATACTCGGTAGATTTTCTATTTAGGAGCTGAGCTAGGGTCCTCCCAGAGATTAAGAAGAAAACAATCAGAGCCTGATTACATCTTTACATTTTAAAAAGGGTGTTTATTTTTTCCGTTTTAAAACAACTTTTATGTTCAAAGACTTTTTTTTCCGCAGTATCTCATTGCATTTTGACTTGGTCACCTGACCACACTACACATTACTTTTTGTCTTTGAGCCAGTGACGGTGTGCAAGGTTAGGTTAAAATACCCCAGTCAGCTGCTTCACTGCCAGCACTTTGTCAGGGAAACCCAGGTCCCATGAGGGACTCGGTCTAGCAGAATTGTTAAGTCAAGATGAGTAGAAGTTAACTGATTAGAAGGATAAGTAATGAGAAATACGTTCAGGTTTTTGTCGCTAAAAATTCCAAGGTGTGAAAGAATTTGCTACTAGCCCCAGTTTATCTCCTAAGACTATTTGCATCATGGTTTTCTTTTAAAGGCCTTATCTGGTTTGAAAGGAATTCTTACTATTCTGATGTCAGCATTCTTATGGAATAGCCTGCTGCAACTTTGGGAGCCACCCAGTCCAAACCAGTTAACACCATACTCCTTTGTTTGTGGTAGAATTTAGCAGGACTGTGTGATTTGATTCACTTAAATTGTAAAATACACATCACATAAAATTATCATGCTAACCCTTTTAAAATATTCAATTCAGGGACTTTCCTGGCAGTCCAGTGGTTAAGACTCCGTGCTTGCACTGCAGGGGGCGTGGGTTCGTTCCCTAGTCGGGGAACTAAGATCCCGCATGCCGCGCGGTGTGGCCAGAAAAAAAAATGATAAAATGTACAGTTCAGTGGCATTTAGTACATTCACAATGTTGGTGCAACCATCACCACTATTTTGTTCCAGAACATTTTCGTCATCCCAGAAGGAAATAGCTACTAAGCTACTAAGCAATCACTCCCTATTCCCCTCTTCCCCAAGTCTCTGGCAACCACTGATGGATTCCTGACTATGTATATCCTGTTCTGGGCATCTCATATAAATGGAATCATGTAATACGTGGCCTCTTGTGTCTGGCTTCTTTCACTTCCCATAAAGTTTCAAGGCTCATCCATATTTTAGCATGCACTGGTACTTATTTCCTTCTTATGATTGAATAATATTCCATTGTATGGACACACCACATTTTGTTTTTCCATTCATCAGTTGATAGACATTTGGGCTGTATCCACTCTTTGGCTGTTGTGAATAGTGCTGCTGTGAAAGTTATTTACAAGTTTTTGTTAGAACACCTGTTCTCGGTTCTTTTGGAATTGTTGGGTCACATGGTTACTCTACATTTAACTTCTTGAGGAGCTGCCAAACTGTTCTCCATAGCGCCTGCACCATTTTTAACATTCCCACCAGCCGTGGCTGAGAGTTCCAGTTACTCTGTATCTGCCAGCACTTTCATTCCTGAGACTGAATTATGTTTTCATTGTTTGGGTGGTGATAATGGAAGGGCAGATAAAGACTCCTTGATCATATTTACAGTTTTCCTGAAGAGGCTAACAATCACAGTAGGTCTGGAGATGTGTTCATCTTATTTTTTAATAGAAAATATGGTATTTATTTTAAAATGCTTACTTTAATAGTCATTTACTTCTTCTAATCCCTCCCTAACACTTAAGGTTCCGAGTGGCTGCCCGAGGCATGGCTGCCTTTCTTTCAGTTCAGGTTCCCGCCAAGGATCAGATCCGTTTGAAGCCGAGCTCTGAATTACATCTGACCCTGAAAGCTCAGCAGGTCAGTAAAAAGCTTTGTGGTTAAGGGCTAGAAGTTTTCCACAGGAGGAGGGAGGTGGTACCTGTAGTCTTTACACGTGACGACCTGGTGATGATGATCGGCAGCAGCGCAGCATACTGTCTGGCGGGCTCTACTAACTGGAAAATGGTTAACGTGTGTATCTGCCTCGGATTTTCAACCAGTTTTTGTAGGCACTTGCCCAGAGCCCTATTACTACCCTTGTAGAAGTAGCAAGGCCATGGGCAAGCCAATCTAGGATCGAATTTGGTTCTGATGACATGACTGTGTGCTGACCCGTCACAAGCTGGGGCTGGGGACAGGCACAGAAGATGAGACTACAGTTGAGACCGATAGAGGTTAGCTGGGCTTTAACTTGGAGCCAAGGCGGTGGTTCTGTTTTGTGAGTCTGGGGGTTGACCAGTGTTGGCTGACATGGACAAAATGGTAGCTGTGAAAAATAGTTTGTTCTGAAAACATGGAAGGCTACATGGCAGTGGTCCCCCATCCCCATAACTATTTTCACCCATAAACAGGCTGGCCAGGTACAAAGGTATATAATATAAAACGATGGCTGGCATTCTTGAGTGCTTACTGCATGCCAGGCACTGTTGTAAGTTTTAACTCACTTGATGTTAACGAGTTTAAATTTTAACTCTTCTGATTCTCATAACAACCCTATACAATACGAACTTTTATTATCCTGGTTTTGCGGATGAGGAAATGGAGACAGAAGGAGACTAAGTAATTTGTCCCAAATCACACAGCCCCTGAGGGCTGGGGCTGGGATTCACTGGGCCTGTCTGGGTCCAGTGTCACGCTGTTGTTGCTCTGCAGTACTGTCTCTGTACACGGTAAATGCTTAGACCCCTCAGCTCTTGTCTTTTGCGGCATTGTCATGTCTGAGCCAGCCATGTACAGTGTGATATCTCGGTATTAAGAGCACAGATGAAGCAAAAAAATCAGCAGGTTCTTCACAGGCATCTTGGTTTGTACAGTACCCGATACTTGTCACTGGCTGATTAGACAACCACCATTTGCATCCCTAATGTTGTATAAGAGCTGTCGCAAGTGGGCAGATGAGTGTCCCAGGGGGCGGTTGTGAAGGCAGTGCCATGCATTTCAGTCTGCATTTGAGAAGTCTGCTCTCCTGTGCCCGCCAGCACCTGGAGCATAGCTTTGCTTTAGCTGCGGCCAGCAGGTCGCCCAGTCCTTGCCAGCCTTTGCCGGCCTTCCTTTAGACTTAAGTGATGACATACTTGTCATCAGGGTTTTCAGACTGGAAAGAAGTCAACTTTGTATAAAATGATTATTCTTAGGCAAACTGTCAAAGTAGACCGTTCTTTTTAAAAAAGAAAGGGGAGAGAGAGAAAGAGAGAGACATATGGACGCTATGGTTAGTGGGAGTGCCTGTTCCCACTGATTCTTGTTCTTAGATTAACTCCGTTCATACAGCAGTTAGCTTGGTACCAAAATCCCTTCCATTGTTGATTTTCAACCCCAAAACTTCTGTCTTAAACCACTTGGTAATTTATTTCTAAGCTGCCTGTTCATTTACCATCCTCAAAAAATCTTCTCCCTCCTTATATACTGAGCCAAGCAAATTCCATCTTTTAATCTATATCCTCTAGTGCAGTGGTCCCCATAAATGAGAGAGGCAGGAGAGTGGCACTTCACAGTTCACACTCAGAATGCTAGGGGTGGGTGAGCTCGTATAGCTGGAAAACAAAACTCCCTACCCGCCAAGAACCGTTGTTCTGATTCTTTGTTTGTTTTCTCTAAATACAGTCTTTTTCTCTTGTCTTCTCCCAGTATGAAGGGAGGAAAAATTAAAATTATGGAAGTAAAGAATGTTTTTCTTTCTTTATTCCCAAAGAGAAGCATGGGAATATGTCAATTCTGTTGGGCGGAAGCCAGAGGAACTTGATCTGTCCGTTGTGTTTGTTGGCTGATAGAACAACCTTATCATTCACCCTCGGCAGCACTTAGCCACTGGTTTCTTCTGAATTTCTAGTTACACGGTTTAGTATGACATTACTTTGTAATCTGAGAACAAACCCAACTGCAAATTAAAGCTGATGCCCGTGGTTTCCGGTTGAGTCTCCAGGAAGAGAGGCAGTAGATGATCTGGCGGGGAGGGCTGCAGTGCTGGCACTGGGGCAAGGAGGACAAAGCAGGAAGACAGCCTGGCTGCAGCAGTGGCACTCTGCGGGGAGGGGTTGGGAAACAGCACAGGCCAGGAAGAGGGAAGGCTGGATGTGGAAGGCGGCAGACGCCAGAGAAGCTTGGGTTGCCGGCCTCCTTCTAATTGTGGTTGATCAGTGCCTGCCTTTGAGACATCTAGTTCCAGTTCTGTAGGCTTCCCTGGAGGCTCACAGTTGCACCTGATGACGTTGGCAGGTGTGCTACACCTGCGGGAATCATGTTATATGCATCCATGTGGTTAACCCTCTTGCCTTCTATGTCTTTTAGGCTCTGAATGCTCTTGAATCCTTGACGTCAAGTAAGCAGTACGTTGAATACCAGGATCAGATATTGCAAGCCGCACAATTTATAAAGCGTCCTGGCCATTGCCTCCAAGATGGGAAAAGCTTCCTGGCTCTTCTTGTGAACTGTCTCTATCCAGAAGTGCATTATTTGGACAACATACGATAGTAACACTGAGGCTCTTGATAAACCTGTTGCTGTTTATGTTTACATTTAACTTTGCTGTTGCACAAATAACTTTGCTCAATTTCACTGCAGTTTGGCCAATGAATTAGTTGACTGAGATGCAAGTTGGTGGGCGCTAGATAAGTGTTGTGCATGTGCACATGTGTATGTGTGTGTCCTGAGCTCTTAAAATGTTCCAGGGACTTTGTAATTTTTATGTTCATCCAGCAAGAGAACTTACGAAGCTCTCCTTGGGTAGAGAGCCACTCTCAGTTGCCGAATATCCAGTCATCTCATGAGACCCCAGGTGGGGTGCTTTCGTATGTCTCCACTTCTGTCTTTTCCTGTTTCATTTAAATGTCAAGACTCCTGTGCCAGATATAACTACTTTGGGAATCGGGTTGAACCCTCACTTTTGAACCCCAATTGTGTTCCTTCAAAGTAAAAAAGCTTTGAAAATTTCTGCATTTCTCAAATGTGGGGAAATATACCAGCTTAAATTATTATATTTTTCTCTCAATTTTTCTCTCAGAAGGGAGATAAGAATGCTGAATCAAAGTGAGTCGTTGTGTAAAATGTGACCACTTGATCCTGATTATAGTGGACAGTAGAGATGGTGACAAGTCCATTTCCATCCAGCCATGTGTCCTCATAGAGAAGGAGCCATTTGTCTACATTGGGGGCGCATGCTGGTGGTCTGTGGGGAGCATGTCGTGCACAGATGTGTTTTGTTTGATCTCCATGGCTGAGAGTGTAGACAGGGCTTCCTCTCTCCAGTGCACTGTAGACGTACATTCCCTTTGGTCATACCCCAGCCCGCTCCTTCATTCACGTCTTATTTGGCCCCTGTAGACATGTAAATTTGCAGCTCTTTCCAGACAGCAAGTTTGATATCTGAAGGTCCTGCTGTTGAGAGACAGAGACAGAGAACTTGACTGTCTGTTTCCTGCTTGTTTTATCACTCCAGATTTAAACTCAAATGAAGCTAGCAAACCTGCTGAAACACTGGTCGGTGGAAACTGGGTCAGGTCAGGAGACTTGACTGAAATTTGGCTTTTTTTTTCCTGACCTGACTGAAATTTGGCTTTTTTTTAATCGTCACGTGCCTTCTGTTGTTAACAGTTCGTTCTTTACCAAAGCCTGTCTGCAGTGTTGCCGTGTTTTGCTGCCATCTGCTTGCTCTTGTCATGTCCCCCCCCACGCCCCGGAATTCGCACCTTGACTTCTGTCATCATATTCATAATTCTGTTGGCTCAAAATTGATTTGTTTGTCCAGCTGGCCTAAGGTGTCTTTTGCTTGCAGGCTATCTATAGCCCGAGGCTATTTACATAAAAATGTCTTAGTCTCTGAGAGCTTTCAGCAGGGGGATTTGGGGTATAGATTAACTGAGTGATAATCTCTTTCCAAATATCGTTTTGCGGTGCTTCCCCCAACATTTGGAAGTGTGTAGGAGCTGTTCTTTATTTTGAATCTTTTTAGTTGGACAGAACAGTTCTGCCCCACGGAAATGCTCTGGTAAAGATCATCCCTGTTAGCCTTCAAGTTCTGTAGGCCACTAAGTGTCCATCTCCGAGGGATGCATCTCAGAGCTTTCCTTGTTAACACGTTTTAGAAGCTGTGGACAGTTCCATGGCTGATTTGGCAACAAAGATTTTATGAGAGGAAATATTCTGTGTGCTGTTTTCTTTGAGGAGGATGTAATTATTGGTATCCTAGAATGAAATTTTTGAGTGACAGTACATACATTTAAAGAAAATTATGTTTAATCTTAATTTTTGAAGGTTTATAATATTTATAATGTATTTGCTCTGTAAAAATTATAAAAAATAAATCAATCTTTGGTTGTAGCTGGTAAGAATCCGATTTTTAGGGATATCACACTATCTTGTAAAGTATTTCAGTTGTTAAAGTTGATGCAGATTTTTTTATGCCTGATGTCATCTGTTTTTTTTGACACTGTAACTTGATCATCAGAGATGGTCGGTAAAAGTACTTCCTCTCACGCTTAACAGTGGAAGGTTTACTCACCACATAGGTTCCTATGAGAGGCTCTGGGCTAAGAAATTGCTTTAACAACACTAAGATAGCTCAGAAGGTGGCAATGTTGCTGTAGCCTCCTGGGAAAGAATAGACCGGTCTGCCCACTGGCTTTCAGGAATAATGAGCTTTTGTTGGCAAAATAGTCACCTCCAGAGAGCGCAGGGCATGTTTCAGAGACAGTTAGCAGTGCTGCATGTTGATACCTGGGTCAGTAAGACCAAGGCACCTATGTGCTGGAGCTTCGTTGAAGGTGCACTAGTGCAGACTTTCCCCATACGTGGCCAGCAGTGTCTTCCGGTTCAGATGGGGATGCAGAGCAGCTTCCTGGGCTCTTCTCCACTCTTCTTTCTGCAGTTCACACAGGATGGGCCAGAGAGGCACACTCGACCCCCTGATCTCCTGGCTCCCCTTCCTAACTCTGCAGAAAGCTGCAGGCACAGATGCCAGGGAGGGAGGCTCTGCTGATGCGTCTGCCCAGCCTAATGGGGCCAGGGCCCACCCTCCATGTTCCTGAAGCTCCTGGCACAAGTCGCTGGTGGTTTCACGATCAGCCTGTTGGCACAGTCACGCCTGCCTCCTCGAGGTTGCCTGAGTCTCTCAGTTCTTCGAGGTGGGGGAAGCTGGGTCCAGAAAATGAAAACCCCTGAGCAGCCCACCCTCTCTTTAACCAAGTGCCAACCCCCTTCCTCCCAGTCAGTGTATCCACGTTGTGCAAGTGAGAGTGTCCATGCCCTTTCTTCCTTTCGAGTGAAGGTGAGACACAGTTTTCTACTGGATTTTTTAAACTTAATTAATTAATTAATTTTTGGCTGCCTTGGGTCTTCGTTGCCACGCACGGTCTTTCTCTGGTTGTGGCGAATGGGGGCTACTCTTCGTCGCGGTGCGTGGCCTTCTCATTGTGGAGGCTTCTCTTGTTGCGGAGCACGGGCTCAGTAGTTGCGGCACACGGTCTCTAGAGCACAGGCTCAGTAGTTGTGGCTCACGGGCTTAGTTGCTCCGCGGCATGTGGGATCTTCCTGGGCCAGGGCTCGAACCTGTGTCCCCTGCATTGGCAGGTGGATTCTTAACCATTGCGCCGCCAGGGAAGTCCGTCTATTGGATTTTTAAACCTGAAATGAATAATTTCTGGAGCACGAAGCAGATGTTATAGGATCATGACTTTTGAAGTCAGTAGAGGCATTAAAGCTCATCTGGTCCCATCTCCCACTCAGCAGGGATCCCAGCCCTGATCCTCCAGCCTCTCCTCTGCCCTTTCCTGTGGCCACTAGTTCCGCTCCTCATGGACAAGCCCAAGTGGCCATTGGTGAGCTTGGTTGTAGTTCTGCTTTATACTGGGCTAAAACTGGCCTCCTGGTAACGCTGGCCATAGTTCTGCTGGAGCTGTCCTCCTGCCCCCTCCTGACAGACCTTCAGACCTTTGGAAATTTTCATACCTCATCACACCTCTGACCCTGCCCGTCCACCCAGCCCTCAGCCTTTGTCAAACGAAATGCCTAGTGCCTTTAGTTAGTCCTTTGCCCCCATGATGTCTGCCAGGGCTGCCCTTTGGGAAAACTGCCCAAATTAGCCCACGTTATTAGAAGAGGGCCATGCCGAGAAACAGTAGGGTCAGGACTTGGGTAAAACAAATGAGGCACCCAGGGCACACATATAAGGTGGCACTTGCCTGCTGGCTCCGAGAGAGTGTGCCTCCTTAGGTTATGTGCCCTCAGCCTGGTCTCTGCTTTGGGGGTTGGCTACACTAGAGTGGGTCACGCAGCAAAGCTTGCTCCGCTGGACATGTGGGCAGCATCAGCTCTCAGCAGCTGTGCCCTCTGGTTGGCACGTTCAGTCAGTGGTGAGTCAAGCTCCAGAGCTCGGTTTATCATCAGTTGCAGGTCTGACAATAAGGCGCTTTGCACTTATCCTTCAAAACTGTCTGCTCTGCATTTTGGACCAACTTTACTCCTTATTCTGAGCTAGTAAAATTTTATTTAGAGCTGAAAAATTTTCTGCTTAGTTAACTTTGTCTTATTAAGCAAAGTGGAGAGTACGATGCTGCAGATAAGCATGATGCTTTAAAAAAAAAAAGTTCCCTCCTGTCATCTTCCATTTGCATCTGGGTTGTGCTGGGTAAAGTTCTTGGCATCCAGCCAGGCACTAACACTGACCTTGTCCTGGTCTGTGATGATCCCGGTCCGTGGTGACCCTCTCACATTATAGAGGCGTCATGTGTCCTATAGAAGCGGTAGTTGAAGTTTCCTTCAGTCTAGATAGGTTCCTGATTTCTGATGACAATAACTTGAGAAAAAAACTACTGACCCTATTTTGGGGTAATGAAACCACTAAGGAATGTTGTTCATTATAACTTTATTTTTTAATGTACTGATGTAATATCTCCCAAGCACTGAGGTTTAGGATTTATTTTTCTTTCAATGGCTTAAATCACTCAAGTGGCAGCAAATACATCTTAAATGTGTTCAACTCTTTTTTCCTACCCACATGCCTAGTGTGGCCTTTAAAAACAAGTTATTTTGGTCATTAAATGTGCAATATTCACTTCTTATTCATTGTTGGCATTTTACTTGCTTGTACAAAGGATGAGTTTTTATATAGTGATGAAACACAGAAAGAAATGAGAATTGGTTAAGTAAAATTCTGCAAATAAACTAGATTCAAATTTAATTTACGTGTGGTAGACATCTCATTTTGGGCAAGTTGGTTGGCAGGTCTTTTCATCCAAAAATCACAAAAAGAAAAGTGTGAAGTTATAAAGCTTGTAATGGGTAGAATCTATATTCTGTGACATTTCACCACAATCGGTGAGGCCTCTAGTTTCAAGAGAACTTAAAACTTGGGGGTTTAAGAATTGGCATAGACGGGGACCACCTGGTGACCCCAGAGAGTTCAGGAGAGCCCTGAGGTCTGTAATGTGCTTGTGATCCTAGTAGGAGAAGGTACATGAAGCTGCACAAAGGCTTCCACTGCCTGAGTTCCTGGGTGGGGGCAGGGCGCCTCTGGGAGGGCAGCCAAGCTGCCAGGGAGGTCAGTGCAACCTGAGCTTGGTCACAGTCTGCTCCAGAAATCACTTCATGTTGGAATGCCAGGGAGTTCTTCCTTAGTGTTCATTTCCATTACATTAAGACACATCTTGAATGGGCCAAAGTATGGTGAGAGGGCCCGCATATTTGATTTGGGATTACATCAGTTTGGGATTTCCCTGGGACAGCGCCCTGTGTGTCTCCCCAACCCTTGCGTCCTTGTCTGGGTTTGGCTTCCTTCTCCAGACAGAATCACAGGATTTTGGAAAGTGGCTTAGAGGCAAGTTGTCCCACCTCCTACTAGTGTAGGAATCACCTGTCTCTAGACAGGTGGGCTTCCTTGCTGGGAAACGCCCAAAGAAATGCAGCTCCAAAGTGGTCCATGTCACCATGGGGCAAATGAGAATCCTTCACCTAAGGATAGGGAGCCAAGATCTTCCTCCAAAACCTGCTTCTCTTCTGAAGACAGCCCTCTTCCCTCTTGGTCTTCCTTTGCTAGCCTAAACCCTTTTAGGAGACAGACCCACATTCCCCGCCTATTGGTCAGAGGAGCCAACCTGATCTCTCTCCTGGACACCATATTTTAATAATGGCCTAAATTTGTGGCTTGGACCAGACTTACCTTGGACTCTCTCAGCCTGCTCTAGTTGACCTGCTCCCTGACACGTCCTCCTTAACCTTTCTTAAGGCCCCTCTCTGTACCTTCCCTCCCTTCACTTCCTCTTCCTCCCCCCTTCCCCTTCCCCACCCCATCTCTCTGCTCTTCCACCTGAGGTCACAGCCAGCAGCCTCTGGTGGAGGTGTGGAGGTGTGTCCCCACAGGGCCTCTCCCGGGGAAATCTTTAGCCCTGTGGCCCCTCTGAGTTCACTGGCATGTGGGAGTTGGGGACAGAGAAGGTCTGGCGGCCCAAACCCTGGAAAACCGGGGAGTTCCAATCCCAAATAATTCTGTATCCTTGTATTGGCAGACCGTGTTTTCTCCCTTTAGCTCATAAACTATGACAAAGAGGAAGGGGCACAGGAGAGGAGGAAAGGCATGTGAGAACCTGGGAAGGAGAAGGAGGCATGCATGTGGAAGGAGCTGGGACCAGAGCTGTTCTGTCACAAGCACGTGTGACCCTGGCCAGGTCACTTTCCTCCCTGAGACTTTTGCCTCATTTTAAAATGTGGATAATTGCAGCCTTGCCTGTCTCCTGGGTTTTTAGTGAGAACTGCCTGGGATCATGGAAGGGAAGGAACTTTGACGATCACAGGGGCCCCCAGAAAATGAGGGGTATTGTTGTGGAGGGCATGGAACTGGACCTAAGTGCCAGGCTGGAGGTGGGACAAAGCTCAGGACCCCAACTCATGGTCTGTAAGGTCCCTGGCCTGAAGGCCCTGTGGCTGGCTGAGCCCTGCCTTCACCTGGCTCTGTCATCCAGTCTGGTGAGGGGGCATATGTATATATGTAAAAACTCAGCCCCACTCAGTGTCATTTCTGTCCCAAGGCAGGCCTACCTTCATTGTATATTATCTCGTGGACGGTTCTCATGGAGCTACATCTCAATTTAAAATTTAGGACATGAGCTCCTTGAGGGCAGGGAAGGTGTGCTAGGCTCTTGGTGGACCTGGGCAGTAGTCGCCCTTCCTCCCGCTGCTTACCTCCAGGAGCAGCCTGGTGGGTGGCTGGGAACAGAGGGAAGGTGCAGGGTGTCAGAAGCCCCTCTCATGTCCGCAGAGCACTCTCCCCTACACCACACTGCCAAGTCCTGTCTCCGAAACACCAAATCTCCTAGGTCACTTCTCAGGCCCAGGACACTGCTGACCGAGCCTGCCGCCTGTGGCTTGGTCCTTGCTTGCCACCGATGGCATCTGGGTGCTCTGAGAGGGGAGAGTTGGGAAGGACTCCCTGGCTCTGAGGTGAGCCCAGGGGGTCTGATGATGGTCAAGTGCAGTCCCCTCACCACCTTCCCCTTCTCCCCCTAGCAGTTGCTTTATCCGGAGGCTGAGCGGGAGGCTGCCTGGGCACTGTGAGCAAATTGGTAGAGGAACTGTGCCTGTCCCTCCTGAACTGTGCCTCCCCACGGTCCATCTCTGTGTCTGAAACCCTGCAGCAGAGAGGAATGCTGCTGCTTCAGCCCGCAGGAAGCCCTATTCCACAGTGCAAACACCGCAGGAAGGACCACCGGGTTGGCAGCCAGCACCCTTACAAGTCAGGCTGACTCAGAGGGAGTCTCCAACCTATCTTGCTTAAAAATCACCTGGAGTCAACTGGACCCTGGTTGGAAACAACAAGCTAAAAAAGGACAGTTGGGGAAATATGAATGTGGGCTGTACGATGATATTATTGAATAATTGTTAATTTTCTCAAATGTGATAATGGCCTTGAGGTTATGCAGGAGAATGCTCTTGTCAGGAGACACAGCTGTGGTATTTAAGGGTAAAGTACTGTGATGTCTGCAGTTTACTCTCAATGGTTCAGCCAAACATACACACACATAAACATATACACACACTTGTGCATTAAGCTAATAGGGCAAAATGTTAGTAAGTGTTGAATGTAGGTGGTGGGTACCTGGGTGATCGTCTTGCTTTTTCAGCTGTGTGTGTGTATTTGAAAAATGATCGTAATACAAAGTTAGGGACAAAATCCCCTGGATAATTGTCTAAAGACCCTGCCCTCAGAGCCTGTGGTTCAGGTGGTCCAGGTGGTGCTGAGGATGGGGAGTTGAGCAAGCGTCCCAGGTGTTCCTGATACAGGCGGTCCTTGGAACTCACCTGGGAAACGCTGCTCTGAGAGCCCAGGGTCGGAAGGTGGAAACCCCAGCCCCAAGGTGTTGTGGGTCTGGAGCAGAGCAGTGGTCAGACAGTGAAAGCAGCCGTGCAGGCAGTGCAGGGCGCCCTGACTCCATCCAGCTGCTCATCCCTGCTGGGGCCGAGCCCTCCACACCCAGGAGCCTCCATGCTGTGGCCTCGGCTCCAGCCACACCTGTCTCTACCCTGGTGCTCCAGCAACTTTCAACTGCTTAGACAGCACCCTGTGTCCCACCTCCTGGCCTTTGCTCAGAACGACCCTTCTGCTTAGAATGACTTTTTTTTCTTACCGCCCAACCTCCATTCTCCCCCATTTGTGTGGCCAGTGTGTACCATCTCCATGTCCCCTCCTCCAGGAAGCCTTCCGAAGACTGGGTCACTCACCCCTTTGTATGTGCTCCACAGCACCCCCAGCAGACTGATGCCCTCACGTGATTTCCCACTTACTAGTCTGTGTTGCTCACGAGCGTGAGAACCCCTGGAGAGTCCTCCTGTGGAGTTGTCAGGGCTGTTCCCAAATGCTCCGGCTTCCCTTCTTCCAGGTGCAGTGAAGGGTCACGCTGCCCAGCCCCTCCAGGAGAGTGGGGCATGTGGCTAGTTCTGGCCAGTGAACTATGATCCTAAGTGGAAGACCCTCTAGAGCTTTCTTTGTATCTTCAACCCAGCAATCCACATTAGAGAGGGTGGATCCCCGGGAGCCTGGGTCCCTGAGTAAGTACAATGCGCACAGCTCTTTGCCGATCTGTGCCGGGCATGCAGCTATGGAGAGAAGAAACCCTAATTGTTCTCGGCCACTGTGATTTGGCTTTGTTACTGCAGCACGACCTAGGCCAGCCTTATTCATTTCTATATCCCCAAACACCTGGCCAACTGCTAGCACAAAATGATGCATAAGAAGTAATTCCTATCACTTTTTCTTGGCTGTGGAACTGGCCTCAAAGACCAAGCGGATGGTATAAGACACATCACCCGTGCCCTTCCCTGACGATACAGGACTCTTGATGGAGGTGCCCAAAGTATCCCCGCACAAAGAGGTACAAATGCCAACTCCATTGACCTCTTAACAACTCACACAGCCTCCTGGATGGATCCCAAGTTAACCATGAGCCGCCATCACCCCTTTGCTCTGGCGAAGGCTCCAGTGAGGAGCCTTGTAACCCACCACCCTGCTTATTAACTTGTGAAGATCCTTCAGCCTTCATGCCATCTCCCCGGAAAGCATCAGAGAGGACCCCATGCTCGCTGTAGGTGACTCCAGTTTACCACTGCAGCATCTGGAAAAGTTGTGGAGGGAAGAAAGTCTGTTCCCATTGAAGGCCCATATCTCTGTGGCCCTTTTGCCAGCTCGCCTGGGTCCCAAGCATGCCTCCTCCCCCTCTCCCTGACCCCAAAGACTGCAGGAGCTAAACCAATCAAGTGTGAGGATGGAAGGCAGCACCCTGCAGTCAGCCTGGCAACACTCGGGCAAATGGGAAATGGCCGGTGCTTTTGGCCAGTGCACATCCAGAGAAGAGGCAGGTGGTAGAGAGGTCAGGGCTGCAGCTGCTTTATCCATGGACACCCTTGGCCCAGACTTGCCCTCACACCTCCCAGAGTTTGGTCCTTAAGAACAGTGGATTCCACATGCTTTGAGATGATGGGTGTTTTGTTCCTTTTTCCCAGAGTTCCCAGCTGAAGGTTGTGCAGAGAGCCGATGGGGTAAGAGGAGGGCAGAGTGTGGGACAGTCACAGAGGAGACCCCAGGGGCCAGGGATACCGGGCTTCTCCTTGTTGCTGATTTGATGTTCCTGGGACCACAGGGTGGCACAGCCCAGACCCAGACTTGCCCTCTGGAATCCTTACTCCCAGCGAGGCCGGTGTGGGTGCTATGCTTGTCCAAGTTTAGATGTCCCAGGGTCGCTCTGCAAGGAGGAGCCTGTAACACCGTTCACACCTGTAGACAGCTTTGTACTGCCCCAAGTCCCTTCACATCCACTACTTCCTCAGACCTTGACAGCCCGAAGCCAGCAGAGAAGACTGTTACTGTTGGTGTTCAACAGTGGACGAACAGAGACCCAAAGAATGGAAAAAAGTGCCTTGGTCCACACAGCAAGTCGGTGACAGAACGAGGATGGAGCCTGGGCCTGGAGACCCCTCTGACCAGGGTCCTGCCTGCTTTACTATAGTGTTCTAGGTAAGCAAAGGCAAGACGAGCTTTGCAGAAGTGTCACCTGGGCTCATGTGCGAGTGCAGGCACACACACACACACAAACACACACACACACACACACGTGCGCATGCGCGTAAAATGCTGCCCCGTTGACAGAAATATCTCTGGGGCTTGGAGACAGAAGTCCACGTAGGTGACCTCTGAGCCTCTGTGAGTAGGGTCCTGACCTCAGGGCGCCGCCAGGCTAGGGCTGCCAAGGTGCCTGGGAGCCAGGAAGGGCCATCCCAGCCAAGCCACATGTTGGCTTTCATTCCTCATGGTGTCCAGGGGATGCTGGTGGCCAATGGGCTCCTCAAGGTGAACACATGGCTGCTGGTGGACCCTGAGGACTCATCTGGCCCAAATTTTCATAATTGGACTCCTGAGCTTGGGGCCTGTGGACAGGAGAAAGTTGGCTGACCACCCAAACAGGAGGGGTCTCTGACTGCCCAAACCACAGCCCAGGAAGGGGCGGAAGGAGGGACGAGAGGGGATTCGGGGGCCTGCATCCAACAAGGCCTGGAGATTAACCGAAGGTTGGAGGCAGGGCAGCGGCAGAACTTGCAGACCAGGGAGGGGACCACCTGGGTGACAGCATCCCAGAGTCTCTGTCTTCTCAAAGGGATCTCATCTGTGGCTTCAAAAACCATCTCTGGGGTCCTGACCTCCGGGTCGGGCCTCCTGCTAACCCTAACCGCTTTCCTGACTTCTGGGACATCCTTGTGGCCTCTCAAACATAAACAGTCCACAGAGCTCGTGTGATCCTCACCACACACCACCCCCCATCTTCAGCTCAGTAGGTGGCACCCGGGGCGCCAGCTCCAGACCTGCTGGCTCCCTTCCTTGCTTGTGCTGCCCACTCTGGCCATCCCTGCCTCTGTCTGCCCCATCTCCCAGCCCTCTCTATTGCCATCTTCAGCCAAGCAACCTAGCCAGCTGCAGCCTTGGTCAGCAGCCCCTAAAGGCCTCCTGGGCTCCACTCCTGTTCAGATGGGGCCACTCTTCTGCTTAAACCATTCGCTGTCCTGTGCCTGGGTGGGAACGGCGCTACGGGAGTGCCCGGGCTTGTCTAAAGGGTCCTGGAGAAGGCTGTCATCCCCCGCCTGCCTCCCCCAAGCATCTCGGACAAGGTCTTGGAATTGGATGCTTTCTTCTTCTACACAGGCCTTCACTTGGACAGACACCAAGAGGGGGGCAAGGTCAATGCTTCCTAGCTGAGTCTGTGAGCCCTCAACCAAGCCCTCAGAACCTCTAATGACATTTTGCTTGCAAAGCCTTCAGCAGGGTGTCTGGGAGAATCATTGCCTAATGGTGGCTTTTGTGTGGATCTGTTCTAGAATGCTGGGCACTATGAGAGGAAATGCAGCCTCCAGGGATCACAGCTAGGTGCAGAGATAAGGCAGACCCAGAAAAATGACCCTTCAGCACCACGGACACCAGGCAGCTGGTCCAGAAGATAGGCCAGTGTGAGGCCCACAGTCAGTGCTGGGAACGTGGGGAGCAGGTCAGCGTGGCCCGGTCTGGCTGCCAGGCTTGGTGGACTGAAGTAGGGGGGAAGGCTGCAGGGAGGGCCTGGACCCTGATCAGGGCTGGGACCCCAGCCCCAGCCCTTTGCCCATTCTTCCTTCTCAGGTTGCCCTCCATGAGGAGCCTGCACCCCTTGGCCAGGGGTGGACTACCGGGGGGCAGGGTGGGGGTGGGCGAGCTTACTTACCGCGGTGAGGCGTCCTGGGTGACTGGGTACTCTGTGTGAGGGACAGAGAGAGAGGAGGCATGAATCTCCATGGTAGCCTCTGGGCTACAAGCCCCGCTGTCCAGCCCGCCCCACTGGGGAGAGTGGTCTGGAGGAAACAGCTAGCCAGCAGGATGCGAAGAAGTGACCTGAAAGATGATGAATCACCGGGGACGACAGGGAGTGAGCAGCCGACTTAGCAGGAAGACCTGCTTCTCTGAGGCCCCTGAAGCACAGAATGCTTGGTGGGTTTGAAGACGCTGCCGGAAAGCCAGTGTGGCCCCAGCAAAGATGGTAGCCAGAGCAACTGTGACAAATTTTGGATTTCATCCCAGGAGAGTTTGAGGCTGGTGCTACTCACCTGGGTGGTCTGAGAGGCTCTGGGAAGTCTCCTCTCCGGGGCCTAGAGCAAATTTCCCATCCAGCTTAGTGACAGTAGGGAGGGGTGACAGCAGCTTTCTGAAGACGGCCTGCTAGTTCGAGCTTCCACTCTTTTATACATGCTGTTCCGTCTGCTAGGAGTACTATTAGCTCCTTGTTTTCCTAGTTCACACCAGCTTATAGCATTCGATTTAGCCTCCCCTTACTTGTGTAAAGCCTTCCCTCCCAGCCCCCGTCTGGATGCCCCATCAGAGAGAGGCCCAGACTCCCTGGGCTTCCGTAGCAGGCGGGCTGGTAGCACGCTCTGCAGACTGCGGTTACCTGCTGACTCCTCAGCACACATTCATCCGGGAGCCGTGTCCTATCCATCTCTGTATTCCCAGCACCTATGCCGATTATCTGCTGACTCCTCAGCACACATTCATCAGGGAACCGTGTCCTATTCATCTCTGTATTCCCAGCACCTATGCCGATTATCTGCTGACTCCTCAGCACATCCCCATCAGGGAACCGTGTCCTATTCATCTCTGTATTCCCAGCACCTATGCCGATTATCTGCTGACTCCTTAGCAAACACCCATCAGGGAACCGTGTCCTATTCATCTCTGTTTTCCTAGCACCTATGCCGATTATCTGCTGACTCCTCAGCACACCCCCATCAGGGAACCGTGTCCTATTCATCTCTGTATTCCCAGCACCTATGCCGATTATCTGCTGACTCCTCAGCACACCCCCATCAGGGAGCCGTGTCCTTTTCATCTCTGTTTTCCCAGCACCTTGCAGCACATAGTAGCTACTCAGGTTGCTTGTTGTGACCGAATGAAATGGTGCTATTTGGGAAAGCCTGTGTGTGGTCGGAACCCTTCCGGGTGAGTCATTAATGGGGTGCTGGTAAAGAGGTGGGCTCAGAGCTATATCGTCTGGGTCTACATCTCTCTGACTCTAGGCTAGAGGTAAGTTCCCTAACCTCTCTGGCCTCAGCTTCCTGATTGTAAAATGGGCTCACGCTGGTTCCCACCTCCTGGGCTTGATGCAGGGAGAGGAAAGTGAGATGATGCACAGGTGCATAAGTGATGTTCTTCTGCTTGTGTCATGCCAGGTGGTCAGCCTGGAGGAGAGCCCCGGCCGCCCCTCGCACCTATCCTGGCCTGGGGCGCACCCACCTGGGCGGCGGCGGGCTGCGGCGCGGGCGGCCAGAACGCCGAGCAGCAGAAGCACCTTGAGGCCAAGCGCACCGAGCAGGAGGGCGATTGTTGAGGCCCTGGAGGCACCGTGGAAACGGAACAAGTAGACACTGGCTTCGGCGCGGCCCAGGCTGTTGGAGGCCGCGCACGTGTAGCGGCCGTCGTGGGCCAGCACAGGCAGCTCGGCGGTCACCTGATGGCCGTGATCTTGACCTGGGCTCGGCACAGAGGCCAAGCCGTTGCCCAGTGCTGGGCCGGACCAGGCGAGGGTGGGTGGCGGCTCCCCTTCAGCCGTGCAGAGCGCGTGGAAGGCGTGCGCCGGGCCGGGTAGCACTGAGATGTTGACGATCCGTGGGGCGGCTGCGGGCGACGGCCCAGGAGGAGCGGGAGGAAGCGAAGTGCGGTCAGAGCAGCGGCAGGCAAAGGGCAAGGCAAGCGCAAGGGGCAGCCTCCCCGTGCCCTTGGCCCAGAGCGTTGGAGAAGGGAGGCAGTGGGGAGCAGGTGATACGGAGAGGAAGCAAGAGGCACTCGGGCGCCACTATGCCTGGGTCCCAGTACCGGTGTGACCTTAGGCAAGTTATTCCGCCGCTCTGTGCCTTAGTTTCTTCACATGTAAAATGGGGATCACTTACATTACGGGGCTGTTGAGAAGATTTGACAAGTGGGGTGCCTGGGCAAGTGCTCGCTAAACGTCGTTACTATTGTGGTAGCACACGACTGGGGGCAGTCTGCTGGAGTGATTTCAAGGGCACCTCTCACTCCCAGACAGCCTCACCAGGACCTAGACTTGAGACGATTCACTGAATTGTTGGGACTGTGGGACTGGGGCAGACAAGGGCAAAGAAACTGAAATGCACTCAGAGAGGCGGCCCAGCCAGCCCAAGGGCACATGGGAGGTTCTTGGCAGGGTCAAACTCAACCCAGAACGCCTGGGTCCCCCACAGGGGGGTTCCGGGATTTTTACAAAGCTCCTTAGGTCATTCCAATGCTCAGCCAGGGTTGAGAACCACGGCTCTAGGATCCTGATTCCCACATCTTTATACCACAGGGTCTAGAGAAGTGCCGGGCACTTGGTGGGCTTCCTGTGCACCCCCTCTGTGAACACAGCCCACTGCAGTCCTTGCCATATTTAAGGTGACCGTTCCTTGTTTTTCTCCCCCCTAGTTTGAGAGCTGTTCGGGCATATTCACTCTCTACGAGCTTCATTACAAGGCCCAACCCAGGCCGCCCCCAGCCCTTCCTGGGGCCAGGATTCGGCGGCATTTTTAAACAACTTCCCGGGTGGCCCGTAGCCATCGCCAGGTGTGAGACCCCCTGCTCTAGAGAAAGGGGTGTGCCTGTTGAACCCCTTCCCATCCCAGCACAGAGCCCGCACCTAGGGAGCCCTCGGACGCGGCGGGGAGGCGGGCGGCGCGCTCACCGGTCACGCGGAGCCGGACGCCGTGGCGGCTCTCGTAGCGCTCGTGGACGTCGCCGGCAAACTCGACGCGGCAGAAGTAGCGGCCGTCGTCGGCCAGCGCTAGGCGCTCGACGCGCAGCGACAGGTCGTTGCGGCGCGGGTTGCCGAGCAGCCGGAAGCGGCCGTGCAGGCTGAGCGCCGTCTGGCAGAGCTCGCTGCTCCGCGCCGCCGCGCACCGGAACACCTGCGGGCCCGTGTATGGCTCGCCCGCGCGCCAGATGGCCGTGAGCGGCCCGTCGTAGTGGCGGTGCGGGTGTGTGAAGGTGCAGGGCAGCACTGCCGCCTCGCCCGCCGCCGCACTCACCTCGGCCGGCAACTTCATGGACCAGCGCTGCGCCGGCGCACCTGCGGGCGGGCGGGCGAGAGGCAGGCGGCATGCTGCAACCCTGCCCGTGCCCTCGCGGGGCCTGGAAACCTCAGGACTTGGGAAGCGCCCTCCCTGCCCTCGGGGGTGGGGGGAGTCTGGAAAACCACCCCAGGACTCGAGAAGCATCTCTTGGGACTTTGACTGCCGTGACTTTGTAGGTGCCTGGACTCTCCCCCCATTTCCCTGGGACTATTTGCCTCACTCAGGGTGGTCCCACCTCACTTACAGGCCCAGTGACCCCAACCTCTTTCCCATCAAAACTTGCCCTGCTGCAGAAAAGCCCTGGGATCCCATGGTTACAGTACAGTCCGAAGACCACCCCCCTACCCCTGCCCCAGATGGCGACAATAATAAAGGCACTTACTGTGCAGCTCTGTGTTGAGCAAGTTCCTGGTGGTATCTCTTTTAGTTCTGACAAATGATCCTAGAGGTAAGCAGAGTTATTCCCGGGTTACATGTTATAAACCGAGGCACAGAGAGTTTGAGGCCTGAGGTCACACAGCTAGGATGAGGCAAAGCTGATGTTCAATGTCAGGATTGCCTGACCTCACTGTGGCACTCTAGTGCACTAGGGCATGGAAACTTGGGGCTTATCCAAGCACAGCAACACTCCCATTGACAGAGGGGAAACTGAGGCCTTGGGAGGCGGTGGTATGTTTTGAAGCTGGTGTGTTGAGTTGGTGGCTGAGATTCCTCTACAGTCAACCCAAGTGGGTTTCCCAAAAGGCCAGTGCCCAGACAGGGAGCTGAGGGAGGGGCGGACCGTTATGTTGCCTCCTTGCTTTGCACAAGTGCCTCTGGGCTCAACTTTCCTCACCTCCCATGTTGTGAGCCTCTGAAGTATGGTTGAGCTAAGGTCTGGAAGCTGCACTCTGCCTGCAGCTTACGGAGGGCTAGAGAGTCACCGCCTGTCTTGTTGCAGATGTGTGCTTCTCTGGGGGTGGGGTGAACGGGGTGGGTGGATGGGTGTCAGTGCTGGGAGGATCAGGTCAGGGGGCCTGGGAGCCTCCTCCAGAAGGGAGGGACAGGCTTAGCCTCTAGTGCCCAGGTACAGTTCAGGAAAGGGATCTTTACAGGGAATAATATACCAGCCCCTATATTTCCAAAGGGCTTTGCAATTCACCAGGTTCTTTCACATGCTTCACATCACATGACTCCAAGTCCAGTGTTCTTTGCTCTGTGGGGTAGCCACACTTGTTTCTTGGGCAGGAATCTCCACAGCCCACAGCTGGCAGACCATCCTCCAGGGAACCCATACCATCTATGAGTAATGTACAGGTCAAGGCATTCCTTCTGCTCAGAACCAATGTTTCCTGCCCCTCACGTGATGGCCCATCGCTCTTTGGAGCCTTCGCCTTCCTTCCCTGTGACGGCCCTCCCGGGATCCCATCATGGCTATCCTGGACCCAGTAAGCCTTCCCTTCTCTGGCAGAGGTCCTAGTCCTTCACCTGCCCCTCTCCATCCTCACTACCCACTTGGTACTTTCCTTGCAGTATAGTGTCCTGACCCCGGGGGCTCCAGGTGTGTGTTCCAGGCCAGGTAGAGCGGGGTATGAATCGGGTTGTGTGAGCTGTGCCTCATAGAAAACCTCAATTTGGGATCGTGCCGTGCTTGCAATGAAATAAAACCACAAGGTGTTTTTTTTTTTTTCCACACAGTCTGCTTCTAAGCCAAATCTCCTTTCTTCTGGACAAGTGGAAGTATGCTTTTGAACCCAAGCAGGGGACTTGACATATTTCCCTAGTAAGAGCTCATTTGTTCAGTTGTTAATAATCAAAGGGCCTAGTTCCAAATTTGAGAAACCCTTCCTGAAGGTTTTTCTCGTTCAGTCAGTGCTTCTAGCTGCAGAAAGCATCTCCCAGTCTTGAGGCTCAGCCCCTGCCTCAGTTTTCCTGCGTTCCCACCCTCTGTGACCTCAGCCTTCTCTGACCTCCTGCATTTTTCAGGCATCACGGAGCCAGGCACTGACTCCCCAGGGATTGTTTACGGTTGTGCATTCATCAATTGGCCATCATTGATCGGACACATTCCCCACTGGAAGCCAGGCACTGGGATTAGAGCCAGGGCTACAAAGAGCAAGAGAATAATTTATCAGCCTGTTGGAGCTCACAGCTCAGTAAGGGTGACAGATCTGGGAACCCGTAGTTACACTAAAGCCTGCCAGGTGCTCTAATGAGGGACATGAACAATGTTCCCTCTGTCTGAACATGGTTCCTGGCCCCTTTCACTCACCAGCTCCCTCCTAGTCGTCCCCGGGCCTCAGCTGAGTCATCCTACAGCGGGAGGCCTTCACTGAGCCCTAAGCCTGGGTCTGGCACCCCTTCCCCATGCCCCAGGGCTGGCAGAAGTGCTTCCTCTGTATGGGCATTGCCTGTTCAACTGTATGTCTCGTCCAGGCACCCAGAAGCTCTGGGAGGGCAGGGAACATGTGTGGGGGTCATATTTGTGCAGCTGTTGCCTAGCACGTACCTGCCACATAGTAGTTGACGTTGAATTGAATTGCTGAGAGGGAGCAGAAGGGAGGGTGCCCGGGCTGGCAGGAAGGGTGGGTGGGCAGGGGTTGATTGAAAGCCCCATGAGAAAGGAGCTGCCGCCTCAGCAGAGCCTTGAGAAAGGAGTGGGATTTGCTAAGCCCTGAAGTAGGCTAAAGGCATTCTAGGCAAAGGGTAAAATGGAAGTACGGACATCAGCATAGGGGTTGCAGGGCGTGAGAGGATAAGGGTGTCAGAGTACATGGTGCTTTGGGGGCTCGCTGGGAGACATTGCTAATCTTATTCCATAAGCGAAACAATCCATGGGGTGCTGTCATTAGCCCCCCTTCCGGAAAGGGGATCTGAGGCTCAGAGAGCCTGAGGGCCTTGGCAACGTCATTTGGCCAACCAGGCAGAGCCAAGGCTTCCCCTCGGAGTGTAACTGAGCAGGACCCTATGAGGTCTTCCCGGAACAGATCCCCACCCATGTCCTCCGCCTGCCTTTCGTCTGTAGAAAAACCGTAGTCAAAGAATCAATTTAATCAGAAAAGTGAGAAAATGCAGAAAGAAAGGAAAACAGTCAAGCAACACAAAATAATTATACTTCAGCCAGGAAACAAATTCAAGGACCTCTAGTTCTTCCTCAAAGACCATAGGTAGTATTCTGAGCCAAGTCCTTCGAGCTGTTTTGTAGACACTGAAACTGCCACCAGGTGGGAGAAGTTAACTTATGCTGCCCACAAGCAGGGAGACCCCAGACCAGCTGGAAGGTTGATGATACTGACTCCTGATGACCTCACCAGCAACCAGTCAGAAGAGTGTCCATGAGCTGATCCTTGAACACTGCTCCTAGACTCCTCACTACCCCCTCCAGGGCGGGACACACAGTTTTGAGGGCATTAGCCCACTGTGGCCCCCTTTGCCTGGCAAAGCAATAATGCTATTTCTTTCTACTTCACTCAAAACTCTGTCTCCTAGAGCAGAGCCCCCCAGGGAGGTTTAATCAGTGAACAGAGGCTGAATTTCGACAATAGGTGGGTCATGTTCAGACCTTGTCCCTGGGCTCCGCTGCTCGAGGATGACAGCCTAGATTGGGAGCATCTGATGTGTGGTACAAATGACAGGTCAGGGCCCTTCCCTCCCTGGCTGGGTTCTGCTCTGGGAGGAGAGAGGGCACACAGAGGCCCTTTCACCAAGTGTGACAGTCTTGGCCCCCATTAGGGGGAGATTTGTGTTTCCTGTTTGTCTGCTGCATGGTGTTCCAAGAGGTGGGCACCTGGACTCACTTTTACACAGAGACCTTTGGTTGAGTTCACCCAGGGGACTTGAGGTGAAGGTGGGAAGTCCCAATAGGAATTACCCAGGGAGCAAATGCATGTGCTTTGGCAGGAATCCAAGCTCCCCAGCCTCCTGGGACATTTACTATTCCCTCTGGTAGCTCCTGCATGTCTCTTAGGACAGGGCAGGGATAGCCCCCTGAACTGGAATCACAGCTCCTTTTGATAGGGTCTCTACTCTTCCTGCTTCACGTCTATCAACCTCCGGGGGTCAACAGGAGGCCCACATTCTTCCCCTTGTCCGAAATTCCTCCTCTCAATGGTGGGCCACTGGGCACGGTGAAGAGCATTCCAGCTTTGGTAAGGCTGGACATGGGTGACATTCTCACTTGTATCAAGCACCCAGTCTGTGCCTGGCACTGTTCTAGACTCATCCACTTACAGGGAGATCTTTGGGCGAGTTGCTTAATGTCCCAGGTCTCAGGTTCCTCTGCTGCAAAATGGGGTACATAGTACTTTCCTCATAGGACTGAGGATTGAGGATGGAATGAAGTCACACGTGAAGGTCAACCGGACAGTGCTGACACTCAGCAAATGCTCAGTGATGTTAGTTCCCTCCTTCACTGGCCGTGCAAAGAGAGTGGGACCAGGAGGGAGCATGGGGGTGGTGCTAACCAGTGCTGGGGAAGGAGAAGGGCTCTGGACGGACAGCTCAAGGCCATACGGGGTGGGGGTGGGGGGGTCAGGAAATTGATGCCGGAAACTGCACCATCCGTGGCTCAACTTGGCACCTTAGACCACACGTCATGCAATAGCGCAGGCCTTGCCCTTAACTCACCTGAAAGCTAGTCATTGATTCATGTACTTATTCACTCAATAGATGTTTGTTGAGGGTCTGTCTTGTGCTCGATACTGCGCTGAGTGTTGGGGATACAGCTATGGTGACAATCAGTGGCTACCTCAGTGTGTTTACAGCCCGTCCATTGCCCAGCCATTGTTTGTTTTTCATTTATACATGATTCTAACGAGTTTGTTTAAGTAGCTTCCCAGATTTGGGAAATACAGTTTGAAAAGCTAGAAAGTGTCTTCTGTTTGTAGTCCATTGAAAGCAGCAAGGGGTGATATAATCAGCATTCAGTCAGGGAGGCAGTTTCAGTAAAAATAATGTGACGATCAGGGCAGAAATGATAAAAGTACAGCGCAAAAGGGACCCTTTAGAGGAGGGGTAAGTGCAGAGGGCCTTGAGGCATCATGACACTGCAGCAGGCTAGTGAAACATTGCTCGCGGGGATGACCTGAGTCACCTTGGAAAGGTTCATTGACATGAGAGGCATGCCCCTCGCATGGGGTCTCAGGCGTCTGTCTGGGGTTGTAGCCCCGGCTAGACTGGCCCTGACTTTGTGACCATAGGTGAGTCCGCATAACTCTCTGGCCTCAGTGGGCTCGTCTGTCAAATGATGTCTCTAGATGCTTACTAAGGAGAATTTTAAATCTAAAAGTTTGTGTCCAAAAATGATATTTGGATAAAAATGACAAGGAAGCCTGGCAAGCATTTGAGAAATATGTCAATATAAAATTAACTGAAAGGCTTTTAGGTACTTAAAGTAAGCCATTGGCTGTTGAGAAAACTCAGCTACGCAGAAAGAGGCATCCACTCTTGATGGTCCTGTGCAGCCGTTTACTAAACTCTCCACATTGCTCCCTCATGCCCCCTGTGGTGATGATGCATATTGAGGCAGGGCTGGGGCTGTAGCACTGGGTACCAGCTTCCACGTAATCATAATCACGAGTCAACTGAGGGGTAGTTAACTCACCCTGGACCTATTATCCCAAAGCCCTGTGCCAGTGGTGTCAGGGTGGGACGAGAACTCGGCAGTAGAAACATCTGCAGAACCTGGATGGGCAGAAGTGGCATCTGGATGGATCAGAAATAGAGGCCTTGGTTTTGCCTGCAGCTAAACCAGGTTCCCACCAGTTCCTTGGTGAGGAAGGAGGCAGGGATGTGCATGGGAGCCTCTCTGTAGCTCATGTGCCGTGCGTTCTGTGTGATGGCATTTATGTTAACTAGCGAGAAAACTGTTTATGATTTTGTACCTGAGCATGCGGCAGTCGCTGTCCATGGACCACAGATAGGAAAGCAAGCCAGTGGTGGCGGCTGTGATGGGATAATGGCCAATGGGGGTGTCCTCAGAGAGTGGTGCTTTAACAAGAATTAGGTCTGCTGGGGTGGGATTTTTGTGACAGGTTTCTGGAGGAAACAAGCATGGACATTGAGGGGGAGAAGGATGATGCCAGGCAGGTGCTCACCACGGACAGACGATGCCTCGTGGAGGGCTAGACTTGTGGCCCTCAGAGGTGGAGCCCCTCAGAGATCTGCTCCCCACCCCCTAGGAGGGCTGGCATTATCAGCTGACGGGCAGCCAGTCTGATGAGGCCAGCTGTCTGTAAGGGGCTACCCTCCTTGGGGATACCTGGACATGTTAGTAGGGGCGTTCTCAGCGAATGACTCCAGGGGTGGCTTCTTGGGCATTGCGGTGCCTGAAGGGTCAGGAGAGGGTGTTTTGGGGCAAAGACAGATGTTCACCTTGGCCACCGGACCTCCCCAGTTAGGTGTGTGGCTCGAGCTGGGCAGTTGCCTTTCACCCGATTCCCTCCCGCACCTCAGTTTGCTCTCAGTAATTCTTCCTTCTGGGCCTGCATATAGTCCAGACAGGTTATCAGGGGGAGAAAAAGTGAGAATGGGGCAGAGACCAGAGGGGAGAGGAGGAAGCGGAACCAGGAATTCCATCCATCGGTGTGAAGCAGACCCCACAGGCTCCAGGGAGCTGGGAGACGCAAGTCAGTGAAAGGCCTGATTGTTCCCCTTCTGCCCTCCGGTTGTCCTGTTTCCCCTTTAACCCTTGCCTCTCTGGCCACTTGGTTGTGGAGCTGGCCCCTGTCGCCTGGGCTGACAGAGATGCAGAGCCAAGGGTGGAGCCTGCCCCGGGGCAGTGTCTGCGCAGTGCGCTGCTCTTGGGAGTTCTGATTCCACCTGTCCCTGCCGTGCTCTAGCTCCCTGCACCCCTCCTCCTCCCGGGTAGGACTTCTGGGTCCCAGCTGCTGGCCGCAGGAGCCAGCAGGGGCAGAAGTGTCCCAGCTCATTCAGCCTCCATTTCCTTTTGGGCCCACGGCAGCAGTCCCTGACCTTTCCCCATGTCCCAGATAAGCGCCCCATGTCCTTGGGTGACTGCTGTGAATTGTCTTGCCTCCTCAGTTTGTTTTTTTGCAGTGGTTCAGAGCTAGCCAAGTAAGTTCCTCTGAGCCCCAAGCTTTGCCCCGGGCTCACCACCCACTGCACGTAGGTGTAGGCGATGGCAAGGGCTGGGCTGGCACTCAGGAGACTCCAGTTCACATCCAGCCTGTGACACCCAGAAGTGCCCTGACCTCGCCGAGCCTCCCTGAAACAGGGAAAAGGGCCCCCACTTTGCAGGGTTGTGGCGAAGAGTAAATGAGCTGGGCGTTAAAAGCCGGGCACGACAGTCCTTGAGGATGACAGCTGCTGTGATTGCTGCGCCAGCTCATCAGAGATGTGGGGACCAAGGTCACTAAGTGGCCAGAGTTCCCAGACTACTGCTCTTCCCACCACCCCTCACCTCCCGCTTTCTAAAAGCAGATCTGGGGGGAGACAGAAAGGAAAGACAAAAGAGAGTGTGAGGGCCCCTGGGAGATGAGGGGCTGCCCCAGGGTGCTGGGCAGGGGGGACGCCTGTGTGAGGGAGAAGTCATGGAAAGTGGGAGAGGGGGGTTTCCTGGATGAATTCCTCCACTTCACTTTTGCCAAAGGCCATCCCTGGGCCCTGTGCTCAGAGGTGTGACAGGGATGGGACTGTGACCTGTGGCCACCTTGCTCTCAGGCCCCTTGGGCTCCGGCCGCTTCCAGGCCCGCTGCCACATGGAGAGGCTGCAGAGGGATTTCAGGAAGAGGGACGCTGCTCACCCTAGTTTAAGAGCTCTTGGTCTCAGCGGTGAAGCAGCTGCCGGCCACGAGAAGAGGGGTCCCCTCGCCGACCCAGCTGCATAGCTCCCACGTGTGCCCCACCTCCCCGGGGAGTCGTGACATGCAGCTGGAGCATTTGTGTGGTCTGGGTTTTGTACTTGAACATGTGACTGCTCATGCTTCCTGTAAGTTTTTTTTTGTCTTTCACTGATTCATAGCTGCTGACTCTTAGCAGGAGAAATAAACCAAACCAAAACAAAAAACCCCCAAACCTAGTGTCCCTTGAAGTTATGTGACTTGAGCAACGTTTCATTACCATTTACTGCACAACCGCTGAGCGCCAGGACTGTGCTGGGGGCCTTCCACCCATGATCTAATTCTCCTTCAAGCAGCCACGAGGTGATGGGGACCCGCATTTACCGAGGCTCAGAGAAGTTAGGTAACCTGCTCAGGTCCACAGAGTTAGGAAATAGCAGAGCCAGGATTTACAGCCTTGTCGGACCTGTTCTCCTGTCTGCCCCCGGTGTGGGCAGGGTCACCTCTTCCAGCCCCACCCTCTACGTGGGACCCCACCCGAAATCATCCAGAAAGATGGCTGAGCTAAGTCAACTTGGGAAAAGGAAACCCCTCCCCTATCAGCCCCCACCACAGGGCTCTGTGGGTGGGACAGTGGGCAGTATGGGGTCAGGAGGTGGTGGCGTGTTCCCGTCTTGAGCCACATACCCCCAAGTTCAAATCCCAGTTTCACCCTGCACCGCCCACTGAACCTCTTCGTGCCTCAGTTTTCTCATCTGTGAAAAGGGAATATAATAGTTCCTTTCTCATAGGATTATGATGCTTACGTGAATTACTAATTAAATGCCCAGCACTTAATAAGAGCTGTGTAGGCACCTGCTGTTAGTATTCAATCCCGAACAGAACTCTACTCTGTGTTGAATGCTAGAGAGGAAGGATCAAAGGCCTGAGAAGTGGGAGTTTATAATCCAGTCGTGGAGATAGGACCCCACCCAAGGAAGACTGACTAACAGCTTGGAGCACCATGATGTCAGTGCTGTCACCATGTGGCACGTGATGGCCAATGGCTGTGCACATGGAGGCCTGGATGCCAAGTCCAGGAACACAGTCATGAGGATGTCTCAGGCTGAGCGGGGTCGAGGAGCGGATTGGGGCCTGGACAGAGGGGCTCATGAGGGTTGTCTGTCATCATCCCAGTGGCCCTCAACTGCATCGTGCATCAGAATCACCCAAGATGGTTGAACATGCAGATTCCTGGGCCCTGCTCCTGACATATTCTGATTCTGCAGATCTGGGGTGGAGCTGAAGAACCTGCTTTTTTTTTTTTTTTTCTTGATGTGGACCATTTTTAAAGTCTTTATTGAATTTGTTACAATACTGCTTCTGTTTTAAGTTTTGGTTTTTTCCCCGCGAGGCATGTGGGGTCTTAGCTCCCCGACCAGGCATCGAACCCGCACTCCCTGCATTGGAAGGCAAAGTCTTAACCACTAGACCACCAGGGAAGTCCCAGAACGTGTTAACAAATGCACGCCACTCCAGGGATTCTGATGCAGATGGTCCATGACCACCTTTTGAGAAATACTGTTCCCAGGGACACTGACTCCTTGAGCTAAGTGACCTTAAGTGAAGTGACATTGATACTTAAGCCTGCAGCAAAGGGCTCCCACTCACTTCTTGGGGTTCCTGCTGGGCGGTCAGGGTGCCCTCAATCACTTGCCCTATTCCCCAAGTGAAGTCACCCCACCCTTACCCCAAACAGCCATGTGCTCTCCCCTCTTTCCCGGGGCTGTGCCCGTTAAGAAGCAAAGCACTTGGATGACAACACCACCCCCAGTCTGTCAGAGCCTGCGCTGTCCTCCCCAGAGCTGGCCCGTTATGCCCCTGGATCCTCACAGCAAAGGCCTGGGCGGGAGGCCTTTCTACAGGTAGAGACACTGAGGCCCAGAGGAGTCCAGACACTGCCTCAAGTCACCAGGAGCCCAAGGCAAAGCCTGGACTTGAACTTCTGGCTTCTGTCACCACAGCCTCCCAAAGTGCAGCTCTCCCTTCCCCACAGGCCTGGAGGCCCTGGCAACCCAGCTGCCCTGAGCGCAGGGAGAGAAGACCATGCCTAAAATTTTGTGAGAATCTATTCTGTTCTGAAAATGCACCAGAGAGCAGAGTGGGAGACTCACCCATCAGGATGATGCACATCAAGGAGGCCAGGAGTTGGAAGGAACCTTCCATGCTGTGAGGTATGGAGCCACCAGGCAGCCCCGCACTTAGCCAGGCCACTGGCGAGACCCCTGCTTGGCGTGGGTGTGGAGGAAGGAAGGTGAGAGGGGGTGGGTGGTGTGCCCAGGTCTGCACGCCTGCCGGGCTCTGCGGACGATGGAGGAACTGCGGAGAGGCAGCCAGGCGGCTCTAAGTATGATTAGATGAGACCCGTGGGGTTTAGTCATGTGGAAAACCAAGAGAGGAACCGCTCGGATGATTCTCCAGGACGGGAAACAGAGAAGTGGACAGGGAAGATGCAGGACCCTTTCCTGTGGCCGCTGTCCCTTTGAAAAATCTGCTGTTCTTTTGCTTCCTTCACTCCCTCTCTCCCTCCTCCCCTCTCCCTCCCTCCTTCTATCTTTCCTTCCCTCTCTCTTTCCCTTCCCACATGTTTAGTGTGCCAGGATGGGTTTTCATCCTGGTGAAGCTGTTTTACTGTGGCCATATAGGTTTTGAAGTGGTGATTATTGATGGAAGGAAAAAATCGTCTCCAAAATGTAATCATTATTGACAATGGTTACATTACCAAGCAGCGTAAATGGGAAATAGTAAAATTATTAAGCAAATCAACCCAGATAAGCATGTCAAAATGCTCAGAACATCAAAATGCCAGATTAAAATATCCTGCTACAGGGGCAGAATCTCAGTTTTCTGTTGCAAGGAGATCGGGAAACTGAACAAAAAAGTGGCCAGGTTGGGGGCTGGCAAGGATGAGCCAATCCTTGAGTAGGAGGAGGTGTTTTAGTTCAGATAAAGGTTAATCTACTGGGGAAAAAAAGCAATTCCCAAATATAATGGATTAAAAAAAAAAATAGAAGGTGACTTCTCTCCCATGTATCAGTCCCAAGGTGAGCTGTTTATACTGGCAGGTGGCCTTACTTCTCATGGTCATTCAGGGATCTAGGTCCCTTCATATCATCACTCCGCTAGCCTTTCCCACAGGGGGTTGTTAATGCCTTCAAGGTTGAAGCTGGCTTGTTCAAGGTCTAGCTTGTGTGAAGGGGAAAGATAGAAACTCTAAGTCTTGTCTAAGGCTCGTCTTTTCTTTATCCAGGATCCAAAGATTGTACATATCACATCCACTCACATCCCATTGGCCCAAACTTAGTCATACAACCACACCTACTGCAAGGGAGGCCTGGAAATGTGGTCACTACTAGGTAACCATATGGTCAAGTTAAAATTTTATTACCAGGGAAGAGGGAACAGATGTTGATGGATAGTTACCTATCTCTGCCACAGATATTTTCTGTAACTCCAGAAGACTAAACTTTGCAGAATAATTTATTCCATAAACTCTAAAATGTCATTGAAAGATGCACCTTTGTTTTATATACCACTAAGAGAGAAAAAAATTTCTAGCTTTTTATAAGATGCCACTGAGTGCAATATGTATCCTGATCTCAGAAATGTTAAAGTGTAAAAACAAGTACATCCTAGAATTGATGAATATAATTCATTTTTAGCTGTTTGTATTTTTTGATAATACAGTCTCAATAAGAAAAGGCCAGCCTATTTCCCTATGCTGAGAGGAGCCATAGGAAAGAGGCACATCTATGCTTAGGCCAAGGTTTTAGATGGAGGCCAGGCATACAGATGGTAGCAGGGATTGAAACGAGAGGCTCCTGTGGGGAGTGGGGCCTTTGTGAGAGTCTCTCCTTTGCCTTCCTCTTTGACTCTCTTGGCTAACCTCTGACCACCCGATATGTTCCCCTTCCATGGCCACTTGTCACTTCCTGTGTACCTCTTGTTTCCTTAACGTAAGGATCCAGCCAGAAAAATGAAACTCCTGCGAAGTGCTGAACATGGAGGGGGACTGGATATAGGTAGCTGGTAATACAGAAAATTGAAGGATGAAAGAGAAAATAGGAGATTCTGACATAGCCCAGATATTAGTAACTACAGGAAGTAGCTACCACTCCTAAGGTTGGGGGGGCCGGGTGGGGAGAAAGGAAGAGGTGAGGTTACTGAGCAGTCGGAGCTTAGAAGCAGGGCCCCTGCACAGCTGCTGGTCAGATGGATGAAGGGGGCACCGTGTGCCTGATGCTCAGACTACAGGCTGAGGAGCGGCAGAGACACGGCTGGCTGATGCTATACCTCTGAGGGGGTTCCGCAGGTTGGATTGCCAAAAGAAGCTGAAGGCTGGACCTAGAGATTTTGCAAGGCGCTGGAGCAATACTAACAGGAGCTGGAAGCCCTCCTCCCATCTTCTAACCTCTCTCCAGTGCCTTCCATCAGCTAGCAAGTGTGTCTGAGAAATGTGGTTTGCAGAGTCCCAGCCTCAGCACCTAGAGCAGTGTAGAAATGTAGGCTTGAGGCCGAGAGCCGAGGTGTAAATACACAGTACTCAACTGGACTGTAAACCCTTCCTGGAAGCCCTTCTTCCATATATCTGGGGCAGTGTCTAACATAGCTCCTGGCACATGATAAGGGTTCAAAATTATTTTAATTTGAGCTGTTGAAAGTACTGTTTAGTTAATTCAGGAATGAAAAAGGGACCTTACTAGAGAATTCACAGATGTTAAAAAAAAAAAAAAAAAAAAGAGGATATTATGAATAATTCTATGCCTGTAAATTCAACAACTTGGATGAAATGAACCAATTCCTTGAAATACATGAACTATCAAAACTTACTTTAGAAGAAATAGATAATCTGAATAATACTATATCAAGCTAATTAGATTCATAGTTTAAAACCTTCCAACAAAGAAAACTCTAGGCGCAGATGGTTTGGTGAATTCTACCAATATTTAACAAAGAGCTAATCCCAATTCATAATCTCTTTCAGAAAATGGAAGAGGAGCACACATTTCCCAACTCATTTTATGAGGTCAGTATTACTCTAGTGCCAGAAAAAGACACTACAAGAAACAAAAACTACAGATCGATATCCCTCATGCACAAACAATTCTAAAACAAAAGTGTTAGCAAATTGAACTCAGCGATATACAAAAGGGATAATACATCACAACCAAGTGTGGTTTATTTTAGGAATGCAAGACTTGTTCAACTTTGAAAAATCAATCAATGTTATTCACTAAAGTAACAGACTAAAGAGGAAAAATCATATGATTATTTCAATAAATGCAGAAAAAGCTTTTGACAAAATTCGACACTAATTCATGATAACTTTCAGCAAACTAAG